AAAGCTATGACCAACCTAGACAGCATATTAAAAAGCAGAGACATTACTTTGCCAACAAAGGTCTGTCTAGTCAAAGCTATGGTTTTTCCAATAGTCACATATGGTTGTGAGAGCTGGACTGGAAATAAGGCAGAGAACTGAAGAACTGATGCCTTCAAACTGCGGTGCTGGAGAAGACTCCTGAGCGTCCCTTGAACAGCAAGGAGATCAAATCAACCCTGAATACTCATTGGAAGGACTGATGCTAAAGCTGAAACCTCAGTATTTTGGTCATCTCATGGGAACAGCTGACTCATTGGAAAAGTCCCTGATGCTGGGAAAGATCTACCCAGGAGAAGAGGTTGTCAAAGGATGAGATGGCTGGATGGCATCACTGATGCAATGACATGAACTTGGGCAAACTTCAGGAGATGGTGAGGGAGAGGAAGGCCTGGTGTGCTGCAGTCCATGGGGTCACAAAGAGTCAGACATGAATGGGTAACTGAACAACAACAACAACATAGCCAATTAGCAGAGATCCCTCTTCTTCTAGGTTTACCTTATAATTCACTAGTCTAGGTGTTTCCTGACTTGATGAATGCAGGTCCTCATGACCTGATGAATAATGCAGGTCTTCATAACTTGATGAATGCAGGTCATCATGACTTGATGAGGGAAGGTCATCATGAGATGATACAGGCAAAGATATATTCAAGTTTTTCATATCAGAGTCCTTTCCTTTCTGATCTTCTCCTGAACAAAGAAAAGGAAAGAACTGATTAAATGTAAAGGGTTAGAGAGGACAGGTTGAAACTTAGTGAGAAAGGTCAAGTTACATGAGGGGAATTTCCATCTACTTTTCCTGTTTTAGAGTCACCTCATCTTAATCTCCTATGTTAATCACTTTTCTCCTTGGTTTGAAAAAATAACTTAGCAAACATGATCCTACCTCTAGGATTTTCCTCAGAAAGTGGATTTTTGAGCAGTCCCTTTGTTCCTGCTTCCATACTACTCAGTAAAGTACTCTTCAGGAAAATTCTAAATATATACCACCTACAGAACCTATGCATTGGGATCTATAGAATTCAATTCTTCTGTTTCAGAGTCTATTTCTTGGATAAAGAATAGTGTGTTATACAAGTCTCATTTTTACATTTCGTATTGTTAATAATAAATCAGAAATATATAGTGTACATAGAAAGTTGTTTTAGACTTTATTGAAGAATGTCATACGAATCATCCCTAGGATACTCACTGTTGGCATTATTTTAAGATTTTTGGTAATTACTCTGTTAATTTCACTCCACAGAATCTTTCACAGAAACCAAGGAAGTTATTTTTCTCTGATCCTAGAGACTGGTTCCAAATAGAAAAAGGAGGACATCAAGGCTGTATACTGTCACACAGCTTATTTAACTTACATGCAGAGTACATCATGAGAAACGGTGGGCTGGAGGAAGCACAAGCTGGAATCAAGATTGCCAGGAGAAATATCAATAACCTCAGATATGCAGATGACACCATGAAACTCCAATACTTTGGCCACCTGATGCAAAGAGCTGACTCATTTGAAAGGACCCTGATGCTGGGAAAGATTGAGGGCAGGAGGAGAAGAGGACGACAGAGGATGGGATGGTTGGATGGCATTACCCACTCGACAGACATGGGTTTGGGTGGACTCCGGGAGTTGGTGATGGACAGGGAGGCCTGGCATGCTGCAGTTCATGGGGTCGCAAAGATTCAGACACCACTGAGCAACTGAACTGAATTGAAGAACTGAGCACTCAGAGTACTCTTTCTTATATGGTAACATTAAACATTATGATTTACAAATATGTAACAGAGCATATCAACAAATCAACAATAAAAAGTAAAGCATAGTAAACAAGTACTGTAGAAATGGAAAAATGCATTTCTGAATGTGCCAAAAAAGGAAATCAAATAGAAATTATGAACTATAATATGAATTAATTTTCTAAGTATATATTAAGAAATATCAGTGAAAGACAACATATTAAAACTAATGTGAAGTATCTAAGGAAGTGTTTAAAGGGGAAATGTATAGTTCAAAAAAGTTTTTAAAAGAAGAAATGACAAAAATGTGTTTTGTATTCAGTCCCAAATGCCAAGAATAACTGAGGAAATCTCACAAAACAGAAAGATATCATAAAGAAAAATAACAAATAGAAAATAAGCTAACATAACAGAATAAGCAACAAAATCAAAGGTTGTTTCTCTGAAATCAAAGACTTAAAAATATACAAACCTGTTCACTACACTTTATAATAGTAAAAATGAAAAAAAAAGGCACAACCACAAATCCAACTATCGTTTTAAGAACTAAGAAGAAAATTCAATTAGACAAACTTGATCAAATGGTAACTTTTATAAAATGATAAATTATCAAAATCTACTCAAGAATATACAGAAAGTCTGAATAGTATAACTATTTAGAAAGATAAACCAATAATAAAAAGTCTCACACCCTGGAGAAAAAAGGAATCTGAACCCAAACAGACCTCCAGATGATATTTCATCAAATTTCCAATGAACAAAAATCTTTTTCTTATGCAAACTGTTTTAACAAAAATTTTAAGTACTGGTGTTTCATTTATATTAAAAGGTTAGCAAATCTTGATATGAAAACAATGCATGTAAAATACATGTAAGAAAAATTATAAGCCAAATTCAAAAACGAACATAGGTACAAAAGTCCTAAATAAAATATTACTAAATGATGCAGTGGAAAAAATGCATAGATGAAGATTTATCTCAAGAATTCAAAGTATGCTCAGTTTCACAAAAATCTATCAATGCAAATTGGCATATTAACAAATGTTAACAAAAGAAAGGACAGAAATCCTATTATCATCTTAACATAAAAAGATCATGTGAAAAATTCAATTGTCTTCCAAGGTAGAAACAGAAGAAAACTTCTTTAATTTATAGACAAGTTTATCTAATCAAAATACTGAACTAACATTATCCTTAATGGCAAAACTTTAGACACATTCTCATTGTTTTAAAGAAAATATAAGAAAGCCTACTACTTATTTAACATTAAAGACATAATGACTGGGGGAAAGCAAGTAAATTATTATCTGCAAATATTGTAATTGTCTACATAGAAAATTAAAGAGACTCCAAGGTCAAATACTAGTAATAATAAGAAAGTCTGACGGAAGAGTTGACATGAGATCAATAAATTAGGACCATTCGTAGGCCAACAACCAGATACTGCAACAAAGGAAAATATGTCATTCACAATAGCAATAAAAATACAAGGTAACTAGAAATAGATCAAACCAAAAATATATAGTGAAAATTGCAAAATTTTGTTAAAAGTTACAAAAATAGAATAAATAATCTATATTTCATACAAATGAAAACTCCTATCATAATAATGGTAAGTATCCTCTAAATTAAACCACAGATTCAATGCAAATCCGATAAATATTCAAGCAGGATGTGTGGGGGTATTCGCGCGCACGCACGTGTGTATGTGTATAAACAAACTAGGAAACAGAAATCTAAGAGCAGGAAAAACAATTCTGGAAAAGGAGAACAGACTGGGTGTATTTACCCTATAAGATAGCAATACTTATTATAAGCTAAAGTCATCAAAACAGTGTGAATTGGTGTAAGGATGGAAAAGCAGGTCAATATAAAGGAACTGAGACTCAAAAACAGTCTTAAGCATGTAAGAGCATCTGCCATTTGATAACAATGGCAGTGCAGACTAGACTGGGGAAAATACTAAAATAAATGGGGACAACACAGTAATACAAAGGATCATAAGAGACTACTATCAGCAACTATATGCCAAGAAAATGGACAACTTGGAAGAAATGGACAAATTCTTAGAAAAGTACAACTTTTCAAAACTGAACCAGGAAGAAATAGAAAATCTTAACAGACCCATCACAAGCACAGAAATCAAAACTAAACTCTCACTGTTTGCATATGATCCTCTACATAGAAAACCCTAAAGACTCCACCAGAAAATTACTAGAGCTAATTAATGAATACAGTAAAGTTGCAGGATATAAAATTAACACACAGAAATCCATACATGAGGCAGGGTGCTCAGGGCTGGTACACTGGGATGATTCTGAGAGATGGGATGGGGAAGGAGGTGGGAGGGAGGGTCAGGATGGGGAACACATGTACACCTATGGCTGATTCATGTGAATGTATGGCAAAACCACCACAATATTGTAAAGTAATTAGCCTCCAATTAAAATTTTTTAAAAATTAAAAAAAAATAAAGTATAGGCTGCACAATACATATCAATACACAAACCAGAAAAATAAAATAAAATAAATGGGGCTGGGACAATTGATTTACCTACCATAAAAGAAAGGTCATATCCCTTCCTCACTGCATAAGATCAAAAATCAAAATTTACAAAAGGGAAGAGACTCTTCGTATTATTTCAGAGTAGAGACAGATTTTGGAATCATGAAAGCACAGTTTACATAAGAAAAAAACTGATATTTGAATATTCATTTAAAAGTATCAAAAAATAAGCATTTATTAGGGGAAAATGATATAACTGATGAAGAAATTTATCTAGGATATATAAAGAATTCTTAAAATTCAATAAGAAGAGCAACCAACTATTACTGATTTGAGAATAGAGAAAATTTACCTCATGTCCTCTGGGAAACTCCTTTAACCACTAAAAAAAAAAACTGAGCAATAAGATATGGTCCTCTGAATGATGTGGGATACAAGTCTAACACTCCTGATAATAAATGTTAAAATTGCACCATAGCTTCCTAAAGCCTTTGACATTGGATATCACTGCCACTATTGCCTCATATCAAGATTTAAGTAACAGTGAGCTCTTCAAACCTAAGAAGGAGCTTCAAATGCTACGGAAGTCAGTTACATGGAAAAAAATGTCTAGAAGAATTATTAACAAGCAATTCATAGTAGAAGAATACTTAAAGACGAATAAATGTATGAAAAACTGTCCACCATCAGTTAATAAAGAAATGAAAATTAGAATAACCTACCACTGACTTTCACTTCTGCCCATGAGGGATTTAGTGCTACAAAACTTATTCACAACCAGAAAATAGGACAAAATACATGTGACAACAACTTTCAGATATTATAAGATAAGCCTGTAGTATCTTATCATGCAATCAAGTGATTAAATGCTCAGAAAACAAAAGGATGGGTTATGTCAAAGAGACACAGGAGTCAACCTGAAAGAGCTCCCAAGGGCCCAGACTGGAACAATTTGAACAAAGTAAATAGCATAACTAGATTATAATATAAATTATAAAATATATATGCATGAGTCCATACTGATATAAGCAAATGAATAAAAAAATAAGTAGGGGAGTAGAAACAAATCTTCTTTATAAGGTAATCCCAAATAATATACATATACTAATATTACTCCCTCCTCTAGGAGGTAGAGCTTCTTGCTCCCTTCCCACCTATGGGAGCAGCTTTATTTTTTGACCTCTTGAATATTTCTCTCCTCTTCTGATGCCACTAACCATTGTCCAAGTTGTCACCATTTGTCTTAATTACTGCCAATGCCTCTTAACAAGCCTGCTATTTTCACACTTACTATCCATCCAATACATTCTCAACACTGAAATGAGAGAAATAACAGATAACAGAAACAGACATACAGGAGTTCTAGATGTTGGCATTAACAAAGACTTTAAAAGTAATATGTTTAAAGCATAATCAAAACAAATGAAAATCTAGGAAAGCAGCTTAATGAAAGATTTCTGTGGTTTAAAAGGAATACAACAGAAGCAACCTACAATAAATGTCCATCAAAAGAGGAATGGATAAAGAAGATGTGGCACATGTATAAGATGGAGTATTACCATCTTTATTACCACTTATTACATCTTATTATATTTATTACATCTTATTACCATTTATTACCAGCCATAAAAAAGGACAAAATAATGCCACTTGTAGCAACATGGAGAGACCTAGAGACCGTCATAGTGAGTGAAGTTAGACAGGGAAAGACAAATATCATATGATATTGCTTATATGTGGGAATCTAAAAAAAGGGTACAAATGAACTTATCTACAAAACGGAAATAGAGCATGTAGAAAACAAACGTATGGTTACCTGGAAGTGAGTGGGGGAAGAGGTAAACTGGAAGACTGAGACTGATGACACAGACAACTCTATATGAGACAGATAACTAATAGAGACCTGCTGCAGAGCACGGCGACCTCCACTCAGCACCATGCCATGGCCTATACTGGAAAGAATCCGAAAAAGAGTGGATATGTGTATAACCGATTCACCCTGCTGCACACCTGAAACTACACAATACTGCAAATCGACTACACCCCGATACAAATTTTAAAAATAATAAAGCAGTTTGGCTCTTGCTTTGTCTCTCTCTTATTTGGGATTTTAAATTCATCCATATGTCTAACTTTTCAATTTTACAAAGCATTCTCTATCCTTGAGAAAAGAGATAATTCACTAAGTGGCAATAAAGAATAAAACTATAAATTACTATAACATAATATAGTTCTTTTTGAATAGAGAAAAATACATTCAGAATCTGAACAGTTCTGCCAATAAAATATGAGAATTGCTAATTTTACTTTAATTTCTTTCAAGAAAGCACACCCAGTTGGGCCACTTGCATATTAATTTGCAAGTGTCTTAAGAAAATTAATGGCAAGTATTCTTCGTATGCTGTTTTTTGTCCTTTGCCCAGATTTTAAAACAAAGTCATGGAGTGCGTAGGATGTAATACGAAAGAGGCTGAGTCAAATTATATTTTAAAAGATTCCTTTAAAATTTAAATTTCATCAGGTTCTCAAATAGAAGGTCAGAAGATAATTGATAGAATGGTTAGTGCACAGTTAGCTTAAAATGGGAAAAGTATCAAGCAGATTTTTTAAAAAATCAGGTTACACAAAAGGAAATAAATAATCCTGGACAGTAAACACAGTAATGTAAATTAAAGAAAGCTCAAGGCATCATTTCAAAACAAGTAAGTTAACCACACTTCTTTTTGCTATGATAACACCAAATGTGGTGAGATTACAGTATAACCAATATATTGCTGGTAATGTGATTTAAACTCCTCTAAAAATAAAAATTAATACAAAATTCAGATCCATCAGCTCAAGGATCCCCATCTGGAGAATTTATCCGAAAGAATAAATTGGGCTTCCCAGGTGGCACTAGTGATAAAGAACCTGCCTGCCAATGCAGGAGACATAAGAGATGCGGGTTCGATCACTGGGTCAGAAAGATCCCCTTGAGGAGGGCATGGCGACCCACTCCAGTATTTTTGCCTGAAGAATCCCATGCACAAAAGAGCCTAACAGGCTACAGTCTGTGGGACTGCAAAGAGTTGGACAAGACTGAAGCGACTTAGCACACATCCTAAAGAAAAGAATTCAACGAAAGAACAAAATCTATAAATATTATTAATAAATCAGTAATAGTATTTATAATCAAAGGGAACAAAAACTGGAAACAACATACATGTTATGAATAAGTAATATCACAATGAGAAAGAAAGTGGCCTCAGGCCTTTCAGATTGCAAACAGGACCAGAATACTCCTGGAGTCAGACCTGCAAGGCTAGAACAGCAGCGTATGTAGAGCTCTGGCTTAAAACTCTAGGGGGAGGGAGCAACACCCACACTGATTACAGGGAGGCAGTGTAGAAGAGCAACCAGGGGCTAAGCTGAACAAGGAAAGAATGAAAAAAGGTACAAAAGAAATGTTGAAAACTGATGGGAAGCTACTAATGTGTGAGGCACGCACAACAATGACAACATGGGTCAGCTGGGGACAGTTAGCATCTAATTAAAACACTGCATTAGTATTATATACAAAATCCTTCATGTTTTTGTGGTTTTATATACTTTCTAAAGTACATAGGTATTTCTGCAATACATATATATTATACCTACAATCAGAAATAAACATTATTTAATCAGAGTAAAATAAAACGTAAGAGTCTAATCCTTGCTATTCTCAGCACGGTGGCTTGTTAAGAGATGCAGAACCTTGGGCCCCACCACAGACATAGTGAATCAGAATGTGCAGGTTAACAAATTCACAGATGGTTCATACATATTTACAGTCTGAGAAGCACTGCTCTAACTCTCCTGCTCCCCGCACCCACCACAGTGCACAGTGCGTAAGAACCTACCAGACTCTGCTGTAGCATTTTCCGGTGAAGACATGTCGTCATTCCCAAAAGAGATGGGTAAAAGGTTTCTCCAGGTACTGAGCCTTGTGTTCTGAGAGTTAGACAGATGGTCTAATTAATATCCTGGGGCTGGCACACAATTGTTTTTAACCTAGTCAAACATACAATGTAAAGGAATTTTAGACAACTCAGGTTCTCAGTTTTGACATATTACTCATTTATTTAGTCACTGTTATTCAGCAAATTGAAGGCCGGGAGGAGAAGGGGACAACAGAGGATGAGATGGTTGAATGGCATCACTGACGCGATCGATGGACATGAGTTTGAGTAAGCTCTGGGAATTGGTGATGGACAGGGAAGCCTGGCATGCTGCAGTCCATGAGGTCGCAAAGAGTTAGACACAACTGAATGACTGAACTGAACTGATTCAGCGAATTGATTCTTTTATGCCAAACTTATTCTGAATTAGGTGCGGGGGACTCATTATTGAAGGATAAAAATTAAGTTCAGAGCCTATCTTCAAGGAGTTCATTTACAACCTATAAAAAGTCCTCACATAGGATAAACATTTTTTTCTCTTCTAATCTTTGCCATGGTAGGCCTGTAAGATGATGTTATATTGTTCCTATTGGTTAAAATCTAGAGGGTTTTTTTTGTTGTTGTTTTTTGGTCTGGAGACTTTTATCATTAGTTTACTTGCAAATGAAATAAAGTGAAAGTGTTAGTTGGTAAGTCATGTCTGACTCTTTGCCAGCCCGTGAACCATAACCTGCCAGGCTCCTCTCTGGAACACTAGAGTGAGTTGCCATTTCCTACGCCAGGGGATCTCCCCGACCCAGGGATCGAACACTTATCTTCTGCACTGCAGGCAGATTCTTTACCATTCCAGCACAGAAATAAGGTTACCATAACTGAACCTAAAAGTTATTATTTTGAAACATATATTTTAAAACTTTGTGATACAGTATGTTAAGAATGATTATTTACAACATGGGAGTAAGGCAAAATCATAGGTGGCATATCCTTTCAACGTTATATGAGGATGGTGTTTAAAAGGTCCTCCCAAGGATTATTTAATTATATAAAGAGATTGTACTTTGTATGACTCATTATTTACTGTTGATTCAAAGTCCTAGACTTAGTACGAACACATGTTAACCTATAAATTTTCATCCTGTAGGGATACAAATAATTTCCATCTGGATGAAAAAAAGATAATACCAATACCAAAGATTATAACTTATTGTCCTGTTGGAAATAAACCAGGCTTTTAAAATCTGACCTAGCAATCTTACTCTAATACTTGTTCAAAATATGTATAAAGACATAGACCCTCAAAATGTTCTCAGAACCACCTTTGTCACCTTCCTGGTTCCTTCACTAATAAATAAATGGAATAAAATCCTTAACATGGTTTCACTTCAAATTTTAATGAGTTACATTTTAAATATTTTGAAAATTCTACTTTTATGAAGGGGTTTGGATAGATTTCTTCTTTTTAAAAGGACAGCAGGACTTCCCTAGAAGTTCAGTGGTTCAGACTCTACACTTCTAAAGCAGTGGACGTGGGTTTGATTCCTGGTCAGGGAACTAAGATCTCACATGCCATAAGGCCAAAAAATAATAAAAGGACAGAAGTGGCCTTGTGACTGATACTGAGGTGGTGGACATAAGTGGTATGCCTCCTCTGGAAATAACACTGAAAAGTCAAATATCTTATTGTTAAATAAAACCCACCAAGAATGACGCCCAAGCTTCTGCCTCCCAGATATATGACTGAAAATATTTTAAATGATACAATCTTTTAAAATTTGTTTGAAATATAGTTGGTTTACAACATTGTGTTAGTTTCTGGTATACACCAAAGTGATTCAATTATATATAAATACACACACACACAGTATTTTTCATTTCAGCTTCTTACAGGATTTGAGTATAGTTTTCTGTGCTATACCATAGAAACTTGTTGCTTATCTATTTTATAAATGCTACACTGTGCTTAGTCACTCAGTTGTGTCAAACTCTTTGCAACCCCATGTAGCCCACCAAGCTCCTCTGTCCATGGGGATTCTCCAGGCAAGAATACTGGAGCAGGTTGCCATGCCCTCCTCCAGGAGATCTTCCCAACCCAGGGAATGAACCCAGGTCTCCCACACTACAGGCAGATTCTTTACCATCTGAGCCACCAGGGAAGCCCATTTTATATATAGTAGTTTGTATCTGTTCATCTTAAACTCCTATTTATCCCTGCCTCATCCCCTTCCCCCTTTGGTAACCATAAATTTGTTGTCTATGTCTGTGAGTCTGTTTCTGTCTTATAAATAAGTTCATCTGTATATTTTCTTTTGTGTGTGTGTGTGTTAAGATATAGTTTTATTTTTTATTCTGTTGAAGTATAGTTGATTTACAATGTTGTGTTAGTTTCAGGTGTACAGTAAGTTGATTCAGTTATGCATACCTATATAACCTATTTTTTCATATTCTTTTTCCTTATAGGTTATTCCAAGATATTGAGACTAGTTCCCTGTGCTATACGGTAAATCCTTGTTTAAGACATATTTTCGATTCCACAAACAAGTGACATTATATATTTGTCTTTGTCTGACTTAACTTAATGTGATAATCTTTAGGTCCATCCATGTTGCTGCAAGTGGCATTATTTCAGCCTTTCTTATGGCTGAACAGCATTCCATTGTTTACATATACCTCATCTTCTTTATCCATTCATCTGTCAATGGACACCTAGGTGCTTCCATGTCTTGGCTATTGTAAATAATGCTGCTATGAACACTGATATGCATGTATCTTTTCAAATTAAAAGTTTTCTCCAGATATATGCCCAGGAGTGGGATAAATAAATAAGTATTTTTGTAAAAATCAATAAGAAAACAAACCAATTTAAAAATAGGAAAAAAAGTGAAACTGACACTTCACCCAAGAATGTGTACAGATGGCAGGGAATTTCATGGCAGTCCAGTGGTTAAGACCCCATGCTTCCACTTCAGGGAGCACAGGTTTGATCGTTGGTCAGGAAACTAAGACCCCATATGACCCTCAGTATGGCCAAAAAAAAAAAAAGGTACAAATGGCAAACAAGCATATGAAAAGATGCTCAACAGCATATGTCACTAGAGAATTGCAAAATAAAACTACAATAAGATGTTAAGCGCTAACTATCAGAATGGTTAAAATTCAAAAACATGACAATACTAAATGCTGGCAAGAATGTGGATTCACTGCTGAGAATACAAAATAGTACAGTCACTCTAGAAAACTATTTAGCAGATCCTTACAAAGCTTTTCCAGTGGTCATGTATGAATGTGAGAGTTGGACTGTGAAGAAAGCTGAGCACTGAAAAATTGATGTTTTTGAACTGTGGTGTTGGAGAAGACTCTTGAGAGTCCCTTAGACTGCAAGGAGATCCAACCAGTCCATCCTAAAGGAGATCAGTCCTGGGTGTTCACTGGAAGGACTGATGCTGAAGCTGAAACTCCAGTACTTTGGCCACCTCATGCAAAGAGTTGACTCATTGGAAAAGACCCTGATGCTGGGAGGGATTGGGGGCAGGAGGAGAAGGGGACGACAGAAGATGAGATGGCTGGATAGCATCACCGACTCAATGGACATGAGTTTGAGTAAACTCCGGGAGTTGGTGATGGACAGGGAGGCCTGGCGTGCTGTATTCATGGGGTCGCAAAGAGCCAGACACGACTGAGTTACTGAACTGAACTGAACAAAGCTTAAAATAGTATTGCCATATGATCCAGCAATTGTTCTCCTAGTTATTTACCCAATTGATCTGCAACTATGTCCACACAAAAACATGCATTCAAATGACTATAGTTGGTTTATTAATAATCAGCAAAAACTGGAAGTAATCAAGATGTAATTCAACAGTGGAATGGGTAAACTATAGGATATCTACAATGAAATATTATTCAGTGATAAAAAGAAATAATTTATCTAGCCAGAAATAGATATGGAGGAATCTTAAGTGAATGTTGCTCTGGGAAAAAAAGCCAGTCTGAAAAAGTATGATTCCAGATTGGCAGTATGATTCCAACTCTATGATAAGGCCTTTATCAGGTATGTGTTTTGCAAACATCTTCTCCTAATGTACAACTTGTCTATTTTTTTAACATATCTTTCACAGAAGTTTTTAATTTTAATAAAGTCCAGTTTGTAAGTTTTTTCTTCTTTCTTTTGGTGTTGTGTCTAAAAATTCATTGCCAAAACCAAGGTCATCTAGATTTCTCCTATGTGACTGTACCTTTTAAAGAGCTATTTTAAAGTCCTAACCTCTAGTATCCATGAATGTGAACTTATAGGGCATTTCCAGGAATAACCAAGTGAGGATGAGTTTCTAACCCAATGACTGATATCCTTAAAAGACAAGTGAAATTTGAACACAGATACAGAGGAAGAAATCCATGCGATAACAGAGGCAAAAATTGGAGTCATATGTCTACAAACCAAGAAACTCAAAGATTATTGGCAATCATGAAATGAGGGAGGCAAGGAAAGATTCTCTCATAGAGACTTTAAAGCCAGCAAAGCTTACTGACAACTTAATTTCAGAATTTTGCCTCCAAATGTGAAAAATGCATTTTTCTTTTTTTTAATCATCCAGTTTGTAGTATTGTTATGGAAAACCTAGGAAACTAATATATTTTCTGGCACCAGAATGTTGTGCTGATGTAATAATTACCTAAAAATGTGGAATTAGGTAATGGGTAGAAGATGGAAGAGTTCTGAGGTACAGAAAAACTTAGATTGCCTTAAAAACAATATTGATGCAAATACAAATGTTAGGGATTTTCCTGATGGTCTAGTGGCTAAGACTCCACACTCCCAATGCATGGCACCCAGGTTCAATTCCTTGTGAGGGAACCAGGTCATACATGTGTGTGGCATGGTAAAAAAAAAAAAAAATTTAATTTTTAAAAATTAAATATATAAATACAGAAGTTAAAGGCAATTTTAGTAAAGGAGTTGGAAATAAAAGAGGGGAATTTTAGAAAAAGAGCATATCCCAAACATATAAAAAGTTTTACAACTCAAAAAGAAAATCAACCCAATGTTTTTTCAAATGGGCAAAAAATTTCAAAAAAATTTTTTTTTTACAAAGGAAAAATACAAATGGTACACAAACAGATGAAAAGATGCTCATCACCACTGGCCAAATTAAAAATGCAAAAGAAAACAATACTAAGATATTACCACATACCTATTAGAATGGCTGAAATTAATTTTACACACACACAGACAAAACAATACAAAGTAGTTTTGGCAACAATGTGAAGCAACTGGGATGCTCATTATTGCTGTTTGGATCACTTATTACCCTGTTTATTTTTCTTAGAAGCACTTGTCATTACCTTAAAATTTGCTTACGTATGTATGGAATAAGTCAAAATTTATCTGCTTATATGTTTACTGTGTATCTCAATCAATATGAAGACCATGAGACTGGTGACTTGGTCAGTCATGTTACCATTTTTGTCATCTCGGCACCAAGAAAAATGGCACAAACTGGGCACTCAAAACATATTTATTAAGAGGCAGGAAAAAAAAGAAAGGACACTAAGATAAGTGAATGTGTTGGGGCAAGGAACCCAGTCACAATACACTACAGAGGGACAACATACTGTTGTAAAAGAAAATTAATTTAGATCACCAGAAGACTACATGCAGAGACCGCTAATTTCAGCTGCACGTCAGGATTATCTGGAGAGCTTTGCAAAATGCCAATCCCCACACCAAATCAAGTTGAGAACCATTGAGGAAATGGAACCTAAACTACAGAGTTGCATGTATCTGGGTGTAAATCTTGGACAAGTCACTTAATTTCCCTTTGCCCCAAAATTATCGCCTACAAAATGGAAATAATACACACTTCCCAGAGTTATTGTCTAAAATTAAGACTACAGATAAAGTTCTCAGTAAATGTTAATTCTCTTCCTCAGGGAAAACTTGATGAAATCTTCACTGCCCAGTGATAAATGCTAATTCAATCATTAACTTATTTCAGACAGTGACTGCAGCCATGAAGTTAAAGACACTTGCTTCTTGGAAGAAAAACTATGAAAAACCTAAGCAGCATATTAAAAAGCAGTTAACATCACTTTGCCAACAAAGGTCCATATAGTCAAAGCTATGATTTTTCCAGTAGTCATATATGGATGTGAAAGTTAGACCATAAAGAAGGTTGAGCTCAGAAGAATTGTTGCTTTCAAACTGTGATGCTGAAAAAGACTCTTGAGAGTTCCTTGGACTGCAAGGAGATCAAACCAGTCAATCCTAAAGGAAATCAACCCTGAATAATTATTAGAAAGATTGATGCTGAAGCTGAAACTCCAATAATTTGACTACCTGATGTGAAGAGTCAACTCATTAGAAAAGACCCTAATGCTGGGAAAGATTGAGGGCAGGAGGAAAGGGGGCGACAGAGGATATGGTGATGGGATGGTATCACCAACTCAACGGATATGAGTTTTAGCAAACTCCGGGAGATAGTGAAGGACAGGGAAACCTAGTGGGCTGCAGTCCATGGGGTCGCAAAGTCAGACACGACGTAAGCAACTGAACAACAACAATCATCAATTCATATTTTTCTTTCTTACTTGATTATTAAATTGAACATCTGCATTGGGTAAATTTAGAAATACAAACTTTTTTACTTTCCTGATAAGATGATGCCTGAAGCTATGTGATTCTTCTCAAACCTGGCTGTAGGTTAATTACCTAAGAAGACTTTTTTTTTTAATACCAATACCAAATGTCCAGACTTGGCCCAAGTCAACTGACTTAGAATCTCTGGGGGGAGTCTAGAACATCAGTATTTTTTTTTTAAGTTTAATTCAACAGTGATTTTAAAACATAGGACTGAAAAGCTCTGATTTGCATTAATGATATCCCATGCTAATTGCACATATGACTCATTCAGGGAGTTCTTAAAAAACAGATTGAGTCCAGAACCCCAGCATGACCTACTGATTCAGAATCCGTGGATGTAAAGCCTATCATTTTGCAAAGCTTCATAAAACTCCCCCAGCTATTCTGGTGCATACCCATTGGGAACCATAACTTTATGCCATGCATTCAGTCTCCCTGTTGTCCACCAGAAAACATCATTTAGAACTGTCACTGGCCTCCTGTGCCAAGCCTGCTCAGTGGCTTTTAGTCAGCAGGTGAAGTGACACATTACAGTAGGTCTTGATTTTACAGATCTTTTTAGAACATGTTCGTGTGATGCCCCTTGACCCAATCATTTACCATACACTGTGCCCAGCACTAGCTATATAGTCCATTGTCCTTTCCAATCAAATCCCTAAAGAGGCTGCTGATCAGGTAAGGACAAAATGGAATCACGTTACTCCCCAAGCTTTATTTCCCTCTAAATGGTATTGCAATGCCAGGACAAATTAAATGAATACCACTGGTCAGATGAATCTGAATGAAATCTGAGTTGTTTTCTGCACTGAGAAGAAAACTGATATGTTTGCTTCTCTCAGAGAGGTAATAAAAGTAGGGAAAACAAAGATGATCCCTGAGTTAAGCGCATTTCCAAACTCAACCTAAAGCCAGCAGCAGACACCTTAGAAAATGATTTTAGGGGTGTCAATCAGCCAGTACACACACCACCATGGCTGCACCACCAGGGAGACAGTAGTGCAGTATTCACATAACCAGGCACTAATTTAGGTTTATTAAGTATATTAATTCATGTGACCCTCACAAGAACCCTAAATGTAGGTATTATTATTATTCTTATTTCATGAATAAAAAGAAAAAAGGAATAGAGGTTAAATATTTTGCCCAAAGTCACATAGCTAGTAGGTGGCAGTTTCTGAATCCAGTCAACCTGCTTCAGTCCATTATCTTGTCTACTCCACCACTATGGTATAGATGAGTGATGGCTAAGTTCTTTAAAAAAAAAAGTTGAAGTCTGCAACAGAAACTGGATTATCAGACCATGTGTACCTAGGGCAAGTTACTTAATCCCTCTGAGCCTACTTTTGCATCTGAAAAATAGAGATAATAATAGTACCTGCCTCACTGAGTTGAGGTGACAATTCAACAAGATTCTACTGTGCTTCTAAACAGTGCCCGGCACTTTTAAGAGCTGTCAGTGTCAGCCATTATTATTATCTGTATCATAATACAGCCCAAGCAGTTAGGGAGAAATTACAACCTATGATGCTGAAAATTTTCCCTGCTGATCTTAGATCTGTAGATTCCCATTACAGAAGAGCCAATAAAACAAGTAATAATAGATATTCACAAAATCTTAAACTGTCACTGAGGAAAACCCCCAGCCCCTCCAGTCCAAGATTATGAGTTAGTCTGGAAATGGAAAGCTCTATTTGCTATAGTTCGGCTCTTTTTAGAAAAACATACTCAAGTATCAAGTTGTATAAATGTAAAACTGCACCAGGAGCTAGACTTTCAAGTAGCTGCAGCCTGTGGCAGACTTTTGTTAGAGAATATGTCACAGGAGAAGATTCCCCTCAGGTGGTAAATGTCGCTTTTCTCAGTCACATTTGTATAAACAAAAGAAAAACAAAGTAAGGAGTCAAACAGGTAATAGTCACCATATGCTTGCCACTGTATTAAACATTTTCCATGTATTACCTCACCTAATCTTCACAACACTTTTCCCACCCACAGGAAGCCAACAACCCCACTGGGTTAATCTCGCTTTTAAGTTCACGACTACACATCTCAAACAGGCACTCAGCGCTGCCTAGCAATCCAATTCCATTTCCCCACTTAGTTCACTGTCCCACTCTCCAGAAGGGCTATGTCACATGTATCTCCTAAGACCTCTTCTCCTCTCCCCTGCTGCCCTTATTCTCAGCCACTGGCTGCCTTCATAGACAGATGGTGCCTCTACTACCTGTCTGCATCTGTACTTTCCTCAGCTTCCCCTTTAGATACAATGGAATATATGTTCCTATTCATTTCAAAGCCAACTACTTACCAGCACTGGGGTCTCCTCTCTGAGGTACTCAAGTACTTCCCCTGAAATGTTCCCCCTTCTCATCTGCATCATTCTCCCCTTTCTATGAATTCAATCCCACTAGCACATAAACATTTTCTAGTTTCCCCTATCTTAAAAGAAAATTCCACTTGACTTTAAGACCCCTTTAGTCTACCAAAGATTTTCCTGTTAAAATGATGAAAATCCTCTTAATTGCCAAACTATTCTTGCATATTCACCGTAGATGTCCACCATCTCCCTCTGGCTTCCCTTCCTCTTCTCTATATACACTGTCAACCTAGGTGGTTTCCCCTAGTCCTTCAATTTAAATACCACCTATGTGGTAACGATTCCAAAGACCAATTCTAGCCCTAAAATCCTCTAGGACTTTAGACTCAAATTTCCAATGGCATATTTGACATACCAACTTAAAAACTGACTAGCTGATTTATATTACACATGTTTTACCATAATTTTAAAAAATCTATCAGGTGATTGACAGAGTGATGGAGAGATGAAAAACAAGCATAGCTAAATATTAATAGTAGGGTCTAGGTGGTAAGCATATTCACTGTAAAATTCTTTCCAAGTATATTGTTCATATGTTGTATGTTGGGGAAAAACCTATTAGGAGTCTCAACATAATATATTCAAAACAAATTTTGATTCCATCCATTCCAGATGGGAAATCTACCTCTCACCTACAGTGTTCTCCCATCTCATTAAATAGCAAGGCAAAACCCCAAAACTCAGGAGTGGCTCTCTCCCACCTGGAATATAATTCCATGAAGGCAAGGACTCTGCTCATCTAGAAAAGTCCTAGCACACAGGAGGTGTTCAAAAAATAACCTGTGGAATTAATCATGAGTTAATGCTCTGTTTCTCTCTAAGTCCTACAATCCACACTGGTCCTTGAGTGAGAACGGAGCTCTTGGCCTCCAAACCTCCCCAGCCCAGGGAGCAGAAACTGTCCTAAGACCCGATTATGGCGTCTTACCCATCATAGTAGTTTCATGCTCCTCAGCGAGAGTTCAACGCCTTTCTTTACCACAGAACCAAAGTAACTCCTGTCCCAAACCTGTGACACACAGAACCCATGACACATGTCACAGCACAGCTGGGCATCACACTGCCCAGGCTATCTTCCCCCAAGGATTCAGCGGACTCTGATCTCACTTTGCCCAGGGCCTGCCCGAATCCAGCCCAAAAGACCTCCTTGTGGTGACTGGGGCCACAGTCCAGTCCTTCAGTGGGCACCAGTGGCAACTTCCTCCCAAGACCATGGGCTGGACCCAAGTCTGCCCTCTCCCGCTCCTGGGCAGCACCCCTCTCTACCCTCCCCCGTGTCCCAGCTGGCCCCCACCACCTTTCCTCACCTGGATCTGCCCCGCCCAGCCTGGACCCAACCGCCCCGCCCGCCTCCAGCCCGCTCCCTTGCCAGTTGGGTTCACGCGGGAGCTCTCAGACCGGGCGAGATCGGTGCCATCCAATCCTGGAGGCTCCCGTGGGCCTGCGCACGGAGCCTCGCCCCGCTCCAGAACCCTCCGTAGCAGTGCTTCCCTCTGCTGGCCTTCCGAAGCACTGCCGCGATCACCGCGGACCGGGTGGTGGATTTCCTGTGGTCCCTGGTCCACTCCTGTGTGTATGTTCGTTCTCAATGCCGGCAACTCTCTGAGCTGTGCCCACATCCATTGAACCACTGAGGACTGTGTTCTCTGGGGGTGGTCGCCTGGTTCACACCTGCCCCTACGCTTCCTACTGAATTGGAGAGGAGCCAGGATAGGCTGCGGTTTGCAGTGTCAGGATAAGGCAGGTAGTGTTTAGGCACTTCGGATAGGATAGACTATTGCAAAAGGAGTCACTAGCCTGTGCCAGAATGGCCTGTGCCAGAATGTGAGGTCATTTAGCTGCTAAGTCGAGTGAGACAGTTTCAGCTAGGGTGGTCAGTGTAGGGGGAATTCAGCGTATAGACATTGTCTCAGTACTACAAGCCAGAATCGTTTTATCCTAACAAGAGCACCTCTCTTCATTTGGTCCTGACCAGAGCCACTCTGGTGAACCTAGTTCCCTTAAGGCATAATGAGACCTGCCTCACTTAGCGCACAGCCTGGTCCAGGGGAGCCATATCATTGAACTGAGCTGGGACTGAGCAAGAACAGTCACCCTCTGTCCAGGCATAGGGGTCTATTTCCTGCGTGGTGAGTCACAATAGCTTCCTACTCTCCACCAGAGGCCTGGCCTTCCCTCAGCAGCCAAGGCTTCCTCCAATCTCAGGATAGGATTCCTCCTTAAAGGATGGGCTCCTGTTTGATGTTTCTGTTGTTTCTCATCGTGTCTAATGTCAAAAGTCTGCAAACCATCACTATTTCACAAATCTGAGAAGTACAAATGAATCAGAATGTTCAATTGATGTGTTCCTACATATTATATGGCTGTCATGGGGAAACAGAGAAGTGTCTCCCATGGCGTAGGGAAATCACTGAATGGAGAGTGAATGAACACTTGGTGGAAGTGGTCCCTGAGGTCTCATCCTGCTTATGTTTTCACCAGTGAAAAATTTGAAGAATTATAAAGTTAGTTTTTCATCAAAATTTCTGCCATTCTTTGGCAGTCTTGCTATCACCAGTAGTACAAGGAGTCTGCAGGCCAAGGTTTAAGTCCCTCCTTTGCTACTGAAAGGTCCCCTTTCTAGCCTGACTGAGGAGTAGCTTGGTTGTCCCCTCCCTGTTGCCTCCAGATACCAACTTTTTGTATCCTGCTCAGTTCCAGGTCCACTGTGGATTCCTGGGGAAGCTCAACTAGTGTAGCAGCAGTGACCAGCACAGAGGTGATGCAGATTCTGGAACCTCAGTCTGTATTCCTGACCCTGGTCTGAGCACCCAGACTTCCTCACGATGGACCCTGAAAAGCCAGGCATACTTCTGCTCTCCATTGAGCTGAGATCCATCTGCTTTGAACTGCAAGAATTTCCTGCCCAAATGGCCACTCATCTCAAGCTGTGAGTCTCCAGACACAATCAGAGAGGACCCTTGAGGGCCTCCCAGATCCCAGTAAACAGCTTGCACCCAGAACCTCAGGACCCAAAGTCATGTCTTCACAGCCCCCAAGGCCCATGTGCAAGTTCAGGGTTTTCTAAACCTTTCTTGGGGCCAGGTAAGAGCAGATAATTAAGAACAAGCAAAGCTGACAACTACAACAAAAAAATTGTTTCAGCCGCACTACCCTTCCACAGGCTCCATCGTGGTACAGACCTCTGCTTTACAGCCTGGTTTATTTTTGGATGGTGCTCTTCACACCCAGCACCACCAAATGTGAGTCAGTGGGGACTGTGAGCTTGGAAGAAGCTGTGGGGCCATTTCTGTGTGTTTCTTTCTCTCTGATCCGCTTTGAGATACTTCACATAAAAGACTCTATAAAAATAAATTGTGGAAAGTACAAGGCCAATAAAAATCCCAGTGGAAGCTGAACACTAGTTTATTTAAAAAGCCGAAGGACATGCACTTACCTCGTTCTGGATTCCCAGCTGCCTAGTTCCTGGGCCTGGCACATGGTCAATGCCCCATAAATATTAATTGATCAATCCATTAGTTGGTTGCTCCCCCATGTGCAGAGCAACAGTCTACCGCTCTGCCTGAGCACACACACAAGCCTAAAGAGAGAGTCCTTAGGCTTTGATGGGAGAGTTGCTAAGTTGGCAAGGGAGTCTGCCACAATGCCCTGCCTTCTACTTCCAGCTCTGCTTATTAAGAGTCAAATAAAGATGTAGCAGAAACTGAATTGCAAACACTGCCAAATTCTAAGAGAGGAGCTGGATGCATGCCTTTCAGGCCTCATATATTTGGTCCTCTTGGTCAGTGCCAAGCCCTGGGCTTTATAGCAAAAATTCAGATGTTGTCATCTTACTGCATCTTATTAGCTGGACAGAATAGGGTGCATGCAGAAGGCAACTTCTTTGTTCCTTTCCAATGTCTTTCAAACTCAATGCTTAGATGCATTTTTCCCCCTGGGGTCTTGCATATAAAACCTTGGGCAGGTCTATAACTTTGAGCACCCAGAACAGTCCTTTTCAGTGTAAGACTCCCTCTGACTTCTTATCTAATTCTCGGGCTCTCTCTATCTTGAGGCCAGGACTGCTTTGGGCTGGAAATAGGCATGGGAAGTGGGCACTTCAGTTTCTCCTTTCTTACCCAAATTCACACCCACATTCTACCCTCCAGACCCAGCATCTGACACCTCTGCAGCTAGAACCCAACACAGGACCCTCTGCTGACTGTTTGTCCTGAGAAAATCCTGGGCTTTCCCTAAGAATTTCCCTAAGAATTCCTTTTTGAGATACCTCCAAGGGCAGCTCCATGGCTTGGGTGAAGTTGCCATTCACCAGTTGTTTATAATGCCCTCCCTCTTTTCAAATGAAGGAAGGGCCACCTTCAGGTCATTCTGAAACTTCCTACAGAACCCGCCTTGCCAATACATGAGCAGTCATGGCGTGGTTGAAGCAGAGTAAAGAAGACCACTTTTCAAAGTTAAACTTTTTTATTTTGAGATTATTGTAGATTCACATGCAGTTATATAAAACAATACAGATGATCTCCCATACTACTCACTCAGTTTGCCCCAGTGGTAACAACTTACAAAACTAGCAGAACATCACAACCAGGATATTGACATTGATGGGACCCATCCCTCTTGCTCAGATTTCTTCTGTTTTACTTGTACTCATTTTTATGTGTGTATTTTAAGTTCTATACAACCTAAAATTTACATACATAATACTGTACATCAGCTGTGTTTCAATTTTTTTAAAAAGTTCTACATAATTTTATCATAGGAATAGGTTCATGTATCCACCACCACAGTCAAGATATGAAACAGTCTATCACCATCAGAATGGTGCCCCTTTATAAACCACACCCACTTCCCTCGTACCTGCCCTTCCTCCCCTGCTTCCTCCTAAATCTAGAGTAACCACGAATCTATTCCCCATTTCTATAACTTTGTCATTTTAAGAATGCTATATAAATGGAATCATGCTGTGAAAACTTTTGCGATTGACTTTTTTTTTCAGCATAATTCTCTAGAGATGCATCCCAGCATGAATCAATAGTTTACTCCTCTTGGTGTGAATGTACCAAAGTTTGTTTAACCATTCACCTGCTTGAAGGGCATCCAGATTATTTGCAGTTTTTGGCTATTACAAATAAAGTTGCTATGCTATAAACATTCATGTACAAGTTTTTGTGTGAATATGTTTCCATTTCTCTGAGATAAATGTCTAATATGCAGTTGCCGAGTCTTATGGTAATTGTATATTTACTTTTTTATAAGGAATTGCCAAACAGTCTTCTAGAGTGACTGTACAATTTTACATTCCCACCAGCAATGTATGAATGACCAGTTTATCCATATCTTCACCAGCATTTGATATTGTCATTATTTTCTACTTAACCATTCTGATAGATGTATAAAGATATCTGTGGTTTGACTTTGCATTTCTCTGATCACTAATGAGATTTAACATCTTTTCATATGCTTACTTGTCATTTATATATAATCCTCAGTGAAATATCTGTTCATTTTCTATTTTCTAATTGGATTTTTTGATATTCTACTGTTAAATTTTGAGAGTTACATTCCAGATACTAGTCTTTTGTTGCATATATAGCTTGCAAATAATCTCTCCCAGTTTACAGTTTATCTTTTCATCCTCTTAATAGAAACTTTCACAGAGAAAAGGATAGATTTTTCATTTTTCCTTTTATGGATTGTGATTTTGATGTCAAGTGTAAGAACTCATTGCCTAGCTCTAGAACCCAATTCAGGGTTTCCCAGGTGGCACAGTGGTAAAGAATCTGCCTGCCAATGCAGGAGACACAAGAGATCCAAGTTTGATACCTGGGTCAGGAAGATTCCCTGGAGGAGAAAATGGAAACCCACTCCAGTACTTTTGCCTGGAGAATCCTATGGACGGAGGAACCTGGAGGGTTGCAGTCCATGAACTCGCAGAGTTGGACATGACTGAGTATGCATGCAACGCAGCAACACAAGAACCCAATCCTTTTCTTTTATTCCTTTAAAATTCTCATTGTTTTACATTTATATTTGAGTCTGTGATCCATTTTGAGTTTGTTTTTGTTTAAAGTGTAAAATCAATAGGGTTAATGGGGGATTTCTGTTGTTTTTTTTTGTTGGCTTTTTTTTTTTTTTGTCTATGCATGTTCATTTATTGAAAGGCCATTTTTTTTCCCATTAAATTTCTTCTGTACCTTTGTCAAACATTAGTTGGGAATACTTGTGCAGGGTTATTTCTGGGTTCTTTATTCTGTCCCATTGATCTATATGTTTATCCCTCTGATAGATTATACTGACAAAGTATAGATTATACTTTGATTATGGTAGCTATATAGTAAGCCTTATTATTTAGTACAGTGGTTTCTCTCACTTCAGTCTACTTTTTCAAGATTATTTTAGCTGCTCTAGGGTTTGCACCTTTTCAGAACATTTTTTAAAATAAAAATATAAAATAAAATTTATAAAATGGATTTTAGAATAAGCTTATCTATGTCTACAAAATGCTTTCCTGGGAATCTGATAGGAATCACATTAGACCTGTAAATTAATTTGGGGAGAATTGACATCTTTACTATGTTGAGTTGGGAAGGCCACTTTTGCTCTGCAGTTTAGTGATGAATGTGTGTATGTTTGAGCAACCTAATACAAATAGTGTGCTGGAAGATAATAGAAGCTTAATAAATATTTTTGGCAGAAAGGAAGGATGGGAGAACCTGGGAAAATCTTGAAAAGCTTGCATCAGTGTTTCCCAAATTTGGACACACATACAATCCTCTGTTGACATTAGTAAAAGTACAGATTTCTGGGTTTCACCTCAGCCAAGCCTGCTGGTTCAGATTCTCCAGGGTTGAGGCCAGCGGACCTCTATTTTTAACACTCTCTATAATTGGTTCTCAGGTACAGTCAGGTTTGAGAACATGCAATACAGAAACTAGACATGGAAGCAGTTTGCAGGCAATGAGCTGAGTCCCTTAGGACCACAGTGTTCTTTCTAATGTTTGCCCTGAAACAAAGGAAGTGGCCGCTGAAATCAAGTTCACTTAAGGCAAATGAACAAGTCCTTCAAGATATATGGCTCAAAATGAGTAAACAACCCTGGAGGGAGGGGGAAGGACCTTTTCTATAAGGAGAAAGATAGGATTCATTTTGAAACTGTAGCCACCCACTTCTTTTCCAAAGAGAAAATAAGAAACCAGAGTTCAGAGGACTGCAAGCAGTTGCAAAGTTGTAAATAAGGTTATTTATTCACTGCACTGCCTACTTGATTAATCCCCTAACCTTGAGGTCCATGAAACTGTGCAACAGGGCCCGGAGAGGGCTGACTCCAGCCCCAAGAGCGTTGGAAACGAAACTGTTCAGATGCCTGCAAACTTCTTTCCAAATAACCTATCAGACTTTTCTATTGTAAAAGAAAGTGAAAGTGAAGTCAGTCAGTCGTGTCTGACACTTTGTGACCCATGGACTGCAGTCAACCAGGCTCCTCCATCCATGGGATTCTCCAGGCAAGAATACTGGAGCGGGTTGCTATTTCCTTCTCCAGGGGATCTTCCTGATTGAACCCGGGTCTCCTGAATTACAGGCAGACTCTTTACCTTCTGAGCCACCAGGGAATCCCTTCTATTATAAAGAAAACAGGAAATTAGAAATAAAAGTACATAGAGAAGAGCTCATAAATTAAATTTTCAAGCACAGGCTTCTTTAAACCTTTGTCATTGTTTTTGTTTGTTCTTTCTCTCTGCTGTCGCAAATTTTTTAATTTTCAATGTAAAATTCATTATTTAAGTAATAAATATATAAAAGTAAAGGAATTTTTAACAAAATATTCCCCTAAGTCCATCACCCAAATACTGGGCAATTTCTACTAATATTCCATTGGTTCACCTTCCCTGCTCTTCATTGTATTCCTGTGTGCATACATGCTTTTCTGTTGCTTTTTATTCAACTAGCATACAATTTGGAGTTATTATGTCAAACATTTTCTTAAGTTGTGACTTTTCAGTATTTATTTTACTTGTTTTCTTGACTGCATGATATTCAATAGTGCTAATATACTAGAACTGCTCTTTTTCACCATGTTATCTTTAGTATTACCATATTTTATTCTATTACCATTTCTGTTCTATTTTTTTACCAAAAATAATTGTTTTTTATATTATTACTGATATATTCTAAGGCATTCCAGCCATTTTTAGTTTGCTGTTTTAATCAAGAATAATGAGACAAACATCTTAAACAGATATTTTTTTATTCTGAATTATTTCTTTGGGATAAATTCTCAGGAATATCATTGTTAGGTCATTGGGCATAAGTATCTTTATGCCTTTTGATATTTATGAGAATACCAAATTCACCAAAATTTTGCAAAAATTGGATAGTATTTTTTAAATTTTGCAAATGTGGTGGATGCAAATGTATATATTGGCATTCATTATTTTTTATTAGAATGTGTCTACCACTTGTATTTTTATCATATACATTGTCAATTTAAATACTTTATTACTCTATTGTAAATTATAATGACCCTTCTAAATATATAGATATTAATCTGTATTCACAATTATGTAAATGTTTTCCCTATCCACTGCTCCTATTTTTACATTAATTTTGTCATTGTTACTAAACAGAAGTTTTAGCCTTTCCAATATTGTCAACTTCGCAGTTCTTATTTGTTATATGCTTTGTCTATTGCAGGCTACCAGAGAAAGTTACTATGCCTCTGTAGATCTGATAACACCAGAGTCTATTTTCTACCAGTTTTCCTATGCTTTTTTTTTTAATCAAACTGTATGTAATTTTAGCAGATGAAGTGAATTTGGAATCTAAGTCATCTTTCCCAGCTAGTTCAGTTCCACCTATGAAGTTGGCCTCCTCCTCCACACCTATATATTTCAGTTCTACCTATGAAGTTGGCCTCTTCCCCCACACTGAGGCACTGACTGCCGTAAGTCCCCTGTTATATAGCACTCAGGGTTCCTGGGCTCACACTGTGGTCCACCAAGTCTGTTTCTTTTGTACATTTGATAGCTCCAAGTTTTAGGATTTTAGTTTTTGCTATGGTGGTGGCCATCTGGTAATAGTGGATCTGCCATTTCACTCTTCGTTTTTTCTTAGAGGGTCCCATTTTATTTTTCTTTCCTATAATTTTTAGAATCAGAGCCCAAAAAGGAAAATGTTCTTAAAAGAATGTATAACCATTTGGAATTGCATGGGAAAAACACAGACAGATAACAAAACATATTACTCCCATGGCCTTTGAGCTAAGTCTCTCATCAGATTCCTTGAAGGGATCTGGGGGCACTTTGAATACCATGGAAATTCCTTCAACCAATGGAGAACCCAAAAGTACCAGCTGCAACAAAGCATGTGTCCCAGAAAGTGTGACCAGTGCACACTTACGGTACCGTAAGAACGTACCCTTTACAGGTTTATCTTGACGTGAGAGGGTGATTCTCAAACTCTTTCACCTGGGTAAGTCCCACTTTGAGCTCGCGGGGGCACATGCATGTGCCTGCATGCACACACACACACACACACACACACACACGTACACACAGAGCTTTATTCAACATAAACGCCAGAACTAAAGAGGGTCACAATCACTATTCAAAAAAAGAGTTTTAGAAGTGACAGGCATGCTTTTTTGTTGTTGTTGAAGTTACTTCTTAAGTGGGCCAGACCTTCCATCCCAGGTCACCTTCTCAGAGCCCTGCCGGCCTCCTTCCTGATTGTAGAGTATGTGGGTACAATCTTTAGACCAACATCTGAGGCTCTTCCATGTGATCAGGGTCAGAAGGACATCCAGGCAGAAACGCTCGGGTTCTGCCTCTGGAGAATGTCCCACTTTTTCTGTTCACCTAAAACAATAGCAGCTTTTGTTGGGTTGCTTTGCCATTTGGCCAGCAGCCTTCCCTAAACAGAACAGTTCAATTGTCTTTTTAATCTTACTGGACAGCAGTGGTTGTTTTAGCCTCAGAAGAGAGAAGCAGGAGGACGCATGACATGTGATGGAAAGATGTGTGTGTTATATAAGTCCACGTGGACAGGCACATTCTAGGGGAAATGTAAAAATGCACCAAAAGGGTAATCAGACAGCAGCGGTGTGAATCTGCCCCTCATAGCTGCATGATCTCAGACAAATTAAATAAACCTTATAAGCTCCGTTTAAAAAAGAGGAATAAGAATACCACTCAAAGTTGAAATGAAGATTCAATTAAGTCATTTATAGAAAGTACTTATATACCATTACTGTCTTAATATCTAAAAGAACCAAATAAAATAATTTGTTACACAATTTTAAAGGATGCATGATTCCATCCATAAGCAAAGTCCCATTATACCCTCCAAAACGTCTTCATACTTCCAGGATGAAAGAGAAAATGTATACAACAGAGGCCCTTAACCTTTGGGAGATTTATTCTCCTGGAGAACTTGGAGAATGTTAAAAGTTACTTTTTCCAAAAGATGCAGCAAGTCAACGTTCTAACTGTAGAGCTCCCCACCTGCCTCGAAGCACACTGTGGGCAGTCCATGGAGCCCAGGCTGGGAACTCACAGCTTGAGCACTGCCCACCCACAGGCCCACATTCTGTCAGCAGGGAGAACAAGTGACCATGACAGGACTCAGCTTAACTGCATCCCAAGCCATCGTCCATCTGAGGGCTATTCAGTCCACCCTGAATCTTGATATCTCTGCCATAAACCAGTGCTTCTCCTCACCCCAGCTGAAACCCCATGCTCGGGCACAAGTTCTTTGTCTACAAGCGAAAAAAGAAAGGCAGTGTATCGATATCGATGCATTAATAAGTTTGCATCATCTCACTGCTGTAATTTCCTCCTTTATGATTTACTATTAAAAGTAGCTAACACTTTTTGAGTTCTTACTACATGTCACACAGTGTGCTAGACACATGACTCAAATTGTCATCTAACTCTCCCAGGGACAGCACGAGGTGGATTTCATTATCTCCACGTGGCAGTAAGTTAGCTGCATCTTAGATGGTTTAAAGGGGTTTCCCTTGTGGCTCAGCTGGTAAAGAATCTGCCTGCAATGCAGGAGACCTGAATTCGATCCCTGGGTTGGGAAGATCCCCTGGAGAAGGGAAAGACTACCCACTCCAGTATTCTGGCCTAGAGACTTCCATGGGCTATACAGTCCATGGGATTGCAAAGAGTTGGACGTGACTGAGCAACTTTCACTTCACTTAACTAGATGGTTTAAAAGTCACTTGCTGCAGGCCATTTAGTCAGGAGCCTAGCTTGGAGCTGTGCTATCACGACTCTGATCTCTGCCTCCTCCCTTCAGGGCACTGCAGATCTCCTAGGACATTTCATAAGTACTGACACTTTCAGTCCTTAACTGTTTCCCCATGTATCCCCAAAGCGTTGCCCACCCTATTTTCTTTTAGCTCCCCAGCCCTGAGGAGCCCCCTCTGGGAAGATTGCCCTCCACATATAAGCTGCTCTCTGCTTGCTATACACTTTTGTGAACCCATAATGCATCACTCTTAAAGTTGTCAGAGTGTCCAACTTTCCCATAAATGGCATGCAGGGTCTTCAAAGCCTCCATGTCATCCTCTCTATTAACGCATTGCTTCCTATTTCAGATAAGAACCAGCCCACTTGTCATATTTGAATTTCAAATATCCACCCACCTTATCAGCTTGCCTGCCACTGTCCTTTGAGAGTCCAGTTCAATCATTTGTGATGAAAATGTAGCTGGGGCACAATGAAATGAAAGTGAAAGAGTGTGTTTCAATTATACCTAAATCTTCACAGCCAATGCCTTGATAAGTTTCAGTGGGTCATGAAAATGTGTTGATGCAAAAGCTTCTTGAACATTCAGCATTTTTCAAATACTGAAACTACCTGTGTTGTAGGCACATGAACAGAATTCAAGAGTTTAACCCTCTCTACTTGCAGTCTGACAGTTTTTGTGACACTTACTCCTTCCACATCTTCATCTATCTGATCTGACTCCAGCCTGGTCATCCCAGCTTCTGGTAGCACCTTGTGTGAACAGTTTGGCTTTCTTGATTAAGAAAGAGCTCACTGTGTTAAAACCACAGGGGCTATTGAGAAGGGCCACATTACATGTCACCAAGACTCTTCTCTGAAATACATCTAGCCCATGGGAAGGCTGAAGCACACAAAGTAACCCATTGAGAGAGAGAGCCGAGGAGAGAGAGTGGGCCTGGCCACATGCTGGAGGCAGCAGAGGAGAGCACTGAGCCAGGGGTCCATGAAGTGGGAGACCCGGGGTTGAATTCTGACTCCATCACTTACTTACTAATGACCCTGGGAAAGTTCTGAATGCGTCATCAGTATAGGGTGATGTGTCAGGGCATAGGGTTGTCGCCTTGGATCATGGAATATGCTAAGTACCACAAAGAGGTGTGACCCCAGAGGGGATGCAAGGAGAATGCTGTAATGCCCATGGACCGTCACCCAGCCAAAGTAGAGACACTGACTCCCTCTAGAAGAATTGAGCCCAGCGTCATTCCACCCAGAGTGCTACCCACCTGAGGGTGCTGTCATCTGGGTCCTCGGCCTCCTCAAGGTCTTCCCACTCGCTCTCACTCTCATGGGACACTTCTGGAGGCCAAGTCTGTGAGAAAGTACCCCAGGAAGAGAACTGTGGTAAGGGAATGGTCCCTGAATCTGCCTCCAAACATTCTCCACAGGGTAGCTGGTCTCCCGATGAAGGGCTGATAGTCAGATATGCTTCATCCTCCAAGATAGGAGAAGGGGTTCCAGGTGGATGGTACGTGTCCCGTTCCTCATTATCACTGTACAGTTCAGGACTAGAAGACAGAAATCCACGTGTCTTCCAGAGTTGATCACAAATCCCGCTCCCCACCTTCCCTTGCCTTCAGGATGCTGGTCATGACATGTCACAGGCAAGCCAGTCAGGCTTCAAACAGTTCCTGCCAGAGACTCCTCTGGGGCCAGGAGGTGAAGAGTGAACAGGGCATGGCCCTTGACCCTGAGGAGTCCGTGATTCAATGGGAAGAGTGAGCAGTGAACAGATGTTACAATGAGGTAGTTAGTGCTACAGTACAGAATGTTATGAGAGTGGGCGTGCTCCTTACTGAGTCTTGGAGATGGTGGGGGGACTCGCCAGAGGACATGGATCAAAAGCAGAACTCTGACCCATGCTTCATATGGGAAGACAGTCAGACCTCCGGCAAGTTTATTAACTTCTTTAGAGCCTCAGTTTTTCCATCTGAAAAAATGGGAAGGTCAAGAAACTTATAGGAGTGTTGGAATGCTTAAGTTAAATAATTTTGATACAGCCATCCATGGCTCCTGGTACAGGGTAAGTTCTCAGTAAATGAAGGAGGCCGTGATTACTACTATGATTACAGTTCTTTCAACAGAGGAATTAGTTGGAAAGGGCCAAAGCAAGAGGCTCAGAACAACTCAAGTATCTGACCTTCAAAGCACTTTGTGCAAATATCAGGTCCTTTTCTGAGCATCGCAAAAGTGCTTATTTGGAGAGGCAGCTAGCTGGAGTAACATTTACTCCCTGTGTGACATAGGAAGCAGATGAACGGTGAGACTCATTGTCTGGCGACGAAGTTGCAGAAGCAATGGTGAAAGAATAAGGCTTCCAGGGGCTTCCAAAGGTCACCACACACTCCTTTTTTATTAGAAAGAGCAGTTCATAAAGATGACAGAGCATTTTGCATAGGGCTTCCAACATGCAAAGAAGGTACTCAGAAAATATCTGTAGAGAGTCTGGTTAGAGACGATGAGTAGGAAAATCTAAAAGAAATGCAAACAGGTTGATCTTTGTACCAAATACACAAGTCCTTGTGTATCAGCCTCTTCACCCACCCCCACATCAACAGGTTGATTTTGTCAGTATCCTCTGCCCTCCCATTCCCTTTCCTGCAATACGTCTCTCCCTGAAAATCAGCGCTGGCAACTCCCTATAGCCAAGAGCTCCCAAACACCCATGCAGGTGGCCCTCCTTCCAGTAGAGCCAGAGTAGCTGTCTCAACCTGAGTTTCGCTGTCAAAGAGATGTCCTTTCTGCTCATGAGAGATACAGGGTTCAAGTAAATGTGTATTTCATGTAAATATACACACTCTCATGTGCTTAAAAAGGGACTATACTCTGTAAGGACATTCACTTTAAGAAAATATTTTAAAATCTCTAAGCACTTTAAAGAAAAAATTGGTTTAAAACCTTAAACTACTCAACCAAATTGTGTAGAAAAATGTGTTTCTTTGTAAATATAGGGAGAGAACGTCATGGACGCTTTACCAAAGGACAGGAAATCCAGCCTGGTGCCCAGACCCACTCTGTTCCCTTCTCCCAACCCCTCAGCCGCCAACCTGTCCCACCTTCCCTGCCAAGAAGCAGGGACAACAGGGCAGTGCCTGGCTGTCCACACTTTGCCTCCCATGACTGTGCTCCTCCAATCTTTCTAATAATCTCCATGCTCTCCAGATTGAATTTGGGGCTCTAGCTACTGGCCCTATCAGGAGAGAGATCCAGGGAGGCCATCAGCCTAAGAGGCAAGAGGCAAAGCTGCTGGGTGTCTGGAGAAGTGTTGGTGATCTCCAGGGTGACACGCTGGCCATTCTGGTGACATTCTTACCTCAGGGAGAATCACTGCCTTTCCATCCACCCTTCCACCCAGGCTCCCGACTGCTCTTGGAGCTCTGACCTGGGGTTTGCTTGTGGATGTGGGAAAAGAGAGGTGAGGCAAGAAGAGGCATAGGAAGTCAAATACTGTATTGCTTTCTTACATGTTTTACAGAGATCTATTACTATATGGCAGTAGTATGTGTACACTGTGGTAAAAGAAGAGAATAGGGCAAGAAAAGTAGAATTTCATCTTCTCCATGAACACTCTGGGTTTGCAAGGGTGCTGGCAGCCACTTGGCTGTAGGAAGTAACCACCTGGTAGATGGTAAGATCTGGCAGTTTGCTGGGAATTTCAATTGATTGGGATCTGTCTTTAGCTGGAAATGGCTCAGGAAAGAGAAGGAAAACTAACTTGTGTTGAGTTTTTGCTGTGTGCTAGGCTCTGGGCTAGCGCTCTGCATGCGTTATTTCTTTTGAACGGCACACTTTGGAGTTACCGAAGTCTTCATTAACATTTGAGAATCCTCAAGCTCAGAGAAATCAATTCTCCAGACACGCTAGTAAGTAGTAGAGCTGAAACCAAGGCTATGTGATCAAGAATGTGATCTTTTTTATCTAAACCACTGAAAGAAAACTTCACTCATGGATGCCAGAAACAAAGAGGCAGTTACCTGGGGCAGTCACTTCAGAACTAAACTGTGGACATTCAAGGGAGATCCACAAAGAACCACAATCCCACCTTGGAATCCTAATTCTGACCCTACCCAGGAGCTGGGGGACCTGTGTCCAGAGATTGCTGGTCATGTGCCATGCTTTTCCTCCTGTAGGGGGAAGTCACTAACTATATGCTTTAAGTGCAAGCTAAGGTTCTATTAGAGGAGAAGCTAACATAGCTGAATTTTGTTTGGCTGGAACAATACAGTATACTTAAAAAAAAATTCTATCTGGATGCTTCTAGGAAACATGCCTGGCTTCTGATCTTTGTCACAGATCAAACCCTGTCTAATTGCATTACCCCAATTGCTTTATAGTTTGTGCCACCCACTAGTCCCTATAGATTTGCCCTTATCAGCCTTCTAGGAGGCCAAAAATTAAGAGCCATTTAATGTCAGTGGGTTTATACAATATCAAACATGAAACATTGTTCCCCATTGTTTGGCTGCTTTGTACCCATGCATCTAACTACCAACATACCTAGGAGCAATATTGAACCCTTTCTCCATAACCGTACCCCTCTCTTTGCTCCTAACAGGTTTCCAAGCACCTTGGTATGTGTAGTAAATACTCATCAAAGTGAATGAAAGAGTTTGTTTTCCATCAGAACAGGACTGAGAAGTGGGAATACTCGGGGGTGGATGAGCACAAAAATGCAGACTAAGTTAAAAACAAATGGCTCTTCAAATGAACATTACAGGGCTTCCCTTGTGGTCCAGTGGTTAAGAATCTGTCTTGCAGTGCAAGGGACACCAGTTTGATCCCTGATACAGGAAGATCCCACATGCCTCAGAGTAATAAACCCAGGCACCACAACTACACGCCAGCACTCTAGAGCCTGTGAGCTGCAACTACTGAAACCCGAGTGTCCAGAGAAGCCACTGCAATGAGAAGCTCTGCACACCGCGTGCACACCCTGCCTCACTGCAAATAGAGAAAGCCCGCGAACAGCAACAAAGATCCACCAGAGCCAAAAAATACTATTAAATAAATTAATCTTTTTAAAAAATGAAGGTTTCAGTCTGGTTTTGAAGATGTAGTTTTTTGGGTGTTTTTTTTTTTTTTTTTTAGTTTCTGTTGATTATAAAGCATCATATTAGCTACAGAAGTGATGATGCAGACAAGGGAAACTCTTTCTTACCACAAAACTTAAGAGGCCATGAGGGATACAGAACAAAGGTTTGTATGCGAGGAAGAAATCCCGAGGCCTGCCATCTGCAGTCTCTAGGATACTGGAGGAACTTTAGGTGGGGTTTGCTTTCCCCAAATCTCACAAGTTGTGATTACCCCAGCTCCAGATTTCAGGTTTCTCTTGTTTTATCCTCCCCTCCAAATGCCCAGAACCATTCAGGCCCAGCAAGCATCTGAGCCATGTTATTAATTGCTTGCTTGTAATTTCTAGCAATGACATGCATACAATTTACAATATGTCTGCAAATGGACTGAGCCTTACCTTCCAAGTCTCCTGATATCACAAACTGAATCACAGTTTTGCCTCAAATCCTCCTCCAAAGAGGTAGCCAGTGTTGATGCCTCCATTTCTTGGTGAAGTCTGCATAAATGAGGGAAGGAATCCTGAGGACCAGCCAAGGAAGCGGCCCAGGGTCTCTCTATGTCTTGGTCCCATTGTGCCTCTTGGCTGGCTTGTTGGAAAGACTCTGACCGGAGACCCAGGCCTTCCCCTGTGTCTGGGGAGGCACTGTCCCTCCGGCTGTCCTCTTGATCCAGACTGGGGCTCTGCTCCAAGTCACTGCATATTGCTCTGGTGATTTCTTTGTCTGCTGTGAGCACAGGTGTCTATTGAAAGAAATACTATGGATTATTGGATCCATGGTGCACATTGAGCAAAATCTAAATATTACTTTTGTACCAGTTGGTACCACAGTTGGTACCAATCCACCCCTTTTCTGTGCTTTTCAAATGAGTGCCTAGACTTGCTATTTCCATGTCCACCTCTTCTTCTTTGCACCCACCCGAACCAGGCTTCTGTCCCCATCACTCAACTGAAAGATATATAATTAGGATCTCTAGTTACCTACATCATTCAAAAAACAAAAGATAATTCTCTGTCTTCATCTCTAACTCTCAGCAATGTTCAACATAATTGGACCCTCCTCCTTCTTGAGAATGTCCTTTACTCACTTACTCTACTTAAACACTGAGTTTACCCTAAGCTCCACCCTTATCTGAATCACCTCCAAGGCTCCTTCTCAGTCTCATGTGTTATCTCATTTCTTTGGACCAGACTACTCAGTGTTGGGGTGTCTCATTGCTCAATTCTCAGCCCTCTTCTTGACTTTTTTTGCATTCCTCCCCAAGATGATCTCATCAAATTTACAGGTTTCAGTGGCATTATTTGCTGGTAATTTCGAATTCACATTTTCCAGCCCTAGCAGATATCTCCATTGAATGCTCTCTAAACATTTGCTTACATGCTATCAAGAACTACTGCTTCTTTCCACATACCTTAAACTGCTCCCTCCAAGCACATCCTATCTTGGTAAGTGGTATTTGAGCCAATTCTACTCCCAGTCTTCACACCAATGTCTAAGCCAAAAATCCTCCCATGGGCTCTACCTCCCAGTTCAGTTCAGTTCAGTTCAGTCGCTCAGTCATGTCTGACTCTTTGTGACCCCATGAATCGCAGCACACTAGGCCTCCCTGTCCATCACCAACTCCCAGAGTTTACTCAAACTCATGTCCATCAAGTCGGTGATGCCATCCAGCCATCTCATCCTCTGTCATCCCCTTCTCCTCCTGCCCCCAATCCCTCCCNAATATACAGCCTTGATGTACTCCTTTTCCTATTTGGAACCAGTCTGTTGTTCCATGTCCAGTTCTAACTGTTGATTCCTGACCTGCATATACGTTTCTCAAGAGGCAGGTCAGGTGGTCTGGTATTCCCATCTCTTTAAGAAGTTTCCACAGTTTATTGTGATCCACACGGTCAAAGGCTACTTAACAGAGTATCCTAAATCTGACTTCTTCTTACAGCTATTTGGCTACAGCCTGAGTCTAAGACACAATATGTTACCTAAATCACTGCCAGATTACCTGCTCCATTCCATCTCTCCCAGCAACCTAAGTGACCTCTCCTAAGTGTGGACCAGATGAGGCCACATTTATGCTTCACCCTTCATCCTCCCACCCCCCTAGCCCAGTGGCTTCCCATGGCAGCCAGGATGGAATCAGCACATTACCAAAACCTACAAGCCCTACATGATGCGGTCCCCAACCCCCTCTACACCTCCTCCCCTTCCACAGTTCCCTTCATTAACTACTGCCCAGGCACAATCCTTATCTCTGTGTCCTTCAAAAATCTAGGTCATTCCTGTCTCAGAGCGTTTGCACTTGCTACTCCTTCTGCCTGAAATGACCTAACTCCAGATGTTTGCATAGCTGCCTTCTTCTCGTAACTATTGTAGTTCTAAACTAAAGTCTCCCTTCTTTGGTCTTCAAACAGGCCTCCGGAGCCAAGTGAATGAATGAAAATTCTTCTTCCACGTGGCCCTCAGGTATGAGGAGAGAAGAAGTATGCCCACCATTCCTCGCCTCAAACCCTCTCCATTGGACACTTCTGGGTTCTCTGGTAGAAGCTCATCTCCAGGACAGGACAACTGTTTCCTTGGCATTTACCAGATATCTGAACAAAACCACAGGGTACCAGCCCCTTGGCCTGATGACCTCTGAGCGTGTGAAATCTGACCCTCTCCCACCCTGTTCACTTGCTTAACACAATTGCTATCATCGACCTTCTTTTCCAAACTAGCAGGTCTCTGATTTCCTTCCTATAGCTCTTGTCTCACCAATGTTGGTATAAAATGCCCTCTTAGAGTCCAAGCATCAAGAATACGTGGGTCACCAAGTCCCTGTGCTGTCTCTACCAACTGTAACCCTCAGTGATAAGTGATTGACTTTACACACGGCTTATCCACGTCTCAGATGAGGAATCATGAGACCTAGAGAAGTTAGGCAAGTGTCCAAGGTCCTTGCAGCAAACAGAGCAGGTACAGATGATTCCAGGGTGTCCACGCAGACCCTTCTCCGTGAGGGAGGTCTGCTGGTTGCTGGTGACTCACAGCAAGTCCCTCCCAGGAATTGTGTTCAGCTTAAGGGAACTGCCTCAGCCAAAGTTAGGCCTTTCCCTTGGGCAGCTCATACCCCAGTGCTGTTTGGTGCAGATAGCAAAGGTACAGGCTCTTTTGTTCCAGTTAAGGACAGCTCTGAGGGGCCATCTCAGCTTCAGAGTTCCCTTTGGGGTCAGCTGAAGCCCCTATTGCAGCTGAAACTCATTTACTTCCCCTTCCGCCCAGCCCTGCTTCTCTCACCTTCACAAGGGTGTTCCCAAGAGCTGTCCTCATTCACCTCCTGCACTCCAGTCTCTATCACAGACTCGGTGTCCTGGAGACTCAACAGGTGGCAATGTGATGGGTAATGTTAAGTGTCAACCTGGCTAGGCCATAGTACCCAGATAATTGTTCAAATACAAATCTAGATGTGACTCTAAAGGTATTTTTTAAATGAGAGTTGTCTATAAATCAGTAGACTTTGAGTGATGCAAATAACCTTCTATAATGTGAGAGAGCCTCATTCTGTCAGTTGAAGGCCTTAGGAGAAAAATTACTGAGATCCCCAAGAAAAAATGAGTCCTGCCTCCAGACTGCCTTAGGATTCACACTGTGACATCAGCTCTCTGCTAGATTTCCAGTCAGCCAGCCTATTCCACAGAATTTAGACTGGCCAAGCCCCACGACAAGGAAGCCTGGTGTGCAGTCCATGGGGTTACAAAGAGTGGGATACAACTGAGAGACTGAACTGAACTGAAGCCCCACAATTACCTGAGTCAACTCCTAAATATCTCTCTCTCTCTCTTTCTCTCTCTCTCTCTCTACACACATGCACACACATATCCTATTTGTTATATTTCTCCCAAGAACCTAACAGGCATCGACATAGCAATCTGAATTTTCCAGATTCCAATGCCTCTCTTCTCAGCACCAGACCATATACGCCTAATTCATGTTTTAGAAGGGTGGACCTATTTTTCCCCTCCATTTCATTCTTCAGAATGGGAATTCTTACCTTCCCTTTGTCTGGTTTTATATGTACTCCCCTTGCCCCTGGTTTCCCCTCTCTGATGCCTGGCTGCCTCTGATGCCAGAGAACCCAGCTCTAGAAGTTTCACAGTCAAGATTTAAATATGTAACCAACTATGGGAAGACCCAAATATTGGGAGAGGTAGGAGCAGAGAGAAGAGAGAGATAGAGTGTTATGAGCTTGTCACAGACTAACTGAGGTTAGGGTGGTGAGCTATGTTCCTGCCCCAGTGAAATAAGACAGCACTGAACCCTATTGAAGGCAAAAGTTAGGCTTCTCAGGACCCACCAGACAAGAAAGGGGTGCCGGAACATGATGCATGTGGAGAGAGCAGAGGGCAGCACCCCTTACCTGCCAGCCCTGGTCCATCTCAGGCAGCGCACCTGGAGGGGGTCGGCAAAGCAGGAGCGTGACTTCCTGTGAGGCTCCTCGAAGTAAATGGAGCACCTCCTACCAGAAACCAAAATCTGTGGTTAGTTATGGGGCTGGCCTGGCTGTGGGGGTATCCTCTCCTGTGTTCCCCACTATCTCTCTGGCCCCTCCTCTGCCTACCTCGTTCTGTTTCTTGGCCGCAGAGAACTTTGGAGAGCACTGCTGTGGGCCTGACTTCCCCAAATGCATGGATCCAAGGCCACAAAATGATGAGCCAATGCTGAGCTTTAAATGACCAAGGTCTGCTCAGGGCCTTTTCACAGCAGCATCTGCCAATACTGATGCCTCTTCTTCAGAGAGAAAGAATGATTCTAGCAAATGACTCTTCCCATCTCAGTGTTCATTACTTCTCTACCCCGCTCATATCAGGAGCCATCGGTCACATAAACACCACCACTCTCATCTCTAAAGCTTGACCTCAGCCCCGAGCTTCTGCCCAGGCTCAGCTCAGACCCTCGGAACTTCTCACCGGTGACACTGCAGTGACCTCCTCTCTATTCCCTGGCTCCTCCACCCTCACCCACCTCCCTTCCTCCACATTGCTAATGTGCAATCGTTCCAAAATGCAGATATCATCAGGTTCTTCTTCTGCTGAACCCCCTCTCTGGCTCACCTCACCCTCAACATAAGCACAGGACCCAGAACCTGGTCTTACCTGCTGTCTCTCTCCCACTTTCTTGTCTCTGCACCCACATCTGTAGCTCCCACCATGGTGAACGTCTTGCTCCAAGCCACCCTCTCAAAGCCCCAGGCGTAAGGCTGCCTGAGGAGCTTTTATTACCTAACTAGACCAGGACTTCTCAACGTCTCACACTACTGGCATTTTAGGGTAAATAACTTTGTTGTCAGAGCTGTCCTATGCATTGCAGGATGTTGAGCACCATCTCTGGTCTCTACCCATTATATACCATTGGCTGTGACAACCACAAATGTCTCTGGGCTTCACCAAATGTCCCAAGAGGCAATTTCACCCCTACCTGGGAATCACTGATCTGGATCCTACTCAATACCCCCAGCTACAATGGACTACCACAGAAGGGGCTCCTTCCAAGCTCCCTTGAGCAAGCAGTGGAGTAGGGGCTTTTCTCTCTCATAACACTTATTTCCTGCAGTGAGTGTTGTTCTCTTGTCTATCCCACCAGCCCCATGGGTTCTGAGACCCTACAAACTGTCCGTCTGTGTGTCTTCAGTTCATCATACAGTTGCTGGCCCAGCAGTTGTTCTCAGAGGACAGTTCCTGAATCAGATGAAGGATGCAGGATGGATGGAGACATTCCCCTTCTAATCTTGTTCTGAGGATTCTGCACCCTTCCTCATCCCTCCTTCGTGCACCTTGCTCTGTGCCCTGGAGGTGAACCTGCATCATGGGCTACAGAGAAGCTTTCTGCTGGGTTCAGCCAACAAGTGGGTGAGCAGGGGTCAGATCTGAGGAAGAGGGGGAGGTCCAGGTTTGCTTTCCTGCCCATGGATGGGGTTATCATGGAATAATGATATCTCTCAGCTAATTTCATAGCTCGTGTCAGCGAGTCTACTTTACCCAACTCACTCAGTTTCTGCACTTTGGTAACTGCTTCTACCCACTCCCTCTGGATTTGGGGGAGAGGGTAGATAACTGCATCCACTGTTCTCAGCCCCAAGGCTCTACACTTTCCCTTGAGTTTCCCAACAACCCCCACACCTTTATTAAGCTTTCTCAAATGGTCCAATTTCTGCCAGGACCTTGACTGATATGTACAATATTTCATTGAGATGCTATGTCATAAACATTGCTGTTGTTGTTCAGTCACCAAGTCGTGTCCAGCTGTTTGTGACCCTATGGGCTGCAGCACATCAGGCTTCTCTGTCCTTCATTCTGTCCTGGAGTTTGCTCAGATTCATGTCCATTGAGTCAATGATGCCATCTGACTATCTCATCCTCTGCTTCCCTCTTTTCCTCTAGTGTCCACTTTTTTCTTTCTTTTTTATTACATTTTTTATCATAAACACAACCTACACAACTCTACATGCCAAAACTGTAAATTTAATAGAGAAATGGAAAACAGAGTAGAAAAGGCCCATTGAAACTTCATGCCCATCTCTGGGAGTGAGTATTAGGAGACCTTGGTGGCTCAGACAGTAAGGCGTCTGCCTGCAATGTGGGAGACCTGGGTTCAATCCCTGGGTCAGGAAGATCCCCTGGAGAAGGATATGGCAACCCACTCCAGTACTCTTGCCTGGAAAATCCCATGGATGGAGGAGCCTGGTAGGCTACAGTCCATGGGGTCACAAAGAGTTGGACACAACTGAGCAACTTCACTTCACTCACTAGCACAGAAGTCAGAGTTTTATCTTGAGTTTCAATACAAATCTAAGTCGAAACAAGGCTTACTCAAGGTCAGATACCTAAGAATTGAGGTGAAATTTTTAATATGAGGATGTTCTGCCAATTTCTCTCTTTATGTGATTCAAGCTCAGACTCCAGGTGTGATTTCCAGGAGCCCACAGTATTCCTCACTGAGAGTGGGTGGCCCTGAAAGGAACGTTCTCGGCCCACAAACCTTAGTCCACAAACAGGACTTCATCCCTCACGTCCTCCCACCTGGAAGTCCAGGCCTTCCGTGGACCTTCCATTCACAGCCAGGATTATGTCACCAACTGCGATGGCCCCGTTCTCCTCTGCCGGCTGCCCAGGGAAGAGCCGCTTAATCATCACAAGGTCATTCTTGAGGTGGCCGCAGTGCTCGCTCTCCATCTGCACAAAACTGAATCCCAAACCACTGGCATTCTTTTTTAGCTTGACTTCAAACTTGGGGCCTGTATATGGGATGTGAATGAGATCCATCCTTCAGTAAACTACAGATGAAATTTGCCAGCCTCAAAATGCAAATTGTCAAATAGATGAATTGTTTTTGTTTTATGTTAAAAGGTTTCATTTTGTTCACTTTTATACGGAGTCTATTATACATTTTATAGGTCAATGCCATCCAATATAAATATGTGAGCTGCATATGCAAACTACATATGTAATTTCAAACTTTAACCCAACATATCTAAAATATTACCTTTTCAACATGCAATCAATGTGAAAAAAATTATTAATAAGGTATTTTACATTCTTCTTATGAACTAAATCTTTAAAACTCGAGTATGTATTTTATCAATTTGGATTGGCCACACCTCAAGTATCCAATAGCCACATGGGCAAGTGGCTACCATATTGGACAGAGTAATTATAGATAGCCAACAAAGTTATATGTAAAGATACAATGTATAGCCATCTACAATAGACCCATATCACTTAATAAAACTTGTATCTCATATATTCCTGTTACCCTTTTAGAACCCCAGTCATGTTTTAGCATACTTGAAAAAAACTTTTGGAATAATTAGACCATGACAATAATCATGGCCAACTCTATGAAAATGTTTTTGCTGCCATTTTGTTTAGCCCTATGAACTGACCATAGACAAAACAACTGCTTCTGGGCACCCAAGGTGGACACAGACTCAGGAACTTTTATAGTCTAGCAGCTAAAGAGGTCTCTAGGCCTCCCGTCGACTGCTTGTACCACTCCAATAGAGGGACAGAGCACTAATTTATAAACTCAGATTTGGGGCAAGAATGAAAGTGTCTGAAGCAATTAGGTTCAGGTATGTCACATGCCCATTTCAGGATCATCATCATCTGACCACTATAGCTCATTCTGTAGTCAGTTTCTCAAAGGTCCTCGGTGGAGTGAGCTGAGGAACAATGAAAGAGGAAACAGGCTTATTTTATGCACACACCTTCCCCCCTCCACCATGTGTATTCAAGATGACTTATGCCTTCAGAAAAATCTCTATAAAGAGGTTGAAAAGCGGTTACGTTCCAAATCATGCTGTTTTAAGGGAATAAGTGTCTTCCTAGCAGGAAACAAAACCATAGGGAAGTACAGAAAGGCAACCCATCAGAAGATGTGCTATAGTATCCCTGTAAACTGATCGTGGTTTTGCTTTTTTAAATGCTAATAACTAGGCTAGGTTTCTGAGCACCTTCCTCTCCTCACCCACCTCAGCATTCCTCAGATTTTACCACAAAAATCTTGGCTGAAATATGGACATTAGGTCAGAAAAGTCATGACCCTTTCATTTCAATTTCAACCCCAAACACTTATACACAAGCATTTCAGCAGTTGATCAGAAAACCTCAGAAGGCTTTGGGGCAGACTTATACCTGGTCATCATATTTTGGACAATGCATTTTTTCCCCAGAAATATTTCATTAGATTGCCTTCCATCACATCAGAAAGTCGGCCCCATTATAACCACCACTGCTCATTATCTTCTGAGAACCCAGATGAAGCCTTCCTGCTTTCCCTTTGGAGATGACAATTCAAAAGCAGCACAGGATGACATGACAATAGTAACACTCAATTCTCTCTCCTCTCACCATCTGTCGCCGAGACACTGCTTGCGGGCCTTCCAGGCAAGACTGTTGCCAAGGAAACAGCCGTGCACTCATCTCCCATCCTGTTATTAGCAGAAGGACACTGCTGTGCAATCCTGGGGCCTCTTCTTTCTAAGACCAGTCTTGCAACCTAGAAGTGTGGGCGGATGAACTCAATTTACACCTCATATGGCAACCAGGAGGCTTTCCCTCCATACAGAAAATGCTTCATAATTTTTTGATACTTCCAGTAGCTGCCTCATTTGAATCTCAAATCAAAATCTCCAATCTAGCCTATTTGTTGGGGTCCAGAGCCACATTTCCAACTGTCTATTGGACAAATGATCCTGGAAGTAATGCATGTACTTCCATTTCAGTATATTCAAGGCCAAATCATCTTCTCTGTCTCACTCAACCTCCCTGCCCCCTCCTCACTCTGCCTAAAACACTCCTATTCTTGCCTTTGCTCTCTCAGAACCCAGACCTGTCCCTCAGCTAACCTCCCAGGGGCCACACTTGCAGTAGCCCAACTCTCTTCCTTCCACCCTCCAAATACACATCTGGCTTCCAAGGCTTGTATGTTCTCCACCAGAAACATTCCCCACAATGTTCCCGTCTCCATTCCCTCTCCTATTTCCAATGGCCAGCTGAACCGGAGCAAGTGCCCTCTCACTTGACGTCCTGGACCCTATCTCCTCTTCCTTCAGTCCATTCCCCTCAAGGTTATTGGTGGATTAAAATAAGACATGAGTTGAAAATGCAACATTCTTGATTAAAAGTCTCCAGTGTTTTCCATCACCTAAAATTCAACCCCTCAGGACAGGATCCCAGGCTTATGTCAATCTGGCCTCCCCCTTTATTTCTGGTTCAATTTCCCATCCTTCTCCCCCACACTGTATGCTCCCATTACCCAGAGCATGATCCCATGACCATACATCACCTGGAAACTTTTGATTCTAAGCTGCCATTCAGGGAATCCGACCCTGCCAACATCCTCCTGCAGAAATGGCCATTCAGCACCAAGCCTGTGACCCCAGAGTGACAGTTTCTACCTGTCACACCGCTAGTAGGTTGGCCATTCTCTAAGCATGCTCGTTAGTCAAGTTCTAAAGAATAGAGAATACTCATAAATGATGATTCTGTTTTCAAGATATGTCGACCATGGTCACCAAGACAAGTAAATCTCACCACAAACTAGAAGAATGCTTTGGGCAAGGAAGCAAAAGGAGGCCCTTCCTTGCCTCTATTTGCCAGAGTGGGTCCCAGGGGTCCCTCTGCATTTCTGCCAATTGCTCAGTTGCCAAGAGGGAGATTCCAGCTCTCTGGCTTAGGACACTGTGGCAAGCAGAGGCTCCCACCCTCAGGTGGAGGATGCAACAGAGGACAATAACATCCAGATGCTGCCTGGATACTGCACAGAAAGAGAACTTAGAAGTTAATGCTCTGGGCAACTTGATTTCTACCTCATTGTCATTAAAGGACCCCTAGGACAGTGTGTCCTATAATTACACAAGATGATGGAACTGGCATGAACTTGAGGTGAGGCGGGGTGTCAATGTGTGCTGAGGCAAGTGCTGAGAGGCCCTGAGAGCAGATGGAGGCATTGGTCAGCTACGGCTGGAGCTGAGGGTATGAGGGGACGGCCGGAGCCAGGCAGGAGAAGTCCCTTCACTTCATCAGCTCAGTCCAACTGTCTGACTCCAGACTCTAGCCAAGCGACAGTAAGATTTTCAGGGCTCTCTATGGGAGGTGAGCTTCCCTACCCGGGAACATCTGCCTGCTTCCTCCTGACTTTGACACCTCCAGGGAAAAGTTGCTGCTAAAAGGTAGATGTGAAAGGAAAAAAAAAAAACAGAAAAGAAAGTCTCGTTTGTTTCCTGCCTACCCCTCCCACACCCAGAGGCAACTGCAAGTTCCGATGCTGCCAGGAAATCTCTGGAGGGATGGGCAGCTCCCCGGTAAGCAGTAATGTTGCACTCACCTGTCCAGAGCCCTTGAGGCACTGCACGGCCTGCTTGTGGGTGAGGCCGCACAGACTCATTCCATCCACCTGCAAGAGCCGGTCACCTGGGAGGGGGAAGATGTCATGTCCCCGAGCTGCTCAAGCTGCAGGAAGGACTCTTTGGGGAGACCCTGCCCAGCACCTCTCCATGCAGCCTCAAGAAGGAACGGGGAGCTAAGCTGGGAGGAGCCCCAGCTGGGCCTGAGTACTGGCCCCTTGTGAACACCTCCACTCCCAGTGGTCTAGAAACTTCTGTCATTGGCTCACAGAGTAGTTAGCCAACTAACAAGCACAGCCTTGTCCTTTCTCTCAACTTCCCATGAGACTATTTTTGAAAGGTTTTGCAAGTCTCTTACAGGTAACATTCATATCTCCAGGATATTTTTTATTTCACAAAAAGGTCAGGGAGACCCAGCTGATGCCAGGGATGCTGGAATTCTAGGGGAAATGTATGTAGGTAAGAGCTCAGTGCATTTTTTAGCTCCATTCTGGCCATTTTGGAGAGCAGTGAAAACTCTCCCCCTTCCTTCAGGGCAGCGGGCTTGAGGACGGGCAGAGAGGAGGCTTGCTGGTGTTCTCCCCAGATACTAAAGTGGGGGTCACCAACACCTATTCCATCCTCCATGGGGGGCACTACTCCCATGAAAGCCGAATGGCCACAAGCTTATTTAAAAATCTCATATTTTTAAATCACTTGTGTTTCCCACATATTTTGAGCCCCATGTTACGTGTCAGGTAGGTGGGCCAGGCTAAATCGTCTTTTCCAGGTGAAGAGACTGAGAGCTAGAGAGACAATCATTTGTACAGGGGACAGAGTGACAGTTGGGCAAGGCTTGCAGGCTGCAACCCCCAGGCCAGGGCTCCTCACACCCCAGAATGCAGAGCCCATCCCTCACCCTGCAGGATCCGCCCTTCCTTGGCAGCTGGCCCTCCGGGAACGATGGATTTCACGTAGATACCTCCACAGAGCACACTTGTGTTAATTCCTCCCTGGAGAATACAATAAAAAAAACCTCACCAGCCATTTGCTCCCCTCCTGAAGGGTCTTTCCCAACCTCCCTGACTCAGAGCCCCCATCTGCCTGAGACTCTATCCTATCACCTCCTCTCCATGTGACACCATCTCATATATTCACCTGTTGATTCAGGCTGTATTATCCACTGAGCAGGAAGGTTAGACGCTCATAAGAAGTATAACAGTATGAGCTGGATGAGAGAGTTGTGCTGTATCCAGCCCAGCACTGGCCCATGGCAGGTGCTCAGAAATGAATCATATCAATGTACCACTTTGTGTCTCCATAAGCAGAGACCAGCAAAGGTGGATACAGATATGATCCAAAAGGCTGGTGCTTGGCCTGTCCCATATGCTTGTGTGTTGATCTGTGTATGCAAAGGTAGAATTCAACTACACAGTGTTCTGCAATTTACTATTTTTTTAACTTAACAATAGATCACTAAGGTCCATACCATCGCTAGACAAAGATCTAACCCTTTTTCTTCTAATTTTTCCATGCATGTATGTACATACATATAAAGATTCAGTGGGATTATATCATTTATGTACAATTTTTATCCTCACTCCTCCAGGGTCCGCCAGATGGAGCTCAGGAATCAAATGCAGTGTCCATCTTGAATAGAAGTCTTGCCAACCTGACCTTGTCCTGGCCTTGGACATGGGAGCATGAGGCCCCACTGTGTCCCTGCTGTGGATGACTGGAGACAACTTCACTCATCTTTGGCTTGTGTCCCTGAGTCCCCACCCTGCTATCCTCTCCTTATTGTTCAGTGTAACCTTAATTCCAGCCATGCTCCTTGGAGTGTCTGCTCATCCCAAGTTTGTCATCAGTCCCCCAGTTTCACTTTCAACTCCTATTCCTCACTGAGGCTCCCACAGATTTTCTTGGTTCATCACTTCCGGTGTGCTACTTGTACCCAGTGGGCACTGGGTTATCAAAGATTGGCATATGAGTGCAATGCAATGCCCACCAAGGCTCCAGATGAGCATCTTTTCAACTATTTACTTTTCAAACTCTCTTAGAAATTCTTACAGTCACGCTGAATCCAAGTGTCCCATCTTCTTTAACCAGCTCCACGAAGTAAATTTCGCTGGCATTGGTTTCTGAAGGTGATGGAGGACAGGAAGAACCAGCACCCTGCCACAAGCAAACAGAAAAAGAGAAGGTGTGAAGGCACTGGCGCTACCTAAGCAGATGGCATCTCTTACCTCTCCCTCGCTCTCAGGAAATAAAGAAAAAAAAAATGGCACACTAAAAAAAATCGTAAGTTTCAGAGTTGGGCCAACAGAGGATTCCTTGTATGAAACTTGGACTTGTCTCCTGGTCTCTCCAGCCTTGTTTCCCAATCCACAGAACTGGAATGAGAGATCTCCTTCTAACAGTGAGTATGAATGATGCCCAACACCTAATATGGCCTCAATAGATTCCCTTCTGTTTCTACTTGAGATGCAAATATTGTTACAAGAGCTGAAGTCATTCAGACACTTCCTACACACAAGACACCATTCAAGTGAGGGCATGCTGGATACCAGACACATAGCAGCTTCCCCAGCAGAAGAAAACCTCAGGAGGATCTTCAGCCATCTCTAACGAGAGTAGCTGCATGGGTCTCTACTCTACAGTGAGTGACTGCATGAGGCAAGGACAGAAGAGAAAATTATCTACCTCATCCCAGGCATTCTGCTCAGTGCTGTGACATGCATGATATGTTGAGTCATCCTTCCAATCACGCAATGTTAATTGAGCACCCGCTATATGCCAGGTACTGTAAAAGTTGGGGAGATGGCAGTGATAAGACACACCTGCCCATATTGAACTACTTCTAATGGGGAAGGATCTTTCAATGAACTGTGCCAAGAAGATGGGGCCACAGATACTCCCAGCCTTTTGTCCTATCTGCCTCATTGACTTAACTACTTCCTGGTCTACCTTGTCAGAAAATATATTTAGCACATAGAAAATAAACAGGCTGAAGTAAGCTTAAAAAAAATCTTTGATACTAATATTTGGTCTTTGGTCTTTGGCATTTTCCTAATACAGAGCTCTCAAATCACTGGGAATTTTCTGGATAAGGAGAATGTCTTTGGTTCTAAAGAGTGGACTCTGGCTTCCTGTACAGTTTCAGGATGGAGACTGGTGGCCATAAAATCAAACCATGATTAGAAGCTTGGAACTTTCAACTCCACCCAACTCCCTATCCTCTGGGGAGGCAAAAGGAGCTGGAGATTGAGCTAATGATCCATCATATCTATGTGCTGAAGCCTCCATAAACATTTTAAAAGTATGGGATTCATAGTTGCTATGTTGATAAACCCATCTATGTAGGAAGTATGGTAAACCTGCACTCCAGAGGGACAGAAGATCGTGCTCTCAGAACCCTTCTAGACTCTACCCTGTGCATCTCTTCATATGCCTGTTTCCATTAAAAACATCCTTTACAATAAATCAGCAACGGTTGATTTCTGTTTGAAACAGAACCGTTTCTGAATGAAACTGTTTTCCTGGGTTCTGTGAGTTGTTCTAGGAAATTAACAAACCCAAGGAGGTGGTTACAGAGAACTCCAGTTTGCAGCCAAGTCGGACAGGAGTGTGGGTAACCTGGAGACCGACGACTTGATTGTGGTCTGAAGTGGAGCCATTTCAAGGAACTAGTCCTTCACCTGTGGGATCTGGTGCTAATTCCAGCCCATTAGCATCAGAATTGCTTGATATGGAAAACCCACACAACTGGGGTCGTGGTGTGTGAGATAAAGGAGAACAGAGTTTCGTTCTAGACACAGGGCTTTAAGGCAGAGTGAACCAGAAGACATACAACTGACACAGCTCCACGGGGCCCACAGCAAAAGGAAAAGAGGTCTGGTGGGGCAAGGAGGCCTTTCCATCTAGTGTCAGTGAAACACAGCTGGAGGGTGGTGGCCTGGGAGCTAAAGCAGACAGTTCTCTATACACCAAAGCCAGCCTTTGTCTTCTTCCTCCTTGGTGTGTTGTCAAGAGCAAAGCCAATGAATTGCAGCTTGAGGGCCAACTCGAGGCTGACAGTGAGAGATGTCTGATTGTCCCTGCACTGGCCTTGGCAGCAGCCAGTCATTACCAGCCACAGTTATAATTAGTGACCAGGGTCACTGAAACCTCAAACACTGAGCCCTGGCACTGTACTAGAAGTTTTACCTTTTCCCTTTTATATTTTTTCTCAACAACCATGCACTGTGAGCATTTATTTCCATTTTGAAGATGAGAAAACTGAGGGTCACAGGGATTAAGTAACCTCTATCTGCCTGACGTGGCAAATAGAAAACAAAGAAGAATTTTTGAGCCAAAGTTGTTCTTTGGAGAACACAGCCTGTTCTCTTTACTCCAGGTTCTAGAGTGAAGCAAGAGGATGATTACCTTTAACTGCAGAGCAGACAGCTGAGGCCTCAACCTGGGCATTGAACTCTGAGTCTGAGCCATTTCCAGTTCTTCGATATTTCTCTCCCGGTCCTGTGCGTGTGATGAAAAACTTCCCCGGTGTCCATTGCTCAGGCTGTCTGTAGAGAATACCCCTGAATTGGCTGTGCTATTCTTCTCCTCGCTTGAGGTATTGCCGCAGACACCTAGAAAAACAAGCCAAGAGGAAATCGACAGCTTGGAAAAAGGCTGGTGTCTCGGCGGCATTTCTATGTGGGGCACCGTGTTTTCCTCCAACGACGCAGAGATCTTTCATAGCCGCTGGGAGCTGTGTGAGTTCAGCACCTCATGAAAGATGATGCATTTAGAGTAGAGGGAGGATTCTGGATGTGTTCTAGAAGCTTAAATAGAGTTTATGTGACCCAATTGTGAAAACACAGGAGCAACGGACAGTTATAATGGCAGCTCCCCCTTACTAAGCTCTTGTCATGTGATGGGCTCCGAACACACACATACATATATACCTTTCCATCTCTTTTACATACCCACCAGGAAGGTGTGATCCCAGTTCAAACCTAAGAAAGCAAAGTGAAAAGGGTTAAATCTTGCCCAAGACCCCATAACCGGCATGTAGCGGCACTCTTAGAGCTGGCCTCTTCCAGGGTCCCTGCTGATCACACCTGTAATCACTCTATGATCCAAAGACCAAAGTGTCCAGTCACTGGGAGCAACTTTGTACTAACTGATGGTGGACTCCTTTTGGGTGAAGACTGGGCCACTGATTCCCTTTTACCCCATGTCTTACCCTTGAGTTGACATAAAGCAGAGGAAAGAAACTGAAGAATCAATAGGCAAAACCCTGGACAAGGTAATTCACATTTCTGGACCTCAATTTCCTTATATCTAAAATAGAAATAATATCAACTAGTTCACAGGGTTGGTGAGGCTTAGAGATTATATACAGAGAAAGATGTTTATATGTGGAGAGAGAGAGGGAGAGAGAGATTACAGCTTAGTACTTGGTACTAAGAGCCTGGATACATGTATTTACTATTCATATGTTAGTATCAGTGATTCAACTAGATCCTAGTATATAGGAGGAAGGAACACAGTTAGATTTTCTTTAAATCTGGATATATAGACACACAAGTAAGTTTACAACTTTTGATATAGACTCATCACCACCCAAGAAAGTGCCCAAATCCAATGAATGAACTTAATTTAATGCATTAGATTAAAAGTTGTTCAATCCTAAAGGTATTCAGTAGAGAGTGGTGGAGCCACCATTCAGTAACGACTCATTTCTGGCCATTTTATTCAGATTCTACTGTCATTGTCCTCTGGCAATGTTGGAAGCATCTGTTCATTTTCTTCCGTACCCTCAACAAGAGATGAGGACAGGACTTATAATTGGATTAAAATGTCAAGCTGTGCAACGTATGTCCTGCCTAATGGAAATACAAGCTAGGAGACTTTCTATGGGTAATTAAAACTCATTTTATTGTAGATGGTGATGATTGCTCCTGAGGGAATGATATCTGTCTTGTTCTTGACCTCCAATCTAGAGGACCTCCCCCAGTAGCACCCCACCCAGATAGAAACTCCTGGCGATCAAGCCTCTGCCCACAGTGACCAGCTGGAGTCTCTGTGAAAACATCTTGCTCCAACAAAGGTAGCAGCTGTGTCGAGGAGCCCCAGCTGTGACCGGGCAGAGTTACTAACAGGTGACAGGTTCCCAGGATGAGAGTACATGTAATTCAGAGGCACTGTGGGTACTCTATCATCTAAAATTCTAATATGAGACTGTGATTTTGAGCCTCACAGATTTGGGGTGCCACTTCTTGTCACCCCCCAATCCTAGCAGACACCCTTGACACAAATGACTCCAGCTCAACTGTATTATGTTTCTTGATTTAAGAAAAGGATGGTTTGATTTCTCCTTTCTGTTTTTCCTGTGGAAAGTGTAGAGGGAAACCAAGGAGCTAAAATAATGTGGGAAGAACAGTGACAATGTACAATGTACAATAAAGCAGTGAGCTGCGGCTGGTACTTTGGAAGGGCTGGGCAGGCTCCTGGGTCAGCTCTAAACACAGGATGGAAGGCACATGTCTGAGGCCCCAGCTTGGCCACCTCTCCCACTCCCCATAGCTTCTGGATCAGGGGGAGCTGCAGCACCTGGGAAAGCCATCTGGTGATGGTGTACACACATGCAAGAATGAGAAAGATTTTTCAGTGGGCAGGGCAAAGGGGGCAACTACGTTTAGGACCCAGAATTGCTGGCTGGTGTGGCTTGAAGCACTGCTGTACATGAGAGGGAATTATACAAAGCTCCCGGAGTGTGAGCCTTGCTTTGTAGGCAGTCTGCTGGCAAACTGCAGGATCATCCAACCAAAAAGCAGTGGAGGACCTAGGTAACTGGGAGGGAAAGAGATGTAAATATCTCCCCATTACTTTCACCAAGCCCCCACTAAATCTGCCCCAGATAAACATAGTAATATTGTTCTTTGATAGTAGATAATTGTCACATAGTTATCTAGAGCATGAATAAAAACATTAAAAAAAAAAAACTTTACTCACTTGATTGATCTGTAACATGCTGAGCCTTGACGAAGTAAGAACAGAGTGCTTGTTATGTGAGTAGCCTCCTGCCCCATCTCCTTCCCTTTTGACTGCCACACCTATGCCCCAACTATGCAGCAATCCCACCGCAGCCACTTTTAATGAGGACTTGGGTGACAGAATGAAGATCCTCCCTGTCATGTAACAAGAGTGGCAGCAAAACACACAATGGCTGCATCTGATAAAGAACTAAGGTAGGCTTCTCCCATTCAGCAGGACCAGCAATGGTAGAGCCTGTGCTGGCCCTGAAGTTGCGGAGTTTATTGATTTGTGCCAAAGGCATTACCACGGGGAAAGTAATAAACAAGACCTGCATGACTTAGAATCCCAGTCCCGGAAGGTAAAGACGCACTCCTTAGAATAAAGAAGACTCTCCAGCTTCTGAAAGCAGATGAAGACATACCTTTTGACTGAGAAATGATTAATTCTATGTTGTCAGGAGAATTCTGAATCATTCTAACAGCCATATCGAATGTGAAGCCCTCCAGACTGATGTGATTCAGGGCTAGTATCTGCCCTCCTGGAAGAATAAGACATCTCAATCATCCCATCAAGAAAATGAAAAGAGCAATTCCTTAAAGCAGCATCTCTGGCAATTTAAAAAGACATACCTGGTTTGATCTTTTTGGCTTTTTCAGCTGGTCCCCCAGGTATAATAGAAGATATAAAGATGCCAGGATCGACTTTGCCTACATCTTCCCCCTCATTAATCACAAAACCTATAGTCCAATTATATTAAAGAAGATGATAATGATTTTGCAGCTCAGAGAGGTTAGGTTATTTATTTGAGATTATGCAGCTGATATTTGTACCTAGGCCCTCTGATCTTCAAATAGCTCTTTCTACTCTGCCGTGACACACGGAGAAAAGTAGATTGTCTCCCTTTCAGAAGCACAGCTGAAGCCCATCAATGTGCATGGATTTTGCTCCAATACATAATCAGAGATAAGAAAAAGATGATTTTTAATCAAGTAATTTCTCTCAGTGCCTTATTTCTTGTAATGTTATATTAAGATTTTTAGGGGTCTTCAAATGTGGTAAATTGTAAGAGGTGAAAAATATTGTCTATTCTTCTCCATCACTAAGAATTTCAATATACTAAGAAATGGTGTTAGGTGAAAAATTGTTTTTCTACCTTGTTCTTAGATTTTCAAGATATGCACTCCAAAATCTTATAGGATCTAAAAAGAAACTTTTGTCCCCAAAGTTCCATTACTCATTAGGGATATTTAAAGGGAAGAAAAAGAAGTGATCACTGAAAAAAGGCAAATTGGAAGAGGACAGGCAGGAAAAGGGAGTAGGAAAGTCTAAAGGGAAGATGGTACACACCTCCTTTCTGCCCAGAGAGAGAGAGAGAGACTGGGACTTCTCTACTGGGGGCCCTCTTACCAAAACCACGGTGTGGGTCCCGGCTCAGAGTCACATGCACAATTTCTCCATCTGGTTCAGCTATAAAGCTCCTTCTCCTGTTATTCTGTGATCCTAGATATGGAAACAAAGCCACACATTGTGCTTTTTCCCAAAATTATCTGAGATGTAACGCAAAAGGTGTGAACATCATTTCATACACACATGCATGTGCACATGCATGATACTGGGCATGGATTACTGAACACATACCAGATGAGCTCACTGGGTCAGTGGTGGCTCATCAAAAGTAGAGGCAAGGCAGGGTGGGCCATGTGCTTGTTCTGCACGACTTATTACAGCTATTCTTTTTCTATACTGGTCTTAGGATAAGACAGAATTTGAGCAGAGATGACTTAGCTGACAGGGCCTCCCAGGGAGTACGATGGTAAAGAATCTGCCTGCCGATGAAGGAGATGGAGGAGACATAGGTTTGATCCCTGGGTTGAGAAGATCCCCTGCAGGAGAAAATAGCAACCCACTCCAGTATTTTTGTCTGGATAATCCCATGAAGCGTGGAGCATGGAGGACTATAGTCCATGGGGTCACAAAGAGTCAGAAATGGCTGAGTAACTGAGCATGTACAACCTTGCTGACAATGAAAGCTAAAACTAAATTTGGAGCACAGAGAGGAGACAACAAAGTCTTCCTCTTGTTGGCCCCTCACCACCAGGGGTGACATGGCCTCAAAGTCCAGCAGAGGCACCCTGCAAGTTTTCCCCCAGCTTGGGTCTTGCAGGGGACTCAAGACAGAGCCTTAAGGGGTATTCCAATGCTGACCACAGAGCACATGGAAAAATCCCCAAATGGTAACCCTCCCCTCAAGGATTTCCACATCACTCCCTCCCACAAGGCACCATAATGGGACTGGCACACAGGTCATATAAAGAGCCACTCGGTGGTATTCCAGATCCAGCCCCCGGGCTTAATGCTCATCCAATATAAATATCTTCTCTAATTCAGGAATCTTTATGTCCCACTGGGGACCTTCCTAGAGGATATATGACAAAGGGGGAGGCTGCCTGCCCTGTATATGTTTTCTGGTAAGAGAAAGTGAAAGTATTATTTGCTCAGTCATATTTGACTCTTTGCAACCCCATGGATTGTAGCCTGCCAGACTCCCCTGTCCATGGACTTTTCCAGCCAAGAATACTGGAGTGGGTTGCCATTTCCTTCTCCAGGGAATTTTCCAGGGATTGAACACAGGTCCCCTGCACTTGGGCAAATTCTTTACCATCTGAGTCACCAGGGAATCCCCTTTCTGGTAAGTAGTGGGACAAGATATTCTGGGACTGCATGATGAGTTGTAACAAAAGTGAATGAAGCATTTTTCTAACCATGCCTCTCCATGGCAGGTATGCCTCTCATGGGACCAGTGCTCAGAATCTTGGCCAGTGCTCACACATTTCAGATCGATGTGCCCAGCCCAAGCCAAAGGTGGACAACAAGGGCTCTTTTCAACCATAAGTAGTTTTGAGATTAATGGAAAAGCAAAAAGACTGTGAACATTATTGGAGAAGCAAAATGAAGTGATGGCAAAAGACTGAAAACCAAGCATAATGTGTAAGGTTTTCTTTACCCCTACTTGGCCGATGGTTGGCCTGTACCTGTGAGCATGCTCTGAGCAGGCTGCCTAGAGAGAGGGTCACAAGTTGTTGGCTTCTGAATCAAACAGAGGCGCTCCAGCTGCTCTCGGCCAAGGCAGGGGCTGTGGGGAAAGACAATAAGTTTGATAAGAGGCCCCTGGGAGGCAGCTTCCCATCATTCAGAGTATGTGTGGTGGTCCCATGCTCTATCGGTCAGCAGATCCATAGATGCCATCAAAGGCCTATCTGGTTATTTGAAGTACACTGGAAGGAACGGCTTTGGGAGCTTTCTCTCATAGAGGAGACCCTAGAGTCACCCAGGTCCCCTATGAACCTCCCATTATCTCTTCTTTGGGTTTGATAAGCAGCCTTTCAAAACCTCCACTTTCTTAACTATAACAAAAGAATAATATTCCTATTTCCCAAGACTGTGATGGCTGCAAACTAAGGTAGTATGTATACAGGACTGCTGCTTTTAGTGGGTCCTGATTTTTTGTTGTTTGCTTTCATTTTTTAGCTGGCCAGCCCTGCTCCAGCATCCCCACTGTGATGGCCCCTGAGGTCTTCACACAATAACTTACCTGCTAATCCTTGCAGCTAAAAACAGGAAGCTTTCATGTTGGCATTCAATTGAATTTGCTGAGACAGCATTCTAGCAAACAAAGGATGTTTTAGGCCCTAGGAGAATAATGAATGAAGTGGGGAGCCTGCCCTACCCACAGGGCCACCTCTGCTCAAGATAAGCTACATTCAGGGATGAACAAAGTAGAGAATGAGCAGGAAGAGCAGAGGCAAAGCCACAGGACTTAGAGCCTAGGAAAAAGCCAGCACTGGGCCTCATCTGAAAAAGGCAGGCCAGGAGATCAACCACCTGAACAGATTCAGTAACCCTTTATCACCCAGGGTGGCCCCAACCTCAGGGACGCCACAGCTGCCCGCACTGTTTTAGGCAGCTAGACCAAGGTGGAGATGGATGCTGGCAGGCAGCTTGCCACCAAGCCTCTCACTGTACCCTGGGATCAGTGTTTTTATGTTACATATATTTGACCACAGTTAAAATAAGAGACCTTAGATTTCCCTTTTCATGGAAAGTTATCAGTAACCTCTGATGAAAGAGATGGGAATGCCAGACCACCTGACCTGCCTCTTGAGAAACCTGTATGCAGGTCAGGAAGCAACAGTTAGAACTGGACATGGAACAACAGGCTGGTTCCAAATAGGAAAAGCAGTACATCAACGCTGTATAGTGTCACACTGCTTATTTAACTTATATGCAGAGGACATCATGAGAAACGCTGGGCTGGAGGAAGTACACACTGGAATCAAGATTGCCAGGAGAAGTAACAATAACCTCAGATATGCATATGACACAACCCTTATGGCAGAAAGTGAAGAAGAACTAAAGAGACTCTTGATGAAAGTGAAAGAGGAAAGTGAAAAAGTTGGCTTAAAGCTCAACATTCAGAAAACAAAGATCATGGCATCTGGTCCCATCACTTCATGGCAAATAGATGGGGAAACAGTGGCAGACTTTATTTTGGGGGGCTCCAAAATCACTGTAAATGGTGACTGCAGCCATGAAATTAAAAGATGCTTACTCCTTGGAAGGAAAGTTATGACCAACCTAGATAGCATATTAAAAAGCAGAGACATTATTTTGTCAACAAAGGTCCATCTAGTCAAGGCTGTGGTTTTTCCAGTAGTCATGTATGGATGTCAGAGTTGGACTTTAAAGAAAGCTGAACGCAGAAGAATTGATGCTTTTGAACTGTGGTGTTGGAGAAGACTCTTGAGAGTCCCTTGGACTGCAAGGAGATCCAACCAGTCCATCCTAAAGGAGATCAGTCCTGGGTGTTCATTGGAAGGACTGATGTTGAAGCTGAAACTCCAATACTTTGGCCACCTGATGTGAAGAGCTGACTCATTTGAAAAGACCCTGATGCTGGGAAAGATTGAAGGCAGGAGGAGAAGGGGTCAACAGAGGATGAGATGGTTGAATGGTGTCACCGACTCAATGGACATAAGTTTGGGTAAACTCCAGGAGTTGGTGATGGACAGGGAGGCCTGGTGTGCTGCGTTTCATAGGATTGCAAAGAGTTGGACATGACTGAGCAACTGAACTGACTGACTGATGCGAGATATTAAGGATTGTGAAAATCTGGCATTCATAAACTAAAAGTAGAGGAGTACCAGAGATTACTGAGGACTCTGATTCAGCTTTGAATTGAGAAGGCTGGCTGCCATGCAATGTTGCCAGTCCCCTCATGGGCATGTCCACTAGCAGGTCACTGGAAGGGTATTTTGCAGTCAAAACATTCTCAAGATGGCCTCGAGTCAGTCATGGCTTCTTTGAGCTTTTAATCTATCAAGTGAGCTAAGCACACCATCCCAGTCATCCCCACCAGGGGGCTGGGCATGTAAATAAACAGTCTTGGAGCCTTCAGACCAGTCCAGATGAGAGTACATTAAGAGGAGAAGAGTCAGCCAGCCAAGCCCTGCCCTAAATTTGTAACCCAGAAAACTGTGAAACAGAATAACAAAATACCTGTTATTTTAAGCCACTGTGCTTTGGAGTTGTTTGTTACACAGTAATAGATAGTTTTGCTTCATCATTATTGATTGGGTTTGCAGTATATGGTGATACATATTTGCATCAACAGAATTGGGAGGCATAATTTTCTATGAATTGCTTTAAGATATAATATATGCATCACAATCCAAATCAACCACCATTTCTTCTTGCTGAAACAGATGTATAACTCATTCCAAAGAACAGCTCCCATAATATCTTCATTGGTCACATGCTGCCTGTGAATCTGTGCTATTTATAGAACTTACCATGTTAGTGCAATCCAACTTATAGGCTATTTTAAAATTTATGGAACATTGTGTTATAATGTAGAGTTATGTTGATAAGCTCATTATTTTCCCTTGCAAATTAAATTACAAGTGATTCATCAACAAAGAAAGCAGCAGTAGTGTAGCAGTTAGGAGTGCAGATTCCAGGGCCAGTTGTGTGTGTTCAAGTCTCAAAATGGGAGAAAATAGAAACTACTTTGTAGGGTTGTGAAGGTTAAAGACTTTGATGGGTACAGTGTTTAGAATAGTACCTGGTTCATGACAAACCCGAAAAAGGCTACTACAACTTGTTTATTTTGTCCTCATCAATTTCATATCATCACCTAGCTCTTTCTCCACCAAAAGATAGCGCAACATAGTAGGGGGACACGGCATATCTGCCTTAGAGGGTATAGCATAGATTTGGCCCACAGACAGCCTTCGGGAAATCTCTGTGGAATTAATTGATAATTACCCAATGAATGCATACTTCCCTGAGACATCTGACCTCCTTTAAACAATGTTTTCACATAGGGATTGCTCCAGAGCACCAAGTACATGGTGGCTCAGGCCCAGAGAACAGATGAGTCAAACCCACCTGCCTCTGAGTCCTTGTGCCCTCGTCCCCTTGCTGGTGTCCATGGTGAAGTTATCCAGGGACCTGTGCAGCAAGCCTCCCGTGGCATCCTCCAGTCCGGGTACAAAGAGCGCGTTTTCTGAGCATGACAGTCTCTGAATCCAAGTGAGTTGGTTGGACTGGGCCAGGTGTGCAAGACTCAGACTGGCCATTTGCACACACTTATCAGAGTCTGAAATGTGGCAGAAATGGACAAACATAAAAACCCACAAGAATGATGCTGGGTCCATCACTCTTATGGCAGCAACACATCACAGGCCCCAGGTGCTGTCCTGGCTTTTCTTTGTCTGCATGGAGGGACCTATTTTTCCTCATGCTGGCTCGTGGAGCTGCTGTGATGAGCCCTGAGAATGCCAAGTCTGCCTCGTTAGCAGTCACTAAGGAAAGAAAACTCAGACACACAGGTAGAAAGAGAAGGGATACCCTCCATCCCCCGGCAGCTGACAGGACTTTGAGCCACAGTTAACGGCAGTGTCACAGCACCAGCAGAGCCTTGTGTAAAATTAACTGCTGCCACCCGTTCTGCTCGCTGCCTTTACAAACCATCCTCCAAATGTTAACAAATAGGTCTGCAGATTACCTGAGATCCCAAGATTACTCTCTGCCCTGTGGAACATAATCTTTCATCTCTACACAGCTTAGTTTCCTTACTAATAAGATTTAAGATCTGATTTTCTGAAATATGAATAGATCTTCCAGTTTTAACAACGCCCTCCCTCCCTTCTTGCAGAAAGAGGTAACAAATGATTTTGATGAAATCCCTAACGTGAGCCCAGGAATGTGAGTGACTCTCACCACTTCACTGTTTATGTCATTCGTAAGAAACTGGATTCGATAGATAGATTCCTTAAATTAACTAGGATTTATACAAAGCCCAGTTTGTAATTTGAAAAAAGAAAATGATGACTATGTTCTGACTATCAACAGATGGTACAACCCTGATACGACAAAGAAGAAAAGAATGCTCAGCACATGGCATTTGTGTGGCTCCAGTTGTGTGTGTGAGTGTGTGTGTCTGCACTCATATCTAAAGCACAGTGAGGTGTCTTCAATGAGAGCTTGTCCATGAGCATTTATTTCCTCTAGTAGACAATCCCCCTTACCTACAATGGTGCCTGGTTTGTTGTCAGTACTGTACCCACTGAAAAAGGTAGCTTTTTTTTTTTTTTTGGCCTTACAACATAGCATGTGGGATCTTAATTCCCTGACCAGGGATCAAACTTGCACCACCTGCAAGAATCTTAATCACTGGACTGCCAGAGAAGTCCCAAGTTAGCCTTTAAAAAATACTTTGGGGGAACATTCTGTGTCTAGGAGGCATTCAGTATCATCATTCACATACCGTAGGCAAGGGAGATGGAGAAGGAAATGGCAACCCACTCCAGTATTCTTGCCTGGGAAGTCCCATGGACAGATGGAGTTACAAAAGAGTCAGACACAACTTAGCAACTGAACAACAACAGGCAAGGAAGAAAAGAAGACTAAATGCAATTTGAATATGATATAGCAGCAATGACAGTAATATCCACACTAGCAGCCTACCTATCCTGTGTGCTTATTACTTGCCAGGCACAGTGGTAAGCATGTTATCTGTATTGTCTCATTTAATCCTCACGAGAACCCTGTGGGTTAGATATTATTATACCCACTTTATAGATGAGGAAAAGTGAGGCTAAGAGAGAGTTAACAATTTGCTCAAGGTCCCCAGGTTTTGTAGGTGGTAGAGCAAAACGCAGTCAGCTGACTTTACAGCCCATACCAGAAAGTGGATGTACCAAGGACATGGAGATAAAAACAGCACAGGAGACACATCTGAAGCATGTCCAGCCCCCTCTGATTGCCAAGGTCTAAAGGGACAGTGACCTTAGCCTTAACTATGGTGGATATTTAATACTCACAGGGAGACACTGTAGGGAAAGAAAGTGGTGACAGGGACTCAGCTCAAAAAGGTTTTGTGGGTTTCAAAGAAGCCTATGCATAGAGGTTGGTGGTATGGGAAGAAGAGGGTGTGCCCTAAGAAAGGCTCCAGAAGGTAGCAGAGAAGGAAGATCACCAAGGGCCTGAGTTCCCAGCAGAGCTCTGTCCCCAGCAGAAGATGGGGAGCACTGGGGCGCCAGAGAGGAAGCCACGAGGAAACGGATAAGGGAATTAGGGCAGGAGGGCGGCTGGTCACTGCAGATCTGTGGAGTCTTACAGCCACAAGCTTGTGGAAGGGCCACAAGTACCCCTGAAGCTTCTGGCCATCTGTCTGAAAGGACGAGAAAAGGCCTGTGGTCCCCCTCTGCAATGCTGACAGATTCTCTCTGATTTAATCCTGAATTTATGCACTTGTAGAAGCTCGGTGATTTTTCTCTCTCCCCAGGGAATCAAATATAACTATAAAGTAATATGCTTGTTGAGACAATTCACAGAAGAATGACTAAGAAACACTTGGAAAATGTCCAACTTCCCAACAGTCAAAGAAATGTCAAGTGAAATAATGCTAAGAAATCATTTCTCCCTATAAATGAACAAAGATAAACATGATAATATCTGTTCCAGCAAAGATGCAATAAAACAGGCACAATAATACTGGGCATGGGAATGGCACTCAGAAAAACAGCAAAAGCCCTAAAAATGCCCCTGCCTTTGTATCCGCAATTTAAATGAAATTTAGCTTAAAGAAATAATACAAGATACAAAAAAATTTTTCTTCCACTGATGTTTGCTGCAATATTATTCATGATATTAGAAACTTAAAAGTAAACATAAAATCAAAATAGAGAAACAATTAATTAAATGATTGTATTTCCATACCAATTATCCATCCATTCATTCAAAAAACATGTGTTAATATTAACCATTTCCCACTTGATACACCTGTTTCATGTTGGAACAGTAAAGGCAGGGACCTTCTCCCTACCTTCTGGGAACTCCCAGCTCACTGAAAAGTGGAGGTAGACACATCCACAAATAAAAGGGGCAGAACACCACATGTGAGAAGATGGAGCCTGCACAAAAGAAGGAGAAGTCAGCTCCATCTGGGAAGGCAGTACAGAGGCAGTTAACTAGCAAGGACTTCAAGGAGCAGATTGTCCTTGAACTTATTCTTGGAGAATCAGACTTATCTTGGTTTTCTAAGCCTGGAAGAGCATGGCAAGTAGAGGCCATGTAAATATTAGATTTCCCAAAATTCCTATTATGGTAGATTTTGTAGTTTGGGAAAACAGTGTATTATGAGCAAAATAGGCTTAAAAAGACTAATTTTGCTAGTAAGCCCACGGTGTCTTTATAAATGTTTTATGTTCATTGATATCAGGTAATAAAATAGATACTGATGATGTCTCACACTTTATCTCAGCAATAGCAGGTAAGACACAATTTACATTCATTATTTCTAGCTCCCTGGAAACATTATAGAAATGCTACTCTGTGACTTCAAAGACATATTTATATATTTATTTGGTTTTGCTGAAAATAAGAGGCCACTTTTATTTTCTGTATTTGGTTCTGCATCTGAATGCTCAACAGTTTTGTTTCCTAGTTGATCCCCAACCCCAGGATGCCAGGACTGAGTGATGCAGCTCCCCTGTGAATCGACTGCTGCCAAACAAAACCCCTTGGCATGCTGCAGTCTATGGGGTCGCAAAGAGTCGGACACGACTGAGCGACTGAACAACAATAAGAAACAAAACCCCCACAAGCAGGAGCTGCCATTACTAGTCACATGGAGCCATGACCATCACACATTCATTCCAGATGAGCGAGAAACAGCATGGCCCATCCTTGGAGAACAGCGCAACCTGTTGGATGAACAGTTGCTCAGCTGAGGACACCGAGGCCCAGAAAGGGCAAGTGAGTGTTCAGAGTCACGCAGCTAGTAAATGGCCTAGCTCTGGGTCTGTTGGACTCCAGGGTCCACATTCCAAGCCCGGGGTTCATCTGCATCCAGATCACCTGGGTTCTTTTACAAGTGCAGATTCTGATTTAGGGGCCTGAGATTCTGCATTCCTAGCTGGCTCCCAGGTGATACACCCACAGAGACCGCTCTGGGAATATGAATGGTGAAACCACTATATTACATTGCTCCCTGTTATAAATGAATAAGAAATAATGGTGAGAGCTCAACAGTAAATGTGATACACCCAGCCTTCAAACCCAAATAGCTTTAGGTTGAGAATGTAGGGTCTACTCACCACTTGTAACTCCAGGAGAGCTCATCTGAGCGTTAAACCCATGCTGGGCGCAGCACAGGCCCAGCAAATATTTACAGGTCTTGACTGAATCAGTGACAAATGTGTGCTTTTTCCCAGTGATGCTGCTTGTGATGATGAACTTCTTTCGCTGTGGGGAACAAACGCTGGCTTTAAAATATTGATCATTCTCACCCATCCATCGGAGCACAACTATCCAGAAAATAACCAAATGCAGGAGCTGTCAGTTGGATACCAGTGTGGTAGGCATCCAGAAGGGTATGGCAGATGTTATCTGACTATGGCCCAACATTTTTTCTTAGATTAAATACAACTTTTTTTTCCCCTTCATTCATAAATCAAATGTTTCTTTATTGAGCAATTGCTATCTGCCAAGGACTGTGCTAGGTGAAAAGAATATGAAATGAGTTCAGTACAGGCATTGCCCTCAGCAAGGAGTGAATATAATTTCCATGTGCATTGGGAAAGGTCATTAAATACAGTTTGCATTGTCCAAACTCTCAGACATGGAAGGCAAAATCTCAGCTAGCAGGTTTACAGAAAAGATAAAATCACATCAGTGACCTCATATTTCACGCTGTTATGTGCCAAGTTCTGTTCTAAATCCTCTCTGTGTTTTAATTCATTTCATCCTAGAAGCTACAGAATGAAAGCAGTCCCATCATTATCCTTATTCTACAGATGAGGAAGCAGATGGAAACTCCTCAGAATGCAGCAGGAACTGAGGTCATATCACCAAGAAACACATCCTCAACATTTATACCTTCAAGGCCCATGCACAAAGTGGTAATTTTTGTACAGCTCACTAAGATAAACTAGAGAGGACTATCTATATGGGGCTATCTATATGGAGCTTCCTGGAAAAGATCCTTAAATGTTTGCAATATATAACTCTAATATAAGCAATGAAATAGACAGTAATAGAAATTATTTTAAATATGAGTTTATATAAAACTTCCAAATAAAATCTCTGTTCTAGATATTTCATAAGAACCTTGAGCTTGCTCCTGTAAAGATAACTTTATAAATACAGGTTTTACGCTTGAAAGGGCACTCTGAAACCCCTGAACTTCTTTAAGGCTAATCCCTTTTATTCCCCATTCCCAAGAAACTCCATTCACACAATCAAATATTAACAAAGGGTGACAACTGTTCATTGCTTTCCCTTTAAGAAACTCTTTTTTTACCATTAACCTAATTTCAGATAATTTAAGCATCCTCTAAATATCCTTTACTTTTATTAACAAATTAATGTTGAACCTGTACTAATGTGAATGGATTTTGAATTCAACTGAATTATATCTAGTATTTTTTATTTAGTGCGTTTTCTCAAACATTGATAGATGCTATCCAACTATCCTTATAAATTTTTCCTTAGTATTCAAATTATAATGTCTAAACTCTACTGGCTGATCATTTTATCCATACTTTTCCAAAGTTGAATGTTTGCTTAGAATCCATATACTTTTTCAGTATGCATTGATATGCTTATATACAGTCATGACAATTTTATATTAAGTTCACTCAGGTATTAAAAATCTTGGATAAGTCATTTTTTAAATTGAATAACTCTTCTTTAACAAATCTATAAAAAGAATTATTCACACATGCACACACATGCACACATATACACCACATCTTTCTTTTAGACCATAAACTCTTGCCAAACTCTTATACTTTTGGACCCCAGTGCCCTAAGGTATTAAAAACCCCAGAGAGTAGAATTTCTATCTCATTTCTTGACATGAAGCTGAAAGAAGTCTTGACTGTAGTGGTTTAGATTTTTTTTTCCACTTTGATAACATCATTTAATGGGAAAACCATATCTTCAAGCCAACTTTCACACAAGCAAACTGCTCTGTGAATAAGATGATGTGTAACTTGAATCTCAGGGTTTTCAGCACAAACACAAAAAATGTATTTACATCTGTGTTGTTACAGACACAAATACTTGGTGTTTCTGTAACATCATGTTTGTTTCAAAGCACGTTTTATCATTTCAAATATTTCTCCCCTAGTAATTTTGTTGTTGCTTCTGTTCCTTTGCAGGCTTATTTATTTGTTTGGCTTGACACATCTTTGCAGGCTAAGATTCTCTGAGACAGAGGCAGATGTGCCCAGCTAAGGAAGTTGAAACTCCAGACCCCTACTTGGGAAGGCCATTTCCTGGAAGGGAACCAGCAACGGCTTCATATGTTTTTATAAAATGTAAAAAGAAAGATGCTTTCACCACAATCAGTTAAAATCACTGACTCTTCTTTCGACTGCAACTCAGTTTTATTTTTCTCACCAGAGGTAACACTGCCTGAGGGAGAAGCAGACCCCACTAAGGAGAAGCTGAAATGAATGGGGCTGCTTTCAATGTAGAGTTAATGGGATTTATTTATGTGATTTGCAGTCTCTCCTGCAACAGTTTATTGCCAGCCATCCCAGAATACTCCTTCCATTGGACCAACTCACCTAAAGTCTCAGCATAAAGACATAGAGCCAGTAGTCATGTAAAACTGACTATGCCCTACAATACCCAGCCTCAGAAGTATGTGGCGTCAGTGCCAGAGGGGAATAAGATTTGAAATGCAGAGCCAGAGCCCAGTCTGCAAGAAACATTTTCAATCATCAGAAATGAAAACCTGTAATTTAATTCTCAAAAGCATCTAATTAAGTGGAATTTTTATCATATCAGGAATGTACTTTCTAATTGTATATATACTGCCTTATCAATACAGTGCACATTTTTTTCTTTTTCTTTTTCTTTTTTTTTTTTGATGGGAATCACGCAATATGGAATTTATTTTATTTTCCTGTGTTGGTAACCTAGAAACCTGCAGTGGTGCTTCAAAGAGCAAGAATATCTCTGTTGCAAAGCTGCATGTTTTATGGATCTCATCAATAAAAATAACTTTCAATCAGATGTGCTAGATTTCTCTTCTCTCTAGAAATAAAAGATGTTACAAAAGTATCATCCTATAGGAAAGTACAGAGTATATGCCACCAAAACTTTGAAAGAGAAAAAAAAAGAATTATAGAGTTTATCAGGAAGTTCATTCATAAGAATATTAATTCTTCTAACTTTTGTGATTTTGCAGTAGTTGATATTTTAAAATTCAAGAGTTGTGGTGATTTATTTTCTCATTCTACATGAGCAGTCACTTTAAAACCTTGTTTGTTTTTGGAAATTTGTGTCCTTGTTTTTAAAGAGAGCCCTATAAATGCTGTATCTTCCCAGGCTTCACGCATTTCTCTCCAGACATTCTTAACTACTATTAATATCCAAGAACAGTTATTAGCATGGGTAAGTTCATCATTTCACAATGAATGCTTTCGTGATTGAATAATCTTCTGAATCGATGTCTCTGTCACAGTCGGGCTGCCAATTACCTACAAATCATATTCATTGTAAAAATGGCATTTTTTTCCTATTTCCTTGGCTACCTCTCTTCAGGTTGACAAAATAAATGTTAGCAACTGTCAGAAGCATTCTGGCTTCTTCTAGTAATTAAGCAAATTTGAAACTAGCTTCCTAAGTTGTAGCATGAAGAGTTCAAGTCATTTTCTGTGTAAGATGCTGGGTTTGTGGCAAGCAGCTGGTGACGTTACTTCCCATGATGACTTTTCCATAAAAAAGGATATTTATGTTGAGAAAGAGACTAGTCATCAGAACATGGAAATCCTAATTAGTGACTGGCTGTTTTTAAGCTACTAAGATTGTTTTGTGAACCAGATGACTTTCCAGCTTTAAACAAGAAATTGTTTGTGGTCATGGGAAAAATAAATATGTGTAAAAGTTAAACCAACTTAAATATAAAATACTTAAGGTGGCTGTTAAATTTATGGCTTCAAAAATTCTACTTTTCAAAATTACTTGGTAGGTAGTCTGCATTTCTACAAATGTTTTAAAAGAAATTTGAGAATTTTGAACAATCAACTATGAGATAGAGAAAATAGGAAGTAATAACAGCATTGAATATTCAATAATCACACCCCCACTGTGGCCTGCCAGTCTCCTCTGTCCATGGAATTCTCCAGGAAAGAATACTGGAATGGGTAGCCATTCCCTTCTTTAGAGGATCTTCCCCACCCAGAGATCAAAGCCTGGTCTCCTTCATTGCAGGCAGATTTTTACCATCTGAGCCACCAAGGAAGCCCTCATTCAATAATTAAATTTCACCAAATAATCTTTCAATTGAAATCAAGTCATTTGAGTCATTAAATTTCTGAGAAGTCCACAAATAAAAATATCAATTATTTTTTTTAGGTAAGTTCAAAAATATTTGGGAAAAAGTCAGTTTTCTGATATCATAAAGGCCACATTAAGAAAATTATGCTCAATTCTTATTTATTTTTAGATGTAAGCTTTTTTCTCTAAGTAAAAATAATACTTTATTATGAAATTATATTGAGAATCACACTTTAACAAGGTCAACTACAACAGCCAAGATGGGAGAAAAACAAAAAACACTGAGAAAATGAATAAAACCAATTGTGTTCTGCTTAGGAAACTCTAACATCAGATAGTAGTAATGAAAATAAGAACCAAAGAATCAGAAAATTTTAAAAAAATCTTGTTAGTAGGAAAAAATTGAAAACCACAGGAGAAAATTCAGTAGAAAAAAAAAACGAAAATGTGTACTGAGCCACATTCAAAGAACTTCATGTTTTATGATGAAATCATTGCTTAAGGTATGGGACATGGACTCAGAGGACAGGAGAGTTGATTAGCTAGTGGACCATTCTCTGCTATGGGGACACATAAAACGTTTTTGATGCCAAATTTATTGTTCAGTTTAGTTTAGTTCAGTCGCTTAGTCGTGTCCAACTCTTTACGACCTCGTGGACTGTAGCATGTCAGGCTTCCCTGTCCATCACCAACTCCCAGAGCCTACTCACACTTATGTCCATCAAGTCACTGATGCCTTCCAACCATCTCATCCTCTGTCGTCCCCTTCTCCTCCTGCCTTCAATCTTTCCCAGCACCAGGGTCTTTTCAAATGAGTCAGTTCTTCACATCAGGTAGCCAAAGTATTGGAGTTTCAGCTTTAGCATCAGTCCTTCCAATGAATATTCAGGACTGGTTTCCTTTAGGATGGACTGGTTGGATCTCCTTGCAGTCCAAGGGACTCTCAAGAGTCTTCTCCAACACCACAGTCCAAAAGCATCAGTTCTTCGTTGCTCAGCTTTGTTTACTGTCCAGCTCTCACATCCATACATGACCACTGGAAAAACCATAGCTTTGACTAGATGGACCTTTGTTGGCAAAATAATGTCTCTGCTTTTTAATATTCTGTCTAGGTTGGTCGTAGCTTTTCTTCCAAGGAGTAAGCATCTTTTAATTTCATGGCTGCAGTCACCATCTGCAGTGATTTTGGAGCCCCCAAAAATAAAGTCAGCCACTGTTTCCACTGTTTCTCCACCTATTTCCCATGAAGTGATGGGACCAGAATGCCATGATCTTTGTTTTCTGAATGTTGAGTTTTAAGCCAACTTTTTCACTCTCCTCTTTCACTTTCATCAAGAGGCTCTTTAGCTCTTTGCTTTCTGCCATAAGGGTGGTGTCATCTGAATTATCTGAAGTTATCGATATTTCTCCCAGCAATCTTGATTCCAGCTTGTGCTTCCTCCAGCTCAGCTTTTCTCATGATGTACTCTGCATATAAGTTAAATAAGCAGGGTGACAATATACAGCCTTGATGTACTGCTTTTCCTATTTGGAACCAGTCTGTTGTTCCATGTCCAGTTCTAACTGTTGCTTCTTGACCTGAATACAGGTTTCTCAAGAGGCAGGTCAGGTGGTCTGGTATTCCCATCTCTTTAATAACTTTCCACAGTTTGTTGTGATCCCACACAGTCAAAGGCTTTGGAATAGTCAATAAAGCAAAAGTAGATGTTTTTCTGGAACTCTCTTGCTTTTTTGATGATCCAGCAGAGGTTGGCAATTTGCTCTCTGGTTCCTCTGCCTTTTCTAAATCCACCTTGAACATCTGGAAGTTCATGGTTCATGTACTGTTGAAGCCTGGCTTGGAGAATTTTGAGAACTACTTTGCTGGCTTATGAGATCAGTACTATTGTGCAGTAGTTTGAACATTCTTTGGCATTGCCTTTCTTTTGAATTGGAATGAAAACTGACCTGTGGAGGTATGGGTCAGCAGTGGCCTGCTGCAGGGGCTCTGGGTGCAGCATAAGCCCTCCTGGCGGAGGTCACCATTAACCCCACCATAGAAGAACCACCAGAATTTACACGGGACTGGGAAAACAGACTCTTGGAGGGCACAAACAAAACCTTGTGTACACCAGGACCCAGGAGAAAGGAGCAGTGACCCCACAAAGAAACTGACCCAGACATGCCCATGAGTGTCCAGGAGTCTCCAGCAGAGGGGTGGGTCGGCGGTGGCCTGCTGCAGGGTCAGAGGCACTGAGCGCAGCAATGCATTCTTGGGATCTTTTGAAGGAGGTGCCACTATCTTTATCACCTCCACCATAGTTTGGCCTCAGGTCAAGCAACAGGAGGGAACACAGCCCCACCCATCAACAGAAAATTGTATTAAAGATTTACTGAGCATGGCCCTGCCCATCAGAATAAGACCCAGTTTCCCCCTCAGTCAGTCTCTCCCATCAGGAAGCTTCCATAAGCCTCTTATCCTTCTCCATCAGAGGGGAGACCGAATGAAAACCACAATCACAGAAAACTAACCAAACTTATCACGTGGACCACAGCCTTGTCTAGCTCAATGAAACTATGAGCCATGCTTTGTAGGGCCACCCAAGACAGACAGGTCCTGGTGGAGAATTCTGACAAAACATGGTCCACTGGAGAAGAGAACGGCAAACCATTTCAATATTCTTGCCTTGAGAACCCCATGAACAGTACGAAAATTAATCGCAACTAAATTCAAATAAATGATGTTCAAATGTTACTTCAAAATCTTTATATTTAATAGGTGTGTTGCTATTGTACTTTTTTTAATGACTGACAAATGTTTTCACATCTGTAGTCTATGGGAGACAGCCCAGATGCCTCCATGCTATGTGTGCAAAGTGAAAATTAAAATACAAGGAACATGTTTCAAAAGCATGCGGACTCCATTGCGCCTACTTCAAACTCCTCTTCCCCATCTGTCATTCCCAGCCTTGCTCTCAAAATCAATAGATTCCCCAAACTAAACGAACTTCACCCAGAGGGAAAGTGTCGTCCTTTAGGCTAGTGGCTGCCCATGGAGGTGAAAGGGGGCTGTTTGAGGGATGGCCAGAAGAAATGGCCTCCAGGGGACTCTCAGATGCCCTGAGAGACTTCTCCCAAATATGCCATAGTCAACGGAGTACAGGTTAGCTGACAGGCTGTGAGCTTATTTTCTTAGGAGAAGATCACCCAACCTATTGTTCCTTTAAAGGGGTAACAGATCAAAGGAAAGCAAAGCCTGGGTCATTTCAACTGAGTGACACTCACATAAGCCAAAATCTTTCCAATTTCTCTCCACTGAAACCGTAAAGTTGCAATTCTGGTGTTGTTTCTCACTTCATATACTATGACACCCTTGGCACAGATCCCCAAGGCCATGTCCCCTTCTGGCCTTGTCTTCTCTGGGAGAACTTGGTACACCAGCACACCATATTCTGGGAGCTGTTGAGTGACCTAGAAAGAGAACAAGGCCAATTAAGAAGAGACAGGCACATTGGTCTAAAATAATGGATTTCGAACCATTCCATGAGAAAAAAAAAAAAAAGACCTTAACAGATGTTCTGAAAAAAAGAGTAAGATTGCCAAATAAGTTTAGGAAACACTGAGCTAAACATATCTCCTTACTACAGCATTTCTCTGCGCCTCTAATATGATAGTGTTGTTATATTTTATTAATAGAATGAAGGAATCCTTCCCTAATGAAGTACCTTGAGACACTTGGAACACTGATATTAATTATGAAAGTGATACCAAAAAATAATAATATTCTGAACAAGGTTGTAGAATTCAGACTTTTCTGAATCATCTCACAGGGATTTCTTTTCCTAAAGTCTACTGCAGTACTATCTGATACAACCCCTTCATTTTACAGATGGAAAAACTGAGGCCCAGGCACAGAAAGCAGCCTTACAAATGATCAGCAGCACTATTAAAGCAAAATAACATCCTGCAGAAAAAATGAGCAATCACTGGCATTTCTCACCATGTGGCAGTGATTTAGTGGGGTCTCCACAGCCCAAGATTTGTCTTCAGTTTACCAGTTTAGGAGATAGAATTTCGTCAGGGACCTGAGGGTCAGTCAGAGCTGGGAACTGCATCAGGCTAACCAAAATCTTCACAGACTGGTGTGTAAACCTAATACAAATATATATTTTTTTATGTCTGAATGGTAATCATGTCTCTATTCTGGTCTCTGCCATCTTGATCTTCACCTGGTAGACTCCAATTCTTACTAGAAGATTGATCGCACCCAGGCTCAAAGCAGGTGGGCTCAAAATGTGGGGATGTGTTCTCCACACATTTGAAACTCTCTCAGAAGGGTTTCAGTGGTGAGATCTGGTGCTCATCTCTACCCCAGAGCAGAGGGCACAAAATCCTGCCTAATCTCTCTCATCCTCAGGTCAGGTCACAAAAACGAGGACAAATTATGGCTTTGGAGAGCTCCTTTCTTAGGNTGAATGGACGGGTGAATTCTTAACCACTGGACCACCAGGGAACTCCCTGCCTCTTTCCTTTTGAATCACTTTCCTCAGCTCCTTCCCTCACCATGGGTAGCATTCCAGGGCCTACTAGGGAATAAGGCAGAGATCCTAGAAATAAGTAAATTGAGGACATACTTCATTGACATGTTAAACAGAGGTTTTGGGCTTTTGTGATGACTCAGGTGGAGAGTGTTGTTCCAAACGAGATGTGGCTGAAGGCACTTCCAGGGTTGACTGTGCTTTGGGTCTGCATGGTTTAGTCCTCAACTTTGCTGATTTAGAAACTCAGTCTTTTGGGAGCAATTACGTGTGGCAGAGTTGAGTCCCACTGTAACTGTCATGAGAGAATAGGGCTTCCCCAGTGGCTCAGTGGTAAAGAATCCACCTGCAACGGGGGTTCGATCCCTGGGTTGGGAAGATCCCCTGGAGAAGGAAATGGCAACCCACTCCAGTATTCTTGCTCGGAAAATCCCTTGGATGGAGGAACCTGGTGGGCTACAGTCCAAGAGAGTCGCAAAGGGTCGTACATGACTGAGTGACTAAACACAAAGGTACTACCTTAAAAGGGATTATTGGGCAAGCTTTACAAAGGATATTTACAAACATTTGTATTTGTCTGGGGAATGCATAGGTTATAATGCTAAGTGGGAAAAAATACAAGATACAATCAGTATGACTTCAACAACAAAAAGAAAATATTTTAACAGCATATGGCAATCTCTAGTTATGTGGAAAAATGGCTCCATGGTTGAAGAAGTTTGGAAAACACCGAGTTAACCTTGAACAAGTTTTTCTGAGATTAATATGTTAATACAGGTGTGAATCTTGCCATCAGTGGTACCCAAACTGGACTTCCGCCAAATCTGATGAACTAGCAGAATTAGTCATCAGTGAAGCCTAGGCCAATAGGTGTCATCTGATAATGGAAAAGGGAGCCACAAGGAGCTATAATTAAATAATCCAGTAAATGTTTATTGGAGTAACTGGTCTCTGTGTTGAGTTCTGGGGATCCAAGGCCCTCTGGACATTTACAACCTAGAAGAGGGGAAAAGAAATGAATAGAAATGTCTGTGATGTAGACTGTCAGCAATATATGACAACAATGTTTAAAATGTTTCTAACCTTTGACCCTGTGATTCTACTCATGAGAGTCTATCCTTAAGAAATTAAGCAGAAATGCAGCTAAAAAGATGTATGCAGAAAAAAATATGAATCTCAGTGTTGCTTAAAATAGTCCCATATTTAAAATAATTTATGTGCCAAACAACAGGATACTGAGAAAAAATTTTGGGTACCTCATGTGTTGATTCAAAAGAAAGCTTCAAAATTTTAGTGAGACGAGATTTAAAAACAGCCCACAAAACTGACCTATATAATATAAATCCAATTTTAAACATAAATGCATGTACACATGTGAATGCAAAGATGACAGAGGGAAGGATGAATATATACAAATTGATTGTACTGTCTCAATGGGGAAGAATGAAGTGAAAAGTGAATGTGTTATTCACTCAGTTGTGTCTGACTCTGCAACCCCATGGACTATAGCCCTACAGGCTTCTCTGTCCATGAAATTCTCCAGGCTAGTATACAGGGGTGTGTACCCATTCCCTTCTCCAGAGGATCTTTGTGATCCCAGGATTCAACCCAGGTCTCCTGCATTGCAGACAGATTCTTTACTGTCTGAGGCACCAGGGAAGCCTATTTGTGTGTGTGTGTGTGTGTGTGTGTGTGTGTGTGTGTGTGTTAGCCACTCAGACATGTCTGACTCTTTGCGACCCCATGGACTGTAGCCCACCAGGCCCTCTGTCCATGGGATTATCCCAACAAGGATACTGGAGTGGGTTGCCATTAACATATGTATATATATATGTGTATATATATGTATATATGTGTGTGTGTGTGTGTGTGTGTGTGTGTGTATCACTTTGCTGTATATACCTGAAACTACTAATGGAGTATTGTAAATCAACTACTTTAATTTGAAAAAGATATCCCCCCAAAAATGTTCCCACATTTTTCCTTGAGTTGGTGGCTTGCCTTACAACTACTGGTCATCCTTCAATGAGAGGAAGAAGGGACACAATGAGCCAGGCACAGTAAGCCAGGGCCTGCGCAGAGGCTTGCAGACCCAAATCCTTGGCCTCTCTGCTGGCTCTATGGTCCTGCAGCCTCTCTCCACCAGAAGCGCGCTCATGGCTTTGAAGTCATCACTTGTTTATTGTCCTGGGAATGCTGCATCCACTTAGCAAGGAACCGGAACAAAGGCTGGATTAGGGGACACATTGAGCGCCTTTCTGCCAGAGCTGCTCAAATGAAACACTCAAGTGCTTATACTGTACTAGGTGCTGCAGAAAGTTCCAAGTGACCAAAAAAAAAAAGGATAGCCCTCACCTCAGCAGTTCTGCTTTCAAAAGACTATCTCTATCAAAGGCTAGAAAACACAGAATATTTTTGTCACAGGAGACATTGTAAAAAGAAATATAAAAACCCTGGAGTTCCCTTTTGAAACTGTTCCCCAGCTCTAGAAGCCCCACCAGGTACATCACCCTGGGGATGCTAGGGGGCCTCCTCCCACCCCCAGCTCTATCTGCAGAGGCAGAGCGGCCAGCCCCTCCCACCCTGGAGTAGAGTAACCGGTACTGTCACCGTTCTCACCGGGCAGCTATCAGCTATCACAGTGCTGCAAGCCTCCGGGTCTCCTTCCGTCCTCTCTACAAAATTTGAACTCGCCAGAGGCAGAAAGCACGTCCTTCCTGCCTCTGTTTCCTGCAGTGCCTGCTCCACTGCGGGTGTTAAGTTGTGAACTGAGCAGAAGCTATTCATTGGAGGCCCTGTGCACCCACAAACATAAGAGACTTTGCTTTTGGCTCACACTGAAGTTTGTACCTCAGATGTCAAAAATGTCTCTATGAGAAATGTGGCCTACCCCCACTCACAGAACGTTGACTGTGTGAGATCCAAGGTTGAAGAAAGGGCCTGCCATACCCACCCTGGCCCAATAAATCCTACTCATCTGGGGGATCATTTCCAATGCCATCTACTTCCAAAAGTCTCAAGTCCTGTGCTTGTACCTCCCTGTGGGTCTGAGCACATCCAGCCCCAGAGAAATCTCTGGAAGGTATTGCTGACTATGTGCCCTCTCAAGAGTCCAAAGGCCTCACCCTCAAGAACTCCAACTCAGCATCCTCTCCCCAAAGCACAGGACTCAGGCGGTGCATCTCTGAGACTTCCACTTGGACCCGGAGAGCCGTCATCCTCTCAATGAGACTTGCAGGGATATAATCTTCAACTCGAAAATAGGCTTTGTTCTCTACCTGCTGGAAAGATGCAGAAGAAAAGGGATACAGCCAAGACACCTTCTATAAGACTCTGAGCAGAACAGATGCTTGTCTGTAGTCACAACTCAGTTAGAGCCCCAGGGAAAAGATTCTCTTTTGCAGTGCCCACTGGGATATCATATTCTACCATATTAGAGGTTGAGCCAAACCATATAACAGAAAGAGAAGGGAAAGAGGAAAGAAGCCACTTGTTTTTGACCCCCTTTTGTATGCCAGGAGATCCCCAGAACATATTAGCTCTTTCTATCCTCAAGGTAATCGTAAGAGGACAGTATTATTATTGTCATTGCCAAGATGAGCCAAATGAACAAGAAAGAAAGTCATTTAACATGGCCAAGTTCACACCATTTGGAAGTGACAGAAATAAAGCCCTCACCCATTCCACAATGTCATGCCACTTCCTAAATGGCACAGTGAAATCTTGGCTCTAAAGCTTTGTTTTTATATACTTATTTAGTAGTTTTATTTGTATGTGCTACCAGTACACTGTCCCCTCTCACAAGGGAGGCTTTGTCTATGGCACTATCTCTTCATAACAAGGTGTTCAAGAAGTTGTCCCCCAAACAAGAGAAGATCTGACACCAACAGCCCGCCCCAGACCTGAGCCTTCATCATCTACTCTTTTGGAAACCTGAGGCTTCAGCCCCACTAGCTGCTGCAGGAAGATCATTATGGTTCATCATCACTCACTGCCCAACACTGAGTTCCCTGGTATGGACTCTGGGGCATGGAGAGGTACACAGACATTTTGGAGGAGTGGTCTCAGGGTTCAAGGTAAGGAATGTGGAAGGTAGCGCTTGGCAGATAGAGAAGCTGACCCTTCCCTGGTATTCCTGAATCAGCCCATTTAGTCTCAGGAAGCCAATACCAGCCTAATCTCGGGCAAGACGCAAGCTGAGGGCAACTGTCCATGAGGGAGGTAACTGGAAACTGGGAACAACTGGCCACTGGGAGCATCTGGCCTTCTCGGGGCTGGGAATGGGCATGTTGGTCTGATGAGAGGGCCTGACAGGAACAGCACAGCATCCACCACATCCCTATGTTCCTGGTCTCGCACAGGAGTCCCCATGTGGCTGGAGACAGAATCCTCCAGCTGGCCCATGCCAGTTCTGAGCTCAGCTCAGAGACACTAAAGGGAAGAAATTGCTTGGTAATCCAGTAACAAAAAAGCATTCAGAATGCTATTAGAATGGCCCCAATCCAGAAACTGACACCAAATGCTGGCAAAAATGTGGAAGAGCAGGAACTCATTCAATTACTGGTGGGAGTGGCAGATGGTTAAGCCTCTTTGGGAAGACAGTTCAATTTTTTATGGAACTGAACATATTTGTACCATATAATCCAGCTATCATCTCTGGTATTTACTCAAAGGAGGTGGAAATGTATGTCCACACAGAAACCTGCACATGGGTGTTTACAGCAGCTTCATTCATAGTTGCCAAAATTTTGAAGCAAAAGAGGTCCTTCAGTCGGTGAATGAATAAATAAACTTTGGTACATCCAGACAATGGAATATTATTCAGCACTAAAAAGAAATAAGTTATCAAGCTGAAAAGACATGGAGGAAACTTACATGCATATTACTAAGTTGAAAGAAGCCAGTTTGAAAAGGCTAAATACTATATGATTCCAACTAAATGACATTTTGGAAATGGTAGAACTATAGAGACTGTAAAAAGATTAGAAGTTGCCAGGGGTAGGGGAGGAGGAGGGTGGAGCACAGAGGAGTTTCAAGGCAATGAAACTACTCTAGGGAATTCCCTGGTGGTCCAGTGGTTAGGCCACTGACAGGCCCCAGGTTCAGTCCCTGGTAGGGGATCTAAGATACTGTAAGCCACGTGGTGTGGCCAAAAAAAAAAAAAAAAAAAGCCACTCTGTATGATTTTGTAACAGCAGATATCTGTCATTATAAATTTGTTCAAACATATAGAATGTACAACACTAAGAGCGGACTCTAATATTAACTGTGAACTCTGGAAGATAAGGATACATCAATGTGTAGGCTTATCAGTCGCAATAAATTGCAATTGATAGTAGGAGACAGTGATAGCGGAGGACAATGATAGTGGGGGAAGCATATGTGGAGGCAAAAGGGCATATAGGAAATCTCTGCATTTTCCACCCAATTTTGCTATGAACCTCAAACTGTTCTAAAACAAAAGTCTATTAAACATTTTTTAAAATTGTTTAGGACATTAAATATTTTTTTAAAATTTAGGACCTTTGACCCAGCATCCCTTTGCTAGAACTAGAGAAGTCAGATCAACAGAAGTCAGCATGAAACTAAAAAAGCTCCAGCACAAGTATTACTTTCTTTGTCATTTATTTTGAAAAGAAAAATTAGAAGCAACTGGAACAATAATAGTAGTAGTTATGAGCACTTCCATGGTGCCTCTAGGTGATGCCCACGAGTGAGAAAACAAATAAGAAAGCCAAGTTCTGGCCCTAGTGAGGCATACCACGTGGTTATCCCAAAAGCTCATTAGGAAGGCCAAGGGAAGACATACTATTGAGTGAGAAAGCAGAATGCAAATCAAATGTGGCAACGTTTACAACTGCATAAAATCCCCGTGTGTGATCAAAGGCTGGAAGAGAATGCACCCAGAGGAAAATTGTTCTGCTGCAATGATGTGATTAAGGAGATTTATTTTTGTACCAAACTGTCTTTGTCTCCCTTTTCAAAATGCAAATGTAATCATGTTACTTACTTCCCAGCTTAGAATTCATCAGTGGCTCGTCTTTCACTGCAGTGGTTTCCAAATCATGTTTTTTTCCCCGGCACCACAACCATTTATCAGACAAAATATCCACCCCTTAGAAGGGCACATGAGGTTCCTTCCTGGATCTGACTGGCAGCGCTGCCCAGCCTCGAGGCCCATTAACTTAAGGCTGCCGTGAAATCCTTGCAGCTCTGGCTGGGGTAGGCTCCTCCTCCTGCCCACTCAGTGACCCAGATGTAGGGAGAGGCCTGCACTCTGAGACCTCCTTATGCCGTTCAACGTGCCCACCGCAGTGCCTGGCACATAGTATAGCAAGGCCCTAGAAATGAGTCCCAACAGTGCTCTCACTAGTTTGCCTAACCTCACAGAGGTACAATTCTTCAATCTGCCTGCCAATGCCGAAGACACAGTTTCGATCCCTGACCCAGGAAGATCCCACATGCCTCGGAGCAACTAAGCTCGTGCACTACAACTATTGAGCCTATGCTCTAGACCCCGGGAGCCGCAACTACTGAGACCACGTGAAACCACTGGAGCCCTTGTGCCCTAGAGCCCATGATTTGCCTCAAGAAAAGCCACCACGATGAGAAACCTGTGCACTTCAACTAGAGAGTAACCCCTACTCTCCACAACTAGAGAAAAGCCTCCACAGCATCTAAGACTAAGGAGAGCCAAAAACAAATAAATAAATAAATAAAATTATTTTTAAACTTTTTTAAATAAAATGCAATGGAAATAACACCAACTTTTCAGGGTTGACTCAGGCTTAGATGATGCAAGCAAGGAGCAAGCCCTCCATAAATTAGGGTTGAACGAGTAGATGCTCAAATGAATGGGTATGTGTAATCTGTTGCTTTCACACACACACACACACACACACACACATGCATGCACACATGTGTGCAAGAAAGGGAAAAGGCCTGCCTTTAGGGGCCACATGGGGGCAGCAGAGAATATCTGGGAACCACACTGGTGGCCAGAGCTGATGCAGAGGTAGAGGTGAGACAGGATCTGAAGTAGAAGCTGAAGGTGAAGGATGAGATCCATGCTGAAGCAGAAACTAGGTGAGGCCAGTCAGAAACTGGGCACTTGGTGGGCATAAGGGGTCACCAGAATGGGGTGCCTAGAGTCAGGTCTGGGCCTGGATTGTAGAAAGTGTAGAAGGGTCTGGGCCTGTGTGCTCCCAACTGCCTTCAGTGGACCTGGCCTGCTGTTTCTGTCAACTCTCAGCATTGGGTATCAGGTTAAAAATTGTATGTTTGAATCCAAAGACTGAAAGTTAGTCTTTGTTTTCCAGCAGTGAACTCCTGAGTCTGGAGTGGGGGCAGGAAAACGCAAACAGCAGTTGCGATGTGCGGGGCCTCGGACACACATCACCACCTTCCACCCTGACAGTGGTTCTGACCTACTCTTATCTCTTATTTACATTTTGCAAATAAAGAGCTGAGACAGATAAATAATGTCTAATACCACGTGGCGACTTAACAGAAGAGGCAGGGTTTGGACCTCATTCCGTCGGACTCAAAAACTCCTTCGATCTATACAGCCTGCTAAGGTCAGCCCAACACTGCCCTGGGAGGCCACACTTCCCTGTCTGTAGGAGCTATCACAGGGCTGGACTAGAGGCTGCAACAAGGATGGTGACTGATTCGCCAGGGCACCCCTGGCTTACAGCACCCTCCATGTGCCTGGGCCGTTCTTCTCCCAAGACCCCCTCAAAGTAGCAGCACAAGGGCAGGAGTGAGCAGGCCCAGGCCTGGTTAGGACTCCAGCTCTGAGGCAAGGAGACAGAAAGGAGCTCCAAGCAGTGATAGGCCTGGAGTTTTGTCAAAGGGGCAGGGAGGGGTTATGTGGGCTAGGCTGGCCCTGGGAGACTTCCTGCCCAGGCAGGGGTTAGGGTGGGGACAGGCCAAGAGAAGAAAGTGAAGTCTCAGTCCCTGTAGATGAAGTGGGAGCAGGGAAGTGAGGGTCAGAGAAGGGTAGGGTGTTGGGAACTGAACTACATTTCCCTGACATTAAGTTGCTGACTTTCCTGATGGATGACTTTTATCCACAGTGTTATCCAGCCAAGAGCCTGTACTCAGTTCCATCCACCCACTCCTTAGATAAGTTGCTCTTGAGCAAACTCCCCATATTTGAGGCTCTGCTTTGGTGTGAGGGAAATGGCAGAACAAAACAGACAAAATCTTTACCATCTGGTGGATTCCATTCTAATGGAGAGACTGATAGCAAGACTGATAAGGAAATGGATACTCCATACCAGACGGTGAAAAATGCAAGGGGATAAAGAGACTTAGAAGGCTCCAGACTTAGAGGCAACTTCTGAAGATGTGCTGGGAAGAGAGCAAGATATTGGTGAAGCCTGAAAAATGTTTTTCAAACTGCTGCCTGTAGTCCATTGGTGATCTGTGAGTGGTTCATAACCAGCATGTATAAATCAACTAGAATAGAACAGGAAATACCAGTATGTATCACATAAGTGCATCTTATTTCCTAAACTTTTGCCTCACTTCTGTTACATGGATACATGTAAACAGGTTGAGTTATAATGTTTGTCTTTTTTTTTTTAAATCAGGGTCATGGCACAAAACATCTGAAAGCCAGTGAGATGAGCTCAATAAATTAGTACATTACTGGCTGTAGGCAAGACTTTAGATTAGAACTACCTTACAATGTATAAACTTGACCTGTTCATTTTTGTATCCCCCAGAGCTTAGCAAAGAACATTTGATGGATATTTGTTGGATGGATAGGTGAATGGATGGATGGATGGATGGATGGATGGATGGATGGATGGATGGAGGCAGTTTACCCCAATCTCAGTGGTAGGTACTAAGAACACAGGCTCAGTCTTCACACTTACATCAGTTTCCCACTGTCCCATAACTGCTTCTCCAGTGACCCCACCCAAGGGCCCCTGATCTCCACCCCTACCTCCTCTGGATAACTGCCAAATTCAGCCTGCAGGGCAAGGACCCCCAGCTGCAACAGAGTCTCATCATTGCAATACAGCTTCTCCTCCAGGATGTCTTTCCGAAGTTGCAGGTAAAATTGATGCCTTGTCCAGCTGTGCCTGCCAAAGAGATGCAGGAATAAAGGTTACTGGAAGGCTGAAGGCAAAGGAGAACACTAAAGCCAGAGGGTTTCCTCAGTCTGTAAAGCAGAAAAAGGAGAGAAGATGGAATACAAGTCAGTAGGAACCCAGAGGGCAGTACCAGTAACACAAGGGTGATCTTGTTTATCCACACCATGCCTCCTGTCACTCGTTGAGGGCTATTCTGTGCCCATGACACAGGGTTACTCACTTCCCACAATACCCTGGAGATGTTTATTCTTGTGGCTCAAGTAAGAAAACCAATACTTAGTCAGATGGTATGTCTAATAAGCAAAGGAATAGAGAAAGTGATCCAGTCCCAAAGCAGTGACCCTCTCCTCCCATCCTCATCACTGAGCTGCCGGGAGGTGGGGCATGTTGGGGTCAGGGGAGAGAGAACTTGACCTTGACTGGCATATGTTTGAAACAAAAGGCTAAAGTTTTCATTTTGACCAGGGCTTGTCCCCAAATACTGACTTTTCCCCCTTTTCTGTCATATTGGAATCCAGTAAAAAGAAGACCAGACACAATAACTGTTGTAATGTGTACACACATTAATTTGCCAAGCATTGCCTGCCCATTATCTCTAATGTCAGCCTAGACAGACATAAACGCCCTAAGGAATAAACCAAGAAGTTTTCAGCACTCACTGGAGCAGCCCATAGTGACTCACGAAGAACTTTATCCTTAGAAAGAGCACAAAAGTATTTGGGGAGCTCTTCTTCTGGGGCTGCTCACTCCAGCCTTCAGGGGCAATTTTGCACAACCTGGTTTCAGCATCCAAGAAAAAGAACTCTTTACCTGAAATGGAAGTAGAGAGTGTTTAGAGGGAAAAGCAGTCGGGCAGGCACCACGCATCAGACTCACAGCCCTGAGCTCTGCCCAAAGAGTGAGACAAGAGCCGACTGAGTGTAGGAGAGAGCAAGAAGCAAGTTGTCTGAATTCTTCGTGCCCCAGGACCTTTGTCAGGTCCATGAGGGGCCAAGAAGAGGGAACAAAGATAAGAGTGTCAATGAAAAGAAACTTAGCACCCAGAAGAGAAAATATGAATATTTATCTTAGAGGAGATATTGCTTGTCATCTACCTCCCAGTGACCACTTTATAAAAATAAAAGTAAAAAACACAGAACTGAGTATTTATTCTATTTCTGTCATGGGCCAGGTGCTCTGTATCTAGGTGTACAAGGTGCAGCATCCTAGTCTCAAGCAGTTTTGTTAGAAGGACTAGAATTTGGGGACCTAGACACTGGGCTTCCCAGGTGGCACAGTGGTAAAGAATCTACCTGCCAAAACAGGAGACTAGGGTTCAATTCCTGGGTCAGGAAGACCCTCTGGAGTAGGAAATGGCAACCTGCTCCAATACTCTTGCCTGGAAAATTCCATGGACAGAGGAGCCTGGTGGGCCACAGTCCATGAAGTCACAAAGAGTCGGACACAAATGTGTGATTGAGCACACATATCACATACACACCTAGACACCAAGGTTACCTGAGGCATCAGGCCAGCTGTGGGCTACCTGGGAGCCACTTACCTTTCATGTAAGCCAAGCCAAAGTAGGTGAGCTCCCCAAGGTTGGCAAAGGATACAATGGCACTGAAGACAGCTCCCACTGTTGATGTGATGTCACATTTCACCTCCAGGCACTGCCCGCTCAGCAGCACCACACGGAGGCCCCTGAGAGCCAAGTAGGACTTGGCTTTTTTGGTCTGAAAACAAGAACAAGATAAACCGTAACAATAACTCAAAGACATGGAGTCTTTACCATGGGCTAGCTACTGTGCTAACCGCTTTATGTGTATTTCCTCATTCAACTGACAAACAACCTAAGAGATGAGTATGTTTATGATTCCTGTTCAGCAGATGAGAAGCAAGGTTCAGAGACTGTAAGGGACCAGCCCAGAGTTGTACAGTTAGTAAAAGGCGGAACTGGACTCAAATCCCTGCTCTTTGCCAGGCTCTGCAGGGGCCAGGAAGGCTGGCGGGGGTGGGGGGGCTCATGTAGCAGATGTCTCTCCCCTGCAAACATCTCTGGGGCTCCGCTTCCCAAGAAGACTGCCCAGGGCCACAACGGTGAACCATATACCCCCAGAGTAGTGAACAGTGCAATTCTGACCCCAGGTCATCACAGAGCACAACAGAGAGAACTTGGGTGGGCACCTGTCCAAGGAGGAGAGGAGGCTAGAGCTTAGCAGATTACTGTGAACCGAGAAATTGATCAGCAGAGGCACATCCAAAGATGTGGAGCAGCTTCTGCCTTCTGTCCCTCACCTACTCAGATTAATTCCAGATGCATCTGCCCCTGTAGCCCCACCCCGACCACTGCCACCTCCGCCGAGCCACCCAGAACAACCCATTGGTCCACTCCACAAAAGCTGGTCTGCCACATCTCTGCACACACTGCCCACGGCCCCCAGCGCCCTTCCCCTCCATCCTCTCATGCAAGTTCCCACCAGGTCTCCAGGTCAGGCTCAGGACCTCTCGTCTGCAACCTGGAGGACTGAGCCACCCACTCCCTTCTCTGCTGCCCTGGTTCTTTGTGCTCAGGGGCCCTGCTTTCTAAGGATGAGGGCTGAGTATTCCCTGTGCCCCAGAGCCTAACCTGAGGCCTGGCCCAGACCTCCTCAGAACGTCTTCATTAAAAGACAGTCATGGATGGACACTGCAGATGGCTTTAGTTCCCTCGAGACCAAGCCTGCCACCGCACTATGACCCTCACACACCCAGCGGCAGCTCCACTCCCCAGCCCTGGACTGGGATCCTGTGAGAGTGGGATTCCCCATGGTCCCAGGCAGGGGTGACCACATGGCACACCCTAAGCCACTCTGCTTCCTGCTCATCCGCACCTGTGTCACGGGATTGTTGTGTAACACACGTGCCCACGCCAGGGGCGGGGGAGGGGATGGAAGGTGCCTTGAAGTGCTCTGTGTTTGAGTTTAATGCTCTGCAGTTAAATTTCCTCTTGAAATTTGTAATGATTGCGTGTTTAAATGTACGTTTTCTAAATGACGTCCCATTAGAAGATGCACAAAGAGCTTGGGTTCACAGTGATCCTGCCTGCCCACCTCTGGTAATGGGTTTTGGCTGCCAGCTTCTCTGTTCCCTACTGCCCCAGGCCGCTTCCAGTTTCCTCCTCCCCCTCCCTACTCTGTAACCTCTGCCAACCTTCACTCAGGGCAGCTACCCACTTATATAATCCAACATCGCTCCCCTCCTCCCCAGAGGGCTGGTTCAAGAAGGGTCCCAGTCAAACATCTCAGAGCAAGACAGCCAGTGGCTGCACCCACAATGGACTAACAACACCAAAGCTCTTTCCTTGAGCTTTTTCCTTGACAGGAGGGACAGCTTGTCATTCACCCCCAATTCAGGTCTGCCTGGGTTGAGCCAGCAGACCAAGGGAAGGGAGATTGATTTTTCCTCTCCAGAAAATAAATGCATAATGCTGGAACACAACTCCATGTAAAAAGGAGTATCTGCTCTTTTCATATCAAGAGATCTGGGGTGTGGAGCGTTACCTGGCACCTACTAGATGCTTCAATAATACTTCCTGACTAAATAGGGAGATGAAGACAGAGCTTGTTTGGAAGGACAAGCAGGACTTGGTAAGTCACAGAGGTTTCTTCCAAAAGGGGAAGAGGATGCTGAAGGATGGATGTGAAGTAGCAGTGTGACTTGGCAAGGGCTGGCAGGCTCCTGGAGGAGACGGTAAGCCCCTCAGAGCTCGATCAGCCTCGGGTACTGCTCAGCTGGCCGCTCACCACCCTTCAGCCTGGCCCAGTCTAACCCAGCAGTTACCACAATTGATCCAGGCAGATACAAGGTCACCGGAGCCTCTCCAGCCATCAGGGCGAACTCCGGCCTGGAGAACTGAGGAAACAGGCAGAGTTACTCTCGGTAAAGAAGAGAAATCAAAGTCAAGTTCCACAGGGCTGGACCCCCAGCTTCAGAACTGAGCTTCTCCCATAGTTTCACCTCCTCCTACCCACTGTCAGTGTTCCCTTCCCCCAAGCCAGCAGGAAGCAGGTTTCAATGAGATGGGGTCAACTGGGCGGAGGCCCGAGCTAGGCTAGGCATCTCAGAGCAGATGTCTTAAACAAGTAAGTGTGGCTTTGGTGATGTTCTAGCTCTTCATTTGAGTGTCCACTTCATTTTAAGTGTTATAATTCATGCATCATCATAATCTTTTATATGTCTCAAAATTATACAACACATTATATGTATAAATATATTATATGCAACAAGAGTTTTGGAAAACAAAAATACTTTGAGATTTAGATTCAAAGTAAACATTTTACCTTGTTCTGGATGTTGAATCGGTAGTGTGTCTGAGTATTTATTCTCAGTGTCAGAGAACTTCATGTTCATAGCACACTTGTGACCCAGGAAATGCCCTGATGCCATTATTATTTATACCCAGCCATCATCCTGTGGGGTGCACATTCTCAGCCCCTTTTGCAGGAAATGGAGGTTCCAAAAGGTTAAGAAATTCACCCAAACTAACCCCAGTGAGTCACAGGATTGGGTGGGCCTTTTTTTTTTTTAAGATTTTTTTTAATGTGGATCATGTTTAAAGTCTTTATTGAATTTGTTACAATGTTGTTTCTGTTTTATGTTTTACTTTTTTGGCCACAAGGCATGTGGGATCTTAGCTCCCCAACCAGGGATCAAACCCGCATCTTCTGCATTGGAAGGGGAAGTCTTAACCACTGGACCTCCAGGGAAGTCCCTAGGTGGGCCTTCTAATGTGAACCCCATGGGTACCCAACAAGACCTCTGTCTCAAGAGGCCAAAAGTGCAGTCAGGGGGTAATGCATGTCCTGAGAGAGTTGCTAGTATTATAGAAGCATTCTATCCCCATCCATCCAAGCTCATGAGGACCCGAGAGTGGTCTTGGAGGGCAGCAGGGGCTGGAGCGGAATATGGTGCTCATCGCCACACAGGAGAGGATGTCTGAGGCTATGCCAGGCTCTACTTATCCCTAATTAGTTGAGCACATTAAGCAAATGCCTCTGCAATAGACAGACAGGCAGACAAGGCCTGCTGGGAGCTTCTGGGTCTGACATTCCCAAAGGGCTCCTGATGCTCAAACAGAAAGCCAGGCAGAGACAGCTTCATGCATGAACAGCCTGCTCTGGAGGGGCTTGTCACCGATCCAGGAGTGCCCATTCCCATGGCCACTGTGGCCTTGTGTGGTTAGTTTTTCAGCTAATGTCAGTATCACACATGGAGGAAGGGGTGCTTTTTATCTAAACACTGGAAGTGGCTCTGACTGCTGGCACCAGGGCTGTTTTGGACAGAAGGTGCAACCTGGGACCACGCCCGATCTCACCCTCCAGCACAGGTGTAGCAAGCTGGCCCCTCAGCTGAGACCAGACTGCCTGCCAGGAGTCTCGGGTCCCCGGAGCCATGAGCAGGGGCCACCCAACATGGTCTCGCCTGTCAGCCTGGACTTACCAGCGGGGCAAGCCGGCCTGCTACTCTTGAGCCCCAACTCCCCACACTCATGCAAACTCTCCTGCTCTTGTGCCATCCAGCCTGGAGAATCTCTCTCCCAAACTAGCCCACCCATTCCTTTGCTTCCACACGTCACCTGTTCAGAAGGCCCCTTCCAAGTATGTTTGGCCTTGTCATCTCTCTCACCATCTCCCTTGTTCTGTCCCCACCCTCACATCAACAGCTGTGAACTTCCTGAACGGTGGGACCTGACACCTTCAACCTCCTATCCTACAGAGTTTATAGCAAGGCCACTCCATAACACTTATTGCCCTGAATTACAAGGTTGAAGATTATTTCAGTTTGTAAGTCACAGCCCAGGGAGGCTGGCCCTCAGCAGGATCCTGCCCATTTTCATTTGCTGTGTCAGCGTCATGGCTCCTCTCTCACACCACCTGTGGAAGTGCCCTTCGATCCTTTTTGCTCACCTTTCCCTTTCTTTGCAAAAAACCCCTTTGGGAAGGAGTTGCCGGCCGTGAGTTTTCTGGGAGAGCAGAACCGGAGCTGAGCCGTCGGCCTTCCTGAAGATCTGGGGGAACTTGAACTGGAAGGGCGCTGGCCAGCAGTCAGAGAAGAAGCAACAATTAACAGTGGAAACAGCTTCCCTCTAGGCTGAACACAGCCTAAATTCCTAACACAGAATCAAAAGCTAAATGAGTCGTTGTTTTTAACACTGTGTTTTGTGGTTGTTTGTTGTGCAGCTCATGTAACATAGACAGTCTCTACATAACAGCATGCTGTTTCCAAACTGAGCCTAACGTGGTTCCTAGAGGAGAGAGAACGCCCTGAAAGCACAACTGCCATCAGGCCCCTCATCACCTTGAGCTCGTATCTGCTTAAATGTGGCTTCTTCACCTGCCAGTGGAATAGGATCAGGTTTTTCTTGAAAAGCAAGAGACTTCTCATTAATAATCAAAAAGAGAAGAAGCAGGGTACAGCCGCTCCCACACCAATACCCCACACCAAGTTCACAGCACTTTACACCTTGCTGCCTACCTGTTCACAGAGATGCTATAGCGACTGTGTGCTGAGGTGTTCAGTCCGGGCTCCAGGGAGCTCTGGGTCTCTGTGCTTCTCTCTGAAACTAACCAAACATCATAGTGAAAGGCACGGGCAGAAGCAAATAACACAGTTTTCTTGCATTAAGCAACTTAGGGTATGGATATCAGCATCACAATTTGATAGCTGTGTGATGCTGACAAAGTTACTTGAACTTTCTGTTTCCTCATGCAAAAAACACAAACAGAAATAGCAGTCACAGACGGTTGGGGGAGTTTGGGAGAGATAAAGCCTAACAAGAAAGAGTACTTTGTTTTAGGGTCAACAGACAGCAACGTTATTTTCTTTCTCAAATCTCACATTCATTTGAAAAGTAGAGAATAGTAGAAGATTTGACGATTATTCTAAAAGGCATTCTTCCGACACACTTAGAGCAACAATAAAAACAATCTTTACAAATTGCTTCTCCTTTCATTCCGCCTAGAAATCAATTAAAGGAAAAAATTTTCTTTCGTGATGTTTGCTTCAATTTGTTTTTATCAACTCGGACAGTTAAAATTCAATATCAAAAGAGTCTACGTTGGCTATAAATAACTCAGCTAAATTATATCTCCAAGTGAAGTTTTCCTCAGGACACAGGCGGAGTCCTAAGCTCAGTCCCTTCTCTTCAGGGGCAACCTGGAAGAATGGGGCTTGCCAAAGCTTCATGGACATCAGGCCATGAAACAACAAAAGGAGCAGGAAACAATACAGTGGATATCATCAGCCCACCCAGGGAATGCTCAGGGTGCACCCACCTCTGCAGCGATGCGGACACCCCAGAGCCCACGCCGCCTGGCTCTCATAGCTCGCTTGATGCAACCTGTTCCTGAGCAGGTGGCTTCTGTCTCGCTGCCCAGAGGAGCTCTCCTCCACGGCCCTCCTCTCCACCTGATGGCCAAGTGCATCACACACCCACATCCCAAGGTCAAGAGGGAACACTTACATAAAGACATACAGCCTGGCCATCAGTTTGAGTCAATGTGGAAGGGTCTGTCCTTCACAATGGGAGTCCAACAAGGGACACAGTAGTCACCAGAGTGAGCTCACCCACATGCTCGCCCACCAACCACACAGCCTAGAAATGGGTCAATTGCCCCCACTCTCCAAAACCTGCCTACCCACGCACACCTGTGCCTTGGCTCACGCCAAGACCCTCGGCAGGCCAGGGTCTCCCTGATGATCGCCCCTGTGCTGCCAAGACTCAGCGCTACATCGTCTCCACTTCTAATCCTCTCCACCTCCGCCCTCTCCATTACTGCTGATATGAATGTCTTCTCATCACCTCCCCTCAGCACTTTACTCACACCTGTCTCTATTACACCATGTTGCAACAAATTCACTTGCTTGTCTGCCTCCTGCGACCTCATTGCGTGCTTTACACACCCTTGTAGCTCACCTAGCTCAGTGCCCCAGTTAGAGTTGAATAAGTGGTCAAAATCACTTTATAATTTTCTGATGACAATGCTGAGCATCATCACAGTGTTGATCAGGGGACAATGCACGCTGATGGATGGCAGGCTCTAGTGTTTTTCAAATAAAAGAGCCCCTCAGTCCCCACTGAATCCTGTGCTCGGTGGACAGGAGTAGCATGTTTACATGCCAAGAGAGAAGTTCCAAACAGGAGGACAGGTTGGGAGAGGCACTTTCTGACTGACTGTGGGCGGCTTCCCCAGCTACTCCCTCCCCTCCACCCACACGGCTCCCTTGTTGGTCTTGGTCTCAATTCTCCAACATGCCCCCTGCTAAACGGCAGCACCACACAGCTGGCACCTCACTTGCCCCACCTGAGTCCCAGCTCTGTTCTGGCCTCAAGAGGAACCAAGGCTGGTCTGATTCCTACTCTGGAGCTACCCATGACACCAGGCTGAGGCCGTCTCCACCCGAGACCACCACCTTACTCAGCTCGTCCCACCCACACATCCTTCCATCACTCCCTCTCCTAGGAGCACCTCCCTAGTTACTAACTCGCGCAAAAATGGCCTGACTTTGCTTCGAGGTAACCCAACCTAAGCCAAATGCTTAGTATGTGCCAGACCCCTAGTTAGGCTCTGGAGAACACACAATGGGTGCAAGCACACAACATGGCAAGAGGCACAATGAGACAACCACAGCAAGGGGACCCTCTGCAGGAATAAGATGGCAGAGGAGAGGGAGGGGCCGGGGGCCACGTAGGCGCAGTCAGGGAAGGTTTCTCATATCAGGCCTAGAGTTGAATTTTGATAAGAGAGCTAACTCATGGGTCATAAACATAACCATTTTAATGCAAAGAGGCTCTTTGAAAGATCCCAAAGGTCTTGGTCACATTAGAAATCTAAGCTCTCCCAAAGTTCTTCACCAGAGCTGCCCAATAGAACTGCAATAACAAGAAAGTTCTAGATCTTCCCTCTCCAGCATGGCCCTTGCAAGCTGCAAGTGGCTAATGAGCACTTAAGTGTGGTAGATGTGGCTGAGGAATTGAATGTTTTATTTCCTTCTAATGAACTATAACTTAGCTCATTTGAATTTCAACAGCCACACATGGTCAGGGAAAGGCCCCAAGGTTGAAAAGCACAGATCCACACTGACCTCAGAGATGGTGCCCAGGACCAAGCCGACCAGCTGTCTGACGTGGAGATTGGCAGAAGTCGGATGGACAGCCGCTTCTTCCCAATGAATCTGACAAGCTTCCAGGACAGACTGCAGAGGCAGCCGCCTGCCAGGCTGGTCTTCGCACATGGTAAGCAAGATGCAGTGCAGGGGTTGGCAAAGCTGCAGGGGCTGGAAAGTGGGGCCGCCCTGTGAGAGGCTGACAGAGCTGCAGCCACTGAGGGCAATGTCCTGTCAGGCGTGCCCGGGGACCAGCAAGAGCGGGTGTTCTCATTAACTAGACGGATGCCCACTCCTTCTGCGTGGCTTAGGGAGGGACACAGGCTACTTCACCGAGACCACAAAATGCAGAGCAATTATCTCTGCACCAGCTGTGTGCAGTTTGCCGCTCTCTAATCTGGAATGACCTTTGGTGCCTGGGGAGCCCAAACACATGCTTGAAATCACTACGAAAAACAGGTGCTTGACAAAATGGATTTCTGCCTATGCCAAGGACCCAGATCAAACCAGGATCAGCCTTTAACTCACATTCACCTGGGCAGCCTGTCATTTTCTCAAATTATTTAGGTGGTTCTCACTGGGTCTTTCCCCTAGAATGTGAGCTCTAAGACCATAAGCACTGTGGCTTTTTCACTTTGGAATCACCAGTGGTCAGCATAAGGTCAATAATTATTAGTTGAACTTCATGTCACACGAACTCTTCAGGCAAAAGGAAAAATGGATATTTTATTAAACCCTTTCCTCATGCGTTTAAGTGGCCACCACTTATATGGAAAGCGTGTCAAATTCAGATTCACAATCAGATGTTTTTCTAACGCTCATCCACACTGCAAGTCATTTTTTCAGATGAAGGCTGTTCTACCATTTCCTGCCATGGAGCATCAGCTGTGAATTTCTATCTTCACATGTATGCAGACTACTGAGTCCTACACTCACACAGCACACCAGAGGCCCTCTAATGTGCCTAGACTGCATAGCTACTTGAGATATAAGGTGGGAGACAGTCCCTGTCTTCAAGAGGTTCAAAGTCTAATGGAGAAGATGGTCACTCAAAGAGACAAGCACAGTACAGGGTGATAAGGGCTTTGGTCTTGGGAAGTACAAGACAAGGTCATAACACAGAGGAAGGCACTTGGCCCATCCTGGGGAGGGAGGAGGGAGAAGGGGAAGGAGCTTGAGCTAAACATCAAAAAGCACACTTGGGTTGATTGGGAGAAAGGTGGGAGGTGAACCACAGATGGAGGAAGCAGTGGGTGCAAAGGCTGGCACGTGTCTGGAAGGACGGGAACCACGGGTAGAACCAGGCCCAGGGCAAAAGGACAATTCCCTTGTTCAAACGGTTAAGAACTTTAATGCAGAGCATTAAATCAAGTGTGGGGCCCTTGCAAGTGCAGTGTGCTATTACATAGGCCACACACTCTGTGCTGAGGAGTGAAATGGGGAGTGGAGAGCTGTGAACAACTCCACAGAAGAGGAAGGTGGCCAGGTCTCTTTTCAGAAGGAGCACCGGAAGCACTAGGATATTGAATTGGAGAAGACGAGGGTGAGATGGAAAAAAAGAAGGGAGGAAGGAGAGTCGGGAGGAAAGAGAGAAGCCAAACAGACTGGGTAGAGTTCTCCAACATGTATTCTCATTACACTAGTTTCCACAAAATTGTTACAGTGTCAGATGAATATTTACACATACAAGCAGACACGTATGCATTCTGCAGTCAAAATTTTTATAAAATGCTATGATAAAGCTTAAAAGTTTCTGCACTTTAAGCCTTCTCAGAGTCTTTAATAAACTACTTTGATAAATCTTTAAGAATAAGACATTGTAGGGAACATTTTCCCTGATGGATTAAGCACAGAACCCTTTTTCATGGAAGCATCTCACTTCAGTAAGGGCTGCTTTAAGACCTTTTCTATAAATTGGTATCTTCAGCATCTATAACATTCTCTAGCTTTCTACTTCCTCTGGACTAGAGTGGCATATAAGTCTTATCTTGCTTGCCAATCCCAAATTGTGGCTGCCTGGAACGCCATGTTGAGTAGGATTCTGAGGTTCTTTCTGGACTCAGCAGAAGCAATTCTTTAAAATCAATTGGCAATCCTTCCTAGAACCCAGGAGGACAGAGTGGTGGTGCATAGCTCTACAGATCTGGTTCCTGCCCTGGAAAAACAGACTAAATAAATCCAACGACATCACCTAGCAAGACTTTGAGAATCCTGTTCACAGACCTGATTTGGTGGAACGTGAAACCCTGCCGACCAGTAGAGAGTCATTCCCAAAGAATAGACATGCATCTATCCAAGAGAAAAAGCACATCATTAGATTTGTCATTTCTGTTATTTCATGGTCCTGTAAATGAAACTGTTGGCTGCCTAGACCAACAACCATCTGCAACTCCTTTAAACACTGCTGCATCCTACTCTAGAGGCTAAAAGTCTCCATGACCATGACACTCATTTTTTGTGAAAGACATGAAGTAGAGGGATTCTGAAAGTTTGTTCTTTACCATCAACAGGAACACATGCATCTGGTCCCATTCTTTCCCCTCTTGTTTCTGTCTTGAACACTGATATGATATATGGAATCATGGCAGCCATCATGTGACCATGAGGCAACAAGCATAAAGCCAAAAAGTCAACAGCTAAGGAGGGTAGAGTGAAAATATACAGCTTTACTGAATGATGACATTTACTAAAGCTGATGACCAATCTCTTGACTTCTTGTTACATAAATAATTAGTCTGTGGTTCCAGCCACTATATTTTGGGCTTTTTGTTTCTTGTAGCCAAAACTGTCTCTACATGACATACTATGACTCAGTCTGATTAAAAGGCATCATATGCTGTCAGAAAGCAGCATGGTACAACATCTCCATGGAAAAACAAAAATCATCACTGATTTGACATCCAGAAAAAATCGATGCAGACATTTATTTTTAGAACCTTGGGCATGTGTTTGTGTGTGTGTATATATACAACTAAGACCACATACATGTAAATATATATACATATAATATAAATTATATTACATATATTTAATTACTTTTCATGTCACTAAGTTTCTACAGTTTCATTGTAATGCTGTCTTGTTTCATGTCCACTCTCACTGGACATTTAGCCTGTTTCCAGTTTGTCACTAATGTCAACAATACAGATAAATATTGGTACAGCTACATCAGTCTTTACTCAAGCTTTGGGATACATTCCATGAGGATTTGTTGGGTCCTTTTAGGGTTTTTGCTACCTGCTGCAAGACCGTTTACCTATAGTTCTTCCAGCACTTCTTTTTGAGTATTTATAATAAGCTGATTGATTAGGTCATATTACCCCCACTTTACAGATATAGAACCTGGGGCTCAGAAAAGTTGACTTGCTCTCACCTAAGAGCTAATAAATTACTGGCAAGACAGCCTGGGAATTTTTTTAAAAATCATTTAAAATTAATTTTAAAAAGTCATTAAATCCATTCCGCTTCAGTATTCCTTGGGGCTGAGCTGGGAGCTAGGGATGACCTAGGACCAGGCCTTTCGCAGAGGACAGGCCCATGGATGCTGCAGAGATGCAGAGATGCCTTACCTGAGATGCATCATGCTGCTCATCATTGCTCTGTCCCTGTAGCAGTTCAGGGGCCTTGAAAGGAGCTGCCTCTATACGGGAAACATGGTCTTGGAAGGAAAGACTTCCGGTCGCAGAAAGCAAGACTGACCAGGGGCAGACCACATAGTTCGAGGAATCTGAAACCAAGGCAGTGATGGGGGTGTAGAGATAGGGCCACCATCTGGAGCACCATCTGTGGGAGTGTGCCCAGCAGGTGTCTTCCAAAATCCTCTCTGAGATGAACTGTAAGCAAGACCCAGGGAGTAGAAGGAATTCAACCCTGACACATGCAGGCACAGGAGCATGCGTCACAAAGGTGGCTGCAGCAATGGCTGGGAAACTAGTAAGCACATCCAAGTTCACAGGTGGCCCAAGAGTCTCAAGGCAAAAGGTAAAGAGCGATCAAATCGACTTGGAAATTAGCACAAGTCTGATTTCTCTGGAGTCAATTTAGAAACCAAGGCAACTGGTCTTCTGAACATACTCTAGCTGTTCATTAAAGCCTCCAGGGCAGGGAAGAGGAGTGAAGACTAGGAGGAAGATGTAACCGAAAGTACAGGTGCACAGCTTCCCTTCATACCCATGCCAGGGTCCTCACCCTGATTGCATATGTGTGATTTCCCACATGGGGAAACTCAACCGCGGGCTGGCATGACATCTGAGTGTGAGCACTCAAGTGTTTGGCCCAGTTGTCAATTCAGTGCCTAGAAATTGCAAATCCATGTTTCAATACCTGCTCCCTCCTTTCACTGCAAGAGTTCTCTTTCTCTGCGAGAGTAATGCACAGCTTTCTCAGTAGAGGGCGCTGGAGAGACATGGTGGGAGGCCGGCTCTCCTGCTGTTTCTTTGGGGTTAGCGGTGTGGGCGTGAGAGTGACGCTCTGCTTCTGCACACTCCCTGGACTCTCGGTCCCTAGGCCACCCCTCAGCCTGACCTTGTGAAGTGATCGCTTCGCAACCCTATCTACAGAGACACAGCAGGTTCCGGGCCTCCTGCAGGCATCAGCTCCCGGAGCTGTGGCTCATCTCTGCCTGCCCACATCCAGGGGATCACCCTGCCCCTGTAGGCGATGCCTGTACTGTGTGCGTCCCGTGGCTGCAGACACCCATGGCCAGGTAACGCAGAGAATTCGCCATCATCGTGGTCTGCAAGCACAGCTCCTCCAGCAGATCTGAACCCCAACTTGGAGAGGGGGGACTTCCCTTCAAAGTTTGTCCCTCACTGGGGTATGTCCTCAGTCCTAGAAGACCATGAAAGTTTTCTCATACCTGATGGTTACTCCTCTATCTTAGTTTAACAATTCTTCATATTAACCTCCCCTGTTTAGACAACTGAGTGTGTGGGTTCTATCTACTAACGGTTGCAGCATCTGGCAGGGGATGATGTGGGAATGCCAGCCATCCCCGTGACTGCCCCCTGCCTCCTGTCTCTGGTTCTGCCCAGGCTGCCCAGGTATTGGGAGAGCCCCACAGAGCTCCCAGCCTCTCTCTCCCTAAACACCATGCCTGGAAAGGCTGCCATACCAAGGCTAAAAGACTTTCTTCCAACTCTGTGGCATGCCATGTGTGCAAGAGACAGCTCCCAGAGCAGCTCCATGGGGGTGGGGTGGGGATGTCCCTTGCCTGCTCAGTCTAACACCTCGGACTGATGACAGATCAATAAGCTGTTTGGGAAGTTTCACATTCAACTCCCTGTGACTCAACTGCCCCAGACACACTCTCTTACCATCACGAAGGTCCTCCAGGAGCCGCTCAGCCGCCAGGGACAGGAGGGACCAGATTTCCTCCTCAGATAGAGCTTCTCCCCGGACCTGGAGGGCACTGGCCAGAGTCACAGAGGCCGGGCTCATCCCTGCAAAGACACACATGTGGCAGAGCCCTTACCTAGTCCAGGAGCATATGTGGACCCGCAGTGGCCATGCCAGCCTGGGCACAGTCCAGCCCCTCTGCAGCACAGCCCCATGTTTTACCACGTGGCCCCAGGGCTGGGCGCAGGGCCAGGCACACGGGGGAAGTTAAAGACATGTTCACTGGGAGACTGGCTGGGTTTGGCTGGTTCTCAGTGAATGAGCACATCAGTAAATAAATAAACTCCCAATTAAGGGTTAAGTCAATAAATGAATGAATGAACAAGCCATGAGAATGGCTCCCTCTGAGCTGGGCATGCGCTGTCACAAAGAGCTTCCTGCTGGGGAATGTCTCTCGCCTGCTCCCCTCTCTGCCTGGGAAAGTGGGTTAACAACCTTTTTTGCCTCCAATACGTGATTCATGTCTGTTCCTCACTGGCTGCCACATGCAGAGTTGGATTTGGTTTCAGTAGCAGCCCTGTCTCTAACGATCACTAGCACCTGCCCGAAGGGTGAGAATCACTAGAAAGAATACTAAGCCCTGTGTTTTGAAAAGGTGCAGACTCACAGGGAAGCACAGGACCGATTTGCTGGAGGAGGAGGTAAGGAAGGAGGGTCTCCTCTTCCCTCTCTTCTTAAATATACGCGTTTAAAGCTGACATTTAAATGTCTGTCCCCCTGACAAAGCTGCCACCCACTGATCTCCAACGTGGAGAGCCCCAGGTGCGGTGGCAGCAGGAAGAGGCCGGGCAGGCTTTCCCTAATCCATTTACGTCACTGATCTCTTCCGCAGCTGAGCTCGGAGGGTGGATGTGCAGGGTTGGGGGTGGGGTGGGAAGCACATTATGGTCCGCCATCCCTCTATCCAACAGGATAATCCAGGCTCTCCACTTGCCAGCTGCTCAGCTCTCTACATATGACTCTAAGACCAGCCTCCCACAGCCTCAGGAGGAGAGCTGGTTTCCCAGAAGAAAGAGTGGCTCATCCATCTATCTATCCCCTGGGGCGAGAAGGGCACTGCAGCGGGACCCAGACGCTGCTGTTACTATACGTGATGTTATTTATCACAAGGAATCTGTGAAGAGGGACTGTTGATCCCATTTACAGGCAGGAAAACAATCCAAGGTTACCCAAGGAAAAAATGATGGAATCACAGCTGAAACCCAGGCCCTCTCTTGTCTTTCTTTTCATCTTCCTCCGACTTCTTTCACACTTTTCTTAGGACTTATGGACTAGGCATTCTCACTGTGCCACGTTTTTCTAAATCTTTATAACCACAATGAAAGGCTGCTTAGTAAAGGAAAACCAATGGGACAGGATATTGATTCTCAAATAGGTAAACGAGACCTCTGAATATCAAAATCAAATATCTCACATAAATATCAAATACGGTTTTTTCAAGTTACTTTATGACTAGAAGAAAACTGCATTAGATATATAGAAAGGCTGCAGTAATTAGTTAATACCATCTTTTCAATACAGTAATTGAATGAAGCAAGGGCAGACTTTTCAACAAATAGTACTGGATCCATCATGAAAAAAAACTCACACATTATACAAAAATGAACTCTAAGTGGATTATAGATTAATGTAGAACATCAAACTGTATGTTTTTAGAAAAAATACAGATAATATTTGGATCTAGGACTAGGCAATGGGTTCTTAGACTTGATACCAAAAGCACAAGCCATAAAAGAAAAAATTGATAATTGGACCTCATCAAAATTCAAAACTTTTGCTCTCAGAACGGTGCTGTTAGAATGAAAAGACAAGCTAAAGACTGGGTGGAAATATTTGAAATATGTGTGAGGTGGTTAATGTTGCCATGTCTGCTTCTTCAGTAGATATATCCTGTGGCAAAACTCTAATATCACCTTTTGAATAGCTACAATTGAGCAGAAGGACAATATTTTGCCCATCGCAGGTTTTTGTTCTCCTTATTTTAAAATAAGGAGACTGAAAGTGGGGACTTAGTGATTATCGCACATAATGTAGACACTTTCCAACACATGTGAATAGGAGGAGCTATATATATATGCTGTGTATATCCACTTTTTCAATTTACTACAAACCAAGCAGAGACAAATGAAAAATGCACACACTATGTGAAAGAGGGTAGGATAGGGACGTTCCTGGTTGTCCAATGGTTGAGAATCTGCCTTCAAGTATAGAAGATGTGGGTTCAATCCCTGGCTAGGGAACGATGATCCCATATGCCACAGAGCAACTAAGCTCATCCTGCAACTACACAGGCCTGTGTGCCATAACAAAGACCCAGTGCTGCCAAAATAAAAATAAACACATTAAAAAAAAAATTAAACAGGGGTAGGATAGTGCCTAGCACAAATAGGCACTATATACATAAGTACTAACTTTTAGGATTATTACTGGGCAGCACCAACCCAATATTCATAGGGAATTAATACACTGTATGGAAATATTATAAAAGGTATTATAGATGTTCTTAGATCCTAAAAATTCTATATTAAACAAACCAACACATTGAAGTTTTCTTATCCCAATAGCCAGGTAGGAGGGTTTAGGCATGGTTGAATGAGATTTCTGCTCCTATTTTAATTTTGGAGCTTCCCTGATAGCTCAATTGGTAAGGAATCCACTTGCAATGCAGGAGACCCCAGTTCAATTCCTGGGGGAAGATCCACTGGAGAAGGGATAGGCTACCCACTCCGGTATTCTTGGACTTCCCTGGTGGCTTAGCTGGTAACGAATCTACCTGCAATGTGGGAGACCTGGGTCAGATCCCTGGGTTGGGAAGATCCCCTGGAGAAGGGGAAGGCTACCCACTCCAGTATTCTGGCCTGGAGAATTCCATGGATGGAAATGTATTTACCATCCTATCTGAAAGTAAATTTGTTCACATTGTAGATTTGCCCTAAAAATTCATATATTTTGTCTCCCATGGAAGGAACACAGCACCAGCTATAGTCTTACAAAGGGATTAAACCTGAGTCAGATCAGGTCTCTGTATCTGACTGCCATCTTATGACCTTTAGAGAGTAAAGAATATATTGAGCAACATGGAGAGTATGCCATCACAAAATCCATACTTGGGAAACTCTGTCAGTCAAACTATCTAGGTTTTTCAGTAAATAAATTATGTAAAAAAGAAGGGAGAGAGGAAGGGAGGAAAAGAAAGAAGAAAATGAGGTAATGGGAATGGCAAAGTTAAAAACCTCCACAATCCTCCATAAAAGCAGTGAAGAAATAAGCAGCCTTGTAGACGCCATGAAGGTCAAAACATAGTTATAAGCTCTTTCAGAACCCCATAATCAGAGAATTATCATTATCTGACCTGTCTGGCAGTTCTTTGGAAAGCCCCTCGCACGATGTTTGCTTTTACTTGACCCAGTTCAGAGTTTGCCCCATGCAAGCAGACTTTTCCCAGGGGACATTTCTCAAAAACAATCAACAACAATTGTTTAACGTTGCAGCTGCTGGAGGTAGCAATAACAGTTGGGCAAACAGCAAGCTAATAAAAAAAAAAATCTTGAAGAAACTGGGAGGATGGCTATGAAACAGTCATCATCAGCCTTTTGCCAGCATGCTGTGATGCCTCTGGGCTTCTCTCCAAGTTTTTCTAAATGGTCTGGTGGGCGAGTCCATGCTACTGCTATATCATGGACTAAAAAGGGGACTGTTAACTGTAAAAAGGGTGGAGGGATCCACCCATACAGATAAGCCTAGTCCCCCTGTCAGTGAGGGTGCTTGGAGAAAGTATCTAGCCAAAGAGCATGCCCTTAGGGGGGCGTTCCATGGTCACACCCTCATCTCTCAAGCTCACCACCACTGCCTGAGTCCTCTGTATCGACGCCATTCTCTGAAGACTTTTGTGGTCATATAATAACCTAAAAGTCTCTTTTTCCACCTTAAACCCTGTTGGCCGTTCAGAAGTTTCCTAGGGCTCCCTTCCATGAGTTCTTATGCTGTAGTGCATCCCTTCTGCCGCCTTCCAGCAGCCTCACACTGGGTCTAACTTGGCATAGAAGCTCCATCCATGACTTTGCTCTTTAGTGCTTCTTCTGCCCTCTCACATGGGTGACGGCAGCCCTGAGCTTCATCTGTGATGTTGTTCCCACACCCTTGCTTCAGCCATCCCTTTACTTAACAAATATTTATATATTGCAAGCCCTGGTGACAAATAGAATAGTACGTCCGATAGAACATCCTACCCTCGTGAGGCTTATATCCTAGGGAGGATGGGGTGGGGGGGAGCAGACAGTGAATAGGTAAACAGATAAAATTATTCCACAGAGAGAAGACTAGACAGAACAAACAGACAAGGGGATGCTCTACAGCATGCCTTTGGTATGGGGACACCTGTTGTTCAGCCGCTAAGTCATGTCCAATTCTTTGTGACCCCATAGACTGAAGCACTCCAGGCTTCCCTGTCCTTCACTATCTCTCTGAGCTTGCTCAAACTTGTGTCCATCGAATTGGTGATGCCATCCAACCATCTCATCCTCTGTTGTCCACTTCTCTTCCTGCCTTCAATCTTTCCCAGCATCAGGGTCTTTTCCAATGAGTCAACTCTTAGTATCAGGTGGCCAAAGTATTGGAGCTTCAGCTTTAGTATCAGTCCTTCCAATGAATATTCAGGACTGATTTCCTTTAGGATGGACTGGTTTGATCTCCTTGCTGTCCAAGGGACTCTCAAGAGTGTTTTCCAACATCACAGTTCAAAATTATCAATATTTATTTAATAGCTTGTAGCAGAAATGCAACCCAAGCTGCTGAGTATGAACCAGAGCCGAGGGAGTGACAGTGCCTGGGGGATAGAGTCTAACACCTTATCTTCTTGAAGCCCTCACCAGTTCTGTACGCAGAGATGGCTTTTCTCAAGGGCAAGGCTCCCATCTGCCTGCCACCCCCTCAGGAAGAATCATTTCCGAGTCATCTAGACAGCTGCGGAGTGACAGTCACCCAGTGCCAGCTGGCGGATCAAGGCACCTACCTGAGGGTGTGCCTTGTTAATTTGTTGCCATGATATTTTACAGTGTTTA